CCAATAACAAGGCCTTTTTTAACACGTTTTTTTAAAATAGCTGCCATTTTTTTCCTTCTTGCTTTATTTCTTTTATTTTGGTAGGGGGACTGGATTCAAACTTCTTCTTCATCGTAGTTTCTTTTTTTTTGTTTCGGGCGATGCGCAACGGATTTATCTGTAGCACCGCAAAAGAGATCGATTTTGCAAGGCCGACTTTGGTGTCCCATGGTTAAAAAATGACGGCGAAAATAATTTCGTAATATTCTATGATTTTGTAATTTTTGTTTAAAAAAACCGCATGTCTCTATGATAAATACATTTCGAGAAAAACAAAAACAAATACCTTGCATTTTTTGTAAAAAAAAACGAACAACCTCCTTAAGGACAAAATGACATATAGGTTAAGGACATACTGAGATGCATATTTTTAAGAAGGCAGTTTACGAAGAAATTGTTTGGTACACTTTGGGTCATCAACACATAAAGCATGAGCCCAAAGGGATCAAGTCATACGTCGTTGGGCTTAGTACGGAGAAATAAATTTATGCTACAAATTCAAGTTTTTTTTAACGGTGGATCCTTTCATCTGTTTTTAAAGTATCATGGAGTAAAAGTTAAATGCCAATCAACTTTGACATGTTTTAATTTCTTTTTACTTAACTTTGTAATGCTTGCGAATGGTACTATATCATTTAGTCTGAAATTGAACATAAATAAATAATTAATCAAAATTTCATGAAACACCTGATTGTTGCAATAAAATTGACGATAATCACTGCTTAGTGCATAGGTGTATTGATTTTAATTGAAACAATTACAAATCTTAATAAATAAGTCCCCAAAAACATGATAAAATCATCCTAAAATGAAATTTTAAAACGCGATACACGTTTGAACTGATTACTGCTACAAGATTGTGACAATGACGCTCAACATCTGACAGGATTGTGATCATTGCTTTCTTAACGTTATACAGTCGCTGAAACGTTACTAAAACTAGTGAATTTTTAAATAAGGCCACTGTGTCATTTTGTCCATATATACCATTTTGTCTGTCCCTTCAGAATTTAGATATTAATGCTTTAACGTTATTATTTTTAAATTGGAATATAAATTAAATTGGGAAAAAAATTTGATAATGATTCCAAACTAGAATAATTCGAAGAGTGTTCATAAGTAGAAATAAATTTTATAATTATTCCCATAGAGATGCTAATTTTATAACCTTTTTTGCTTTGAATATCAAGTAATGCGAAATCGTTGTATCATAAGCCGGTCGCCGTTCTCCCGGTCGGGTCATCTCACGACGGTTACTTTGATTTGACATTTTGCCAAATGAAAACGCCTTGTCGGCTGTGTGCGGCCATTCGGCAAATTTCGCTTAGAATTTATCTCGTTCGAAATATATACTGCAAACTTTTTGGAGATTTCAGTCTATAGTCAAGTTTCGATACGATCGTCTATATACATATATACATATCTAAAAGATAGTTTTTGTGTTTTGCTTTTCGCGTATGTATATATCTATAGTAAACGATTTAGAGAAACTAAATTATTTATTTTTGTATACAATTTTCTGCTTGGATTTAATTTTTGTGTTTGTGAATTCAATTCTAGTGTTTTTACGTGTAATAATTTTATATATACTTTTTATTATAAAATATAAATACATTTTTATTTTAATCTAAAATAATTTCACAGTGATTGCTTCGAATACTTATATATTTGTATATTAATATCATATACAATATCAATAAATTAATTTTTTCATATTTTCAAATTAAAACTCAAATTATATATATATATATATATATATATATATACATATATATATATATATATATATATATATATATTTGTGTGTTTATGTGTATTTCGGGCATACACGCATACATATGCATATACTGTATATGTGTTCGTGTATAAATTCATGTACATATATATGTATATATTATATATTTATACATGAGCCTTTAAAAATAATAGTATCCACAGTTTTCAGTGTTAGTGTCATAATATATTTGTGAAATACCGTGCAAAGTTATTTTGGATTACCATTTTACAAGTTTCAATTTGGTAAATATTTTTTATATACATTTATAGCATTTTGTAATTATCAACACCTTGCAATCTATCAAATTGTTTAGTAAATCATTTTTAAGCGAATGTGTCTATTTGCATGTGAAGCCTAGTATTAGCCTTGCCAATTTTTTAGCATAGCGTTCTATATATATTAGCGTGTTTACCGGGAAAGAATTTTGAATTAAGTAATATAAGTATCGTATTACACGTTTTATGAGACATTACTTAATTCTAGTTATAAAGAAATTCATATTTACTTAGTTTACTGATTTTCACTTTGTTTGATGATTTATATTCAATCAGTGTTCCTTTATTGATTGTAACAAGCGTAGAAGTTTGTTATATATGAATTTTAAGGCCTTAATTGAATTGAGGTTTGAAATGTATTTTAAACAACAAGGCTAGTATTCGGTTCGATTCGATTAGTTTCTTGAATTTAATTTAATTTTATTAATATGTTTCTGAGCAATATAATAGAAATTACAATTAATTGGTAACTGAAACATCAGTCAAAATTTGCTGATTTTTACTACTTTTTTGTTAATTTATAAGAATAAAGCTTTTTTACTATTTTTATGTTTAAAGACTTGCGTTTTCATTGTCTTCTTTTGTTATTGAGGTAACTTTGTGATGATGTAATAAAAAATTAAATAAAACTTCTAAATTTTTATACTACCTACAGCTACAGAATTTACAAAAATTTCAGAATCAATAAAATAAATTACTTAACACTTTTTTCACTCAATAAAATATTATATAATAAATTTTCTCATAATTTATCAAGATCTATTTAAAAATATCGCGGTTTCTTTAACACATTTATTGAAAAGTTGCCAGTTAGAATCTGGTATAATTGATTTTGCTTTTCCGATTATATTTAATGTACCAAAACACAAAATTATATAGTCATTGCAATTTATGCAATATTGTCTTGGGATGCAGAAAATATTGTAGAACTTAGACTGTTCTCAGGATAATATATAAAATAATAATCATAATTAAGTATATAGTTACATTTACTCATAATATATATATATATATATATATATATATATATATATGTATATATTACAACTGTTATTGTTGTAATAACTGTTGAGTTTGAGTTTGAGTAACTGTTTGTTTTTCATTTATCACGACTTATGTATATTTTTATTGCATTTATTAATTACCGGAGCATCTTTCTCATTGTCATGTTTTCCTTACACTTAAAATTTAGAGTATGTCATTAAAAATAAATCCATTTCGGCTTCTCTGTGAAATTTAATTCAACTATTTATTATATATTTTTTACATATATTTTAGTTGAAATATTGATTTAAAATTTAAATACAGAACAGAAAATCATTTTTTTTAGAAATTGTTAAGTCTTTTTGCCTCTACTCTATTCATCTTATTCTGGAAAATAAATGAATAAATTAATATTTCAACCAACTGGTTACAAATATTTGAGACATAAACACATATTCAAACAGTTTTTTATTAATTTTTGTTTAGTAGTAATAATTTTTAAATACAATTATATCATAATAAGAATTAAATAAGCATAGAAATTGATATAATAATGTTTTTACAAGATATAAAAAAATATAATAAATGATACTGAGCTTTCAATAGTAGATACAAAGTATTAGTAAACTATTGGATGTTGCAGCAATGACAAACGATGCGATCACTGTTGTTTCTTTTTTATGTACACGGACTAAGATGCTTATTATAATATCATATATAACTTTTGTACTTGTAACTATTGAGATAATATTCAAAATATTCAAAATGTGGTTCATCTTTGTATTATTTGTATCGGCGTCTCCACCGTAAATATTGACGTTTTCGCAGAACATCACATAGAGATCGTTAGGATGTGTTGATTCATACAATATCTAACGTTTTCACCACGATACCAATTTTTTTGAAAATATTTATTAATTTTTTAATTTAATTAAATTAAAATTATACGTTATAATGGTATGTAATTTCCGCTACTACAAAAATATCATAAAATCGCATAAAAGCGTAGGAATGCTTCTAGAATGCAGATTGTGAAAACACATGATGATTTGATTTCTACACCTTCGCAATTTTCATTTGCGAAGGTGTAGAATAAATTGCATAATCATGTATTTTGAACTATGCATCACTATCAAGAATATATTTTAGTGTTTAAAATTTATCATTCGTAATTTTTGTTCCGGATTATATGTAGTATATATAGCATAATTTGTTTTATGAATGTATAGTATATACAATCAATAATTAAATATGAAAAAGTGAGCCGATATTAAAATTTGTTATAATTGTATTGATTTTATACGTATATAAAAGCTTATTAGGATAATTTTAAATGTGATAAACCTACTCTATAATGTGTACTAAATAATTAAGTAAGCATTTCAAAGTTTGGCAAATTGCGTCATGATGAGAATTATATAATTTTTTCGACAACGTATAAATATAACGTTTATTGTTATTTTTGTTTTTATTTTTTCATTCTTATCTTTGGCTTGTGCATTTTGATGTTGTAATGTATGAATGGAATCTTAAACCAACTGAAAAAAGTGATTTTGAACATTCTCATTTTCGCATTCGTTTCGACTTATAATTTTATATAAGCAATCTGTAATATATCATAAAACACATTAATAATATATCTATAGAAAATCTAAAACTATCAATAATTGTGTATTAATAATTGATAGCAGTTGTTATGCACTTTAACAATTTTATGAGAAGCATTTTTAGATGTATTTGTCTGCAATGCAGATTTTATATTAATACGTTAAATTATTTGTAGAGACGTATGAAAAAATAATAATTCTTATAAATATTTTTGTGTTAGGTGTTCATCTTTTCTAATATTTTACATAGCTTCATATATATATAACATGTTTTTCAATTAATTAGTTTTATTTTATTAAAAATATGTTTTATTTCAGGAAATTTCTCAAAGTTTGTCTGACGATAAAAGTCTGACTGAACATCTGAAATTGCCACTCCAACGAATTAACGACTATCAGCTGCTTTTGAAGGTCGGTATTTTTTGAATAATATATATTAAGAATTAACCTTAGCCTTAGTACAATAAATAGGTTAAGATGTATGCGTTGCTTAACTATGTTGCGGTAAATATTATTAGTTTTGGTTTAAAATTGTAAATATTTATGTTTTTTTTTTCAATTTTACGTTTTTAATAGACTGGTTTAATTTCAAATAAATATAATTATTAATTTAAAAGATAAGTATTAATTTACGATTAAATTTAATTAAGATATTTTTTGTGCTTTAGAGTCATATCATATTGGTTTTTATAATTTTTACTGATAGTTACAGGTATCATATTTATTAGTATTATATTTTCATTGCATGCTTTTTCTCTATATCTTTAAATATGATAATATAATTATGTTTAATTTAATTCTAACAAAATATGTATTGCTCATATTTCATATAATACAAGCAGCCCAATCGCCGAATTAGAAATAGGTGATTTAGAAACAATTCTTTATATCTAAAAAACGTTTTGACACTTAATTTGTCATCGTTCAGCAATCTGAAATACATTTTTACAATGAATAACAAAAACTTGAAAATGAATGATAAATTAAGGGATAAGAAATATACATTATTAACTGAAAAATTAAAGCCCTAATAATTAGTATATATTTATATATATATATATATATATATATATATATATATGTGTGTGTGTGTGTATTTGAATAGTCTTGAATTTGATAATTATAATGTTACAAATATTGTATCTCAGCTCAAGTATTGAAATATTGTATCTCAGCTTAGCTTATTTTCTGTGATATCTACGATACAAGTTACCAACTATTCAAATTCAATATTATTATATTTTATGGTTGGTTGAATTTTTAAAGCATTAACTTAGAAGCTTAGAAGATTTTCATGCAAAATCTATCGTCGGTTGCATTTTTGATATCATAATTTTTTTTTAATTATTATACAAGTTTATAGCTTTATTTTATCTATTCTACTATTTTATTATCTCAACGAATATGTACCTCGATCATTTTAAATGGCTGTCAATACATTTGAGATTTCTAACAAAATCTAAATTTAAATCTAAACTGCTGTTTATTCCAAGTTGTCCACGCCAACGGAGAATAGCATCATCTTACTGAGATCTAAATTGAGAACTAACTAACATTAATAATCTTCGAGAATTACGTCAGTTCGAGAAAATTATAAAAGATGCTATTTTGACTTATTACACACAGTTTTATATACAGATCGGTTTTCAATATGGCCATCTTCTTCAAATTCAAATTATATTGTATTGAGTGTAGTTATATAAATAATCTTGAATTTAAAAAAAAATACCTCTTGAATCTCCAAGTTTTGCTGGTAATAAGCATGTGATTAGGGATAACACGTTATTTCTCGATACTGCTGAAAATGTTCAAAAAAGAAATGATATGTTTCATATTTCGGTTTTGCTTGATTGACAATTTAGTTGTAATTTCTATATAATATTACTTTTAGTAGCAATTTTTATAACATAGGTACATAATATTTTCTGTAGTAACTATCGAATATAACGTCATAATGCCATTTTGTAATATTCACAAAAAATAAATCAATATTGAGTTTTTTCCATTGCTATTATACCGAGTTTTTATAAAAATGTGCAAAAGATTGTGCTTGAAAGGTTGAACCTGTTGTTATTAATTAACAAAAATCTAGTATTTACTTATTATAACTTTTTGCTTATTTTATGTTTTTGACGTATAATAAGTTTGAAAAGTGGATAGGGTGTATTAGGGATAACATTTATTTGCTTCTCATTATTTAAAATGTTCTAAATCGGTGCAAAAATATATAATTAAGAATTAAAAACCTTTAGAGGCATTTGTTTATTTTTTTCTCGAGTTTTATAACGTTATATTTTTTATATCTATTTTAACATTTATATTTTTTATATCTATTTTTACATATTTATTATATATAGAACAAACGATGAAAATACAAAAATATTTTTATTTTTGACTATAATTGGAAACATGATCTATTAAATCATTTTCATGTTTTTAAAACTATAATTATTAAGCTTGCAATGTTTATATGATTATTCCAGTTTTTAAAGAAGTCAACGAACTAGAATAAAAATATAAACAACACCATAAGATATCATGTATAAGTATATGAGCTTTTGAAAGAAAACATAAATGTTGTCCTGAAGGAAGCAATTCTACATATGTTTCTACACCTGCGACTGAAATTCATATGTTGATTCATGCATCGGATAATTTTATTCCCGAGGCGGAGGCGAGACGGTTTCGGTTATGTGATATAAATGGTTTTTGGCAATATTATCCTTGTACATATTACGTCTGAGCTTTTTAATTTATCCGTTCTATATATTCAGTTCATTCAAGCTTTGGATACTAAATTAAATAATAAGTATACACATTTCGATTGGCATGTCTCATAGATGTAGATTGGCATCATATAACGTATTAATAATAAGGCTAGACTTTTGTACGTGTTTACAACAGTAATTACTTAACGCCACTTGTCTTTCTAAAAAGAATTATGGTTAATATTTATTTATACATGGATATGTACAAGTTGGATTTTAGTTCAACTGGCGGAATCGTCTATTATTTTATTTTCATATAAATACAGGCGCACATACACGTACGCATACACACACACACACACACACATATATATATATATATATATATATTAGGGTGGACCTCAATATGGACATTTTCGAATTTCTTTGCTGCCAAAGGCTCAAATGCTTCTAAATTATTAAAAAAAAATTCTCTGAGTGTTTTAGCTCTTAATATTGTCTTTTAGATAGTGCGCAATTCAATCAAAGTTTATATGCAAATAGCATGAGAAAATTTAAAAAAAAATTAAACATGTTTTTTAGATATTAATTAACTTAGCGAACAAATGAATAAGTTTTATTCAAAATTCAACGCTCTACAAATCAAATTATAAAAAATCTATTTTACTAATTATTTGTTTTAAATTTACTAATGAATTACTTTCTGTTATTTTAAAATATGATGAAATTTTATTTATTATTCATGAAAGCTCAATTTTTTGCTGTGGATTATTTGACTGAATTTTGTGTCATTTTTTTTTAATATTTGCTTAAGTGGAAATTTTATGGGTACATTTATATATATATATATATATATATATATATATATATATATATATATATTAGAAATGAATGAGTTTATTTTAGAAATTTATTTTTACATTTCTGTTACTTACGCAATGTGATCATGGACTAAATTCATGTAAACACATCGCAATCTTGACACTTTGCATTTATTACTCCACTTAACTCGGCATTTCGAAACACGTGCGTTAAATTAGCTAATACAAAATACAAATAGTTTTTATGACATGAATTTGAAACGACACAACCCTTTTAATAAAAAAAAAATTATATTTGCTAATATTTAAAGTAAATTTGATGTTTTATATCGAGTTATAATCAATAACTGAAACCAAAAATAATTATCTGAAAAAAAAACTACTGGATATATAATTATCAATTGTTATTCGTGTACTCTAAAATAACATATCAGAAATATTACTTCAGTTGTTTTGCATCTATAAATGAAAATGAATATGGTGTCATAAGGATTTAATAAAAAATATTATTTATTTTATTATTATAATTATATTTATTATATATTATTATATATAATAAAATAAATAATATATATAATGAAAAAATTATATATATATATATATATATATATATAAATGTGTGTGTGTGTGTGTGAGTATGTGATTCTTTATAAATAAATATTTATGTAAATATTTATTTATAAATAGAACATTTGGCAACCTTTCATAAAAAGTGAATTCTCTTAAATTGCAATCTGATTGCTCATACTGAGTCTAAATTCAAATGTTATTCATTGTGAATCTAATATTAGATAATGAATAAATAAGTTACCAACATAATATTAAATGTTGCATTTCAAATAAGTACTTAAACTGATGATAATCATTTTATCACAAGATATTTAACTGGAAAATTTTTAAAGTTAAGCCCAAATACTCTGCTACTAAGACTTTGATTTAAATTCAATTTAAATTAAATTACATTTAGAGAAAAATTATATTTTTATTATTCAAATTATTCTTTTAATATCTTGAGTAATCTTATTATATATTATTATCATTATGATTTTATGCAGTTTAAGTAATACTCTGCTACTAAGACTTTGATTTAAATGTATTTTAAATTAAATTACTTTTATTATCTTGAGTAATCTTATTATATATTATTATCATTATGATTTTATGCAGTTTAAGTAATACTCTGCTACTAAGACTTTGATTTAAATTCATTTTAAATTAAATTACTTCTAATATCTTGAGTAATCTTATTATATATTATTATCTTTATGATTTTATGCAGTTTAAGTAATACTCTGCTACTAAGGCTTTGATTTAAATTCATTTTAAATTATATTACATTTACAGAAAAAACATATTTTTATTATTCATATTATTCTTTTAACATCTTGAGTAATTTTATTATATAATATTATTATTATGATTTTATGAAGTTTAAGTATTAACGTAAATTGCATGAACTAATAAACATTGAGGTTATAGCTAAAATTTTGAACATTGTTCATTTGGAAAATAAAGTTTTCACTAATTAATGCGGTGTCTAATTGATATTTTTCAAGGAAACGTTTATAAAATATATGTAAAGATATTGAAAACTGCCATTTTTATTTTATTCGATATAATTTTCTATTTTAATATGATTTTCAAAACTAATTTTAATGTTTTAAGTTTGTGATTTGTCCTGGTTGATTTGCTAAATAGTGATACGCATCAAGTGTCGAAACGTATATCTGATAAAGAATTTTTTTTAACATTTTAGTATTTTAACGAATGAGTTGTTAACTATTTTATAATAATGTTTAAAGGGCGAAAAGACAATCAATGTATATTTATAATATATATATATATATATACATTTATATATATATATATATATATATACAAATCTATTAATACTTATGTTAGTCAGTGCGTATAGTATTTTAATTACCTTGAACTAATTTAAACTCTATACAAACATTTATTTTTATTAAGTACTAATATTCTATTCAAGTTGATATTTATGTTAAGAGATTATTTTTTTGTGATCTGTAAAGAAACCGTCCGTTTTTTAAAAATCTGGAATGATTTATACATGTGTACCCGATCTTAACGTCAAGCCGAATCTGGGTGATAGTATTGAGTTATTGACTTTAACTGTCTAGAAATTATGAGCGTAATAAATAAATTTTTATTAATTTTGTTCATTTAGACTTCAGAACGGATCCAAAGTTTTAAATTAAATAAACAAAATTAATTAAATGCAATCACAATAACTAAAAAATGGTCATAATTTTACTAATGCTCTAGGTTGCACTTAAAAACGCGTGATTTGAAGCAACGTGAGAATTTTTTTCATCCCGTTTCGGCTTCACGTCAAAGTCTGGGATACCCCATATATATATATATATATATATATATATATAATCAGTAATAAATTTATTTCAAAATTTATTAATTAGTAACAATATACCAACTGAAACTTCTTATTCTTTACATTTGATTAATAATATAATAATATAATAATAATTATATATACTATTTACACTGAAAATAAATTATTTATAGGAACTAGTCAAATACACATCTCGGCTAAACGAAGACGCCACTGATCTTAAGAAAGCTTTAGAGTTTATGCTAGCAATTCCCACAAGGTATGTTATGAATGTAACTTATAATAAAGTATATATATATACAATATGAGAAAAATCAATTAACTTTGTTTTGGGAGTATTTTATTAAAAATTTCGTATTCACATTTACTAGAAATCACAAACAGGTTTTCAGAATTGCCGCAAAATTTGAATGCCGTTTTGTTTTTCAAATTTTAACATGAATGTAGTAATATAGTTATTGCATTATAAAATAAAATTGATTACATTTATTAGTTTTAATTTTGCATTTTATATAATTTGTTTATTTTAATTTTGCTTTCATAATTGCTATTCAGAAGTTTATCATTGCGAAATATAATTAATTTTCCCATTTGAATAAGATTAGAAATTAAATTTAAATTATTAATCATAAAGATAGTCGTGTAACATTAATGTATATAATTTCTTAATTTTTAAAGAAATCGTTTTATAATTAATAAATATATCAATCATTTCAGGGCATTAGATAACAAATTTTTATCAAGTATAGAAGGTTACCACGGCGATCTTCGCAAGTTAGGAAGATTAATCGATCATAACTGGTTTACTGTTACCGCAGCATCGCCCGAAGACTGGGAAAAGCTGGTTAAGAGTGACGAAAAATCACACAACGATCAAAAATCTGAAGAAAGTGACGAAAAACAACCGGAATCTTCAGAGAACTCCAAGGAAAGATACTTGTTCTTGTTTAAGTCAAGAGTATTGGTAAGGAAGTAGTTAATAACAGTGGAAATTCTTGATATTTACAACTGGTCTATATTTTCAAATAAGTCAGATGAATAAAAATAGTTTAATTTTTTAAGGTTTGTAAAGTACGTCGAATATCTGAAGACAGATCTGTATTTTTGCTCAAAGATATCATCAAGGTAATGAATAAAATTTAACAAAATAGATTATATTTTTTAATGAACATTAATTTTTTTTTTTTATTTTTTCCAGTTACCTGAAGTTCGTTTATTAGAACGTCAAGGCTTGGGCGAGGAAGAAAATAAAACCATCTATCTTATTCATCCAGCAGTTTCTGGTAACAGTTCTTGCAGTGACATATCATCTCAAATATCTGCGCAGGATCAAATAATCACTTTGAAAGCACGAACCGAAGAAGTTAAAAAGTTCTGGAAAGAAGAAATATCGAATTGCGTTAACGACAAAGGTGAGTGAATTTACATCGACAATGATATTAGGACTAACGACATTAGTATTATGACAAAAACTAACAGATATAGATATTTATTTTGCCTACTCATAGATACTTCAATTAATTTAATATTTTCTATTTTAGTTGCTTTGTCTGATCATCTACTTGATGATATTCGGGTAGATCATAGATCTAGTGAAGACGAATCCACAACAAACCCCAGTTCTAAAACTGATAAATCGTTTGATAAAAGCCGAAAGTCAAAAAGCAACGATTCTATTGAAAGTGCTGTTAAGAAATCAGATTTAAGCAGCGAAAAAGTTATCGAAACAGAGACTGTCACTGAACTTGAAAAGACAGACAAAAAAGAAGACAGCAATATTATCTTAGAAAAAACAACTGCAGGTGTGAAAAAGGTCGTTGAAGAGAAACTTGTCGAATCTAGCGAAGAATTAGTTAATAAGCGATCGAATGACGAAATATCGGTTGATCAAGATAATTCAAAGCGTTTAAAATTAGAATTAAAGGCTCAATTTTCTGAGAGTAAAGCAATTAAAGAGGAATTTTCTTCGAAAAATTCTGCTACTGCAAACCAGGAACTCGAGTCAACCGTAAAGGAAGAGATAAAAAGTTCTACTCTTAGTAGCAATATAAAAGAAGAATGTCTAAGCAAACAGAGCATATTGCAAGAAAGTTCTACTGCGTCTGATGTTAAAGTTTTAGACCAGAATACAACTAAATTGAGAAGCTCTGAAGAATCGATTAAAATAGAAAAAGCTACCCGAGAGTCGGGTTTGTTGGAAGAAGAATTAAGTGGAAAACAGACTTCGATTAACCGAAGAAGCGAACGCAAATCGACCGAATCGCATATCAAAGAGCCTATTATACAAAGTCCAGATAGCTCTTTGAGCGATAAAGCTAAAAAATCATTTGATTTTGGAGTTGCGTCACTAGAAATCGTCGACGTATCTGATGACAAGACAATTACCTTAGGCGATAGCTTTGATCACGGTTTCGCCGTAGTTTCAGAAGTTGTGGATGATTATCATTCTGGTCGAACAGTTGAAACTGGCGGTTTTGGTAAATCAATAAAAGTTGTTGAAGATCTGAGTGTCATCGAAGAAGTATCGGAAAGGACAGAAACAGACCGAACTATCGTCGCTAGTGATAGAGGTATATCCAGAAGCGGAACACTCGAATTTGATATTGACAAAATAGTTCACGATCAGAAAAAATCTTCAACCGAACCAGAGAAAGAAGTAGTTATAGATGCCTCAAAAAGCCCTGGCAAATTAGATAAAAAGGTTATAAAGACAGAAATTAAAGAAAATAAAATTCTTGAGAGTGAAGAAGAAGCTGCAGAAAGCAATAAGTTTGAATCTAGTGGAAAGCAGACATCGAAGGCAGAAACGTCTGCTTCCAGCACTAGGGAAGAAATCGTTCGCCAGACTAGCAAAGACTCAAATAAAATATCAGAAGAAGACAAGATGTCAGGAAAATATTCAATGAAGTATTCTGCATCCAGCCATGTTGAAGGTTTATTTTACTTTATATCTCATTCAGTTAATTCAATGACATTCGATGCATATAGATGTATTTCTCAATAATTTAACTTTATTTTGCATATAATTGTATATATAAATCGATTCATTTGCATTGCATTTTGATGTTCTAATTGAACTCATAGGACATGTGATTTTGTGGTATTCGGTTAACGACTTTGTTGAAAGAATTTTGTAGCGAACATTCTATTTGAAGTTTAAATGATAGACTTGCAAATTGAGTACAATTTATCGATTATAGACCTTCAGCTTTTATCGAAACATGCTCTTTTATCTTTTACTTTCAATAGTTTTTGATTGATGATTCGTATTTTGTAAAAACTGCAAATTAATGAAGTTTTAAGATATTTTCTACTTTACCCTTACATTTATAAACAATCTCATTTATCGATATTTAAGTGAAAAGCTAATGTAATATGTTCATTAATCACGTGAGGTTTTTAGGGGGAGGGGGGTTTGACAAAAAATCACGAAATATCACGTGGCGGAGAGAGGGGTATGGTATGATATCACGTGTATTTATTTTTTAACTATTTTTTTAAAAAAAAGATCAAACATTTTAAAAATAAATTCAAAAATTTTACAGTTTTTTCACGTACTCCAAAATACACGTGATGTATGGTGGGGGAGGGGGGGTAAATTTGAATATCACCATGTATCAGGGGGAGGGGGGGTCCAAAAATCCTTGAAAACTTGCTCACGTGATTAGTGGACACCCCCTAAGATAATTACTTTCGCGCTCTATACATAATATCGTATATCTGCTCAAAAAGCGATTCATGTTACATGTAGATACAATAATTTATTATTTTTAAAATGAATAATAATAATTTATATAAATCGTTGTTAATGTCGTTACCACAAAATTATAGCCATTCTGTTGAACTATTAAATTTCTATATGTATTATACACGCAACTTCTATCGCAGCACACGTAGTTTTAAACTCACGTAGTGTTAATTTATTAGCAATCATTGTGTGTATTGCATATGTAAATATCATCATACATCATGGATCGTTTTCGTTCATTTCCACAACAGAGTATTCTTCTACCACCGTTTCATCTGTGTCCGGAGGAGAGGAGCACGTGTCGTCGTCCAGTTACCATCACCAGCAATCGGCTGCTGCTTCGGCGGCCGTAGGGTTCGGATCAACGGGCACTCGCACGGCCATCGAAGGATCGCGCCAGATGAATGGACACAGCGGGGATACCGTTTTTTCGAAAACTATTGAAGGATGCAGCATCGAACGTGTGTGCCGCTTCTTTGTATTTTAGATAATTCTCATTAGCATGTTGCATACGGAATTTTAAAGACAACTAATAACTCATGATTTTTTTTTTTAAACGACGCGAATTGTATTTTTTTTAACTTTCCGTAGGGCCAGTTATAATAATCGCAAAAAAATTGAAAATGAAAATTTTTATATATCTTTACTTTTCAGAGGTTTCTGAACATTTTGGCATACTTTAGAAAAAATGGATGTATGCGTGTATATGTGTGTGTGTGTGCGGATACAAATTTTTGTCGACGATTTCGGGAACACGGTTCAACCGATTTCAATTATTCAAAAACATTCGATTTCTATTAATAAGACGTGCTGATTAGTTTTTGGCATAGGCAGGTCTAGCCGTTTCAAAGATACGGAGCAAAAAGTGCCAAAAACTGTAACTCAGTTTTTAAGAGAACGGAGCGTCCGATTTTAATAATTCAAAAAACATTTTACTTGTATTGACAAGATGAAGACTGATCAAGGCAGATCTAGCGGTTTCGGTGATCTAGTGAAAAAAGTAAAAAAGAATGCATTTTGAGTTCAAAAATGATTATTAGACTGATTTTTATAATGTATATCAATTTTGTTTACATTTCTATGAGTTTCGTGATATCGTCTGTTCGTTAGACGGGGACGCGGCGCTTACGCGCTTCACTATGCAGCTAAAGCAGTGCGATTATTTTGAAAAAAAGTTCAAAATTTCCAAAATATTTCAAACTGAAAAAAATATTTTTTCCAAAAGTTTATTTTTACAAAAAAGTAATTTCTTTACAAAAATTTTAAATTTCTCTAATCAAATCTAAATAAATTGATAATCTACTTTTTTCAAAGTTTAAAACATATTAATCTTTTTTTAAAAATTTAATTTTTGATACGGGAAGTTCCAACAATTTGCCTTAAGGCACGATGCCATACACCACTAGTTATAAACTTATTTTTGTTTCAATCACCTTTCAAAATTATGTATCTTTTGATAATTTTGACTTTGGTGACTGTTTTACTTGTTTGCGCAAAGGTAGATATTTTATGTTTCTCACAATTTGCATATGAGGCATCTTAATAACGAATAGTTGAACAATCAAAGCAGAGAGCGGCAAAAAAGTGTAGACAGAGGAACAAAAATGCTTGTGAAGAAATAAAGTAACAAGTAATTTTTAAATTTATGTAAAATTTATTGTTGATTTTGACTAGTATTTAAAACCTTACATTTTTAATAATGTTTATCATTATAATTAATCAGCGGTTATATTGGCGTTATATTCTGTATGCAACATTCATGCATGGTTTTCAGACATTTACATTAAAAAGCATGGGTCATTACTAATAATATTTTATAAATATATATTTAAATATTAACGAGTTTCAATTAATATTGTTTTTTTAATATATTAAATATAAAAACAATGTTTATTTGAAAATTAAACAGTATAACATTTGTAAAATCTTGTTTACTAAATCTAACATAACAAATCCTATATTAAATATGATTACATCAAATGTAACATTGTACGTATACATTGTACATATCAAATGCGTTTTTATAATTAATAAAGAATTCAGTTTCTTTAGCTCGCCAGGCCACTACAGGACTTCTTGGCAAACATGCAAATTGTTCTTGTGAATCTAACAGTGGATCATTTAACTTATAATATTTTCTGTTTGGATAACTTACTAATGGTGTTAGCATGCTCTAACCTCAGATAAGTATCTAAAATCAATAATTAACATTGGTTCATTTAACCATGTATAAAACTGTAAATTATTCAAAACTATATTATCACAGAAATAAACAAATATATTTTTGTTAGAGATTTACAGCATAATTTTTCTTTGTATGATTTCAAAAAATATTTCTATTGTGAATATTGTGATAAAATTACTGCTAGGGTTGTCTAATATCTAAATTATTTATAGTAAAAGTATTATGTCAGGTTTGAATACAGTTTATTTTTCATTGAAATATTTGTAGAATATATCTAAATCTCATATAATTTAAAAAATGTTATATGTAGGTACCTATACCTATAAATCTTTCTTTCAGATTATTAAGTATTCACTATCAGAATTATTTTAAAAGAATCTTTATATTTAATTTAATAACTACTTTTGAACTTTAAACTTGTTATGTCATCAATGATATATTATAAATATGTAAATTTTTTTTTTCGAAGAAAAATTATTACGGACCCAAAAATTTTACAGATTAGAAAACAGACAATAAAAAAAACTTAAATGTTATATTTGACATTTTGAAATCTAACGTAATAAGTGAAATGTGACGTAATAATGTAAATGCATATCATATTTAATATTTCTTCTAATTTTTTTATGATTTTATTTTCCGTGTGTAGCTGGTGAGAACGCAAAGTTTTCATTTACATTGCGTGAATCTGATAGCAAAACTTCGACCGGTTGGCTGAAGGACAATCGCCCCATGGAAGACCGCCTGGCCGATAGAGTCATCACCAGAACAAGTAACGATTCCTTGACTCACGAATTGGAGTTGCAGCACTGCTCCCAAAGTGATTCGGGTGTCTACACCGCCATAAGAAAGAACGACAGCGGTGAAATTGTGGCCAGTTGCAGTGCTCACCTTAATGTACAAGCTTGTAAGTGACAAATTATTGATAAATGATAAATGATAAATTGATGGTAGAATATATTACTTTGTTCAATCCTGACGATCCCATATTATGCATTGAGATATTCATGTTTACTTTAAAGTTAGATAAATAGCATATCTTCATTTGAACACTACGATTTGAAATGGTAACGAGAAATCACCACTCTATATTTCTCTTAAACAATATCGGATTTATTATTATACATATGAAAAATAATATATTAACACGTACGGGACGGCACCGATTTCAAAACAATCTACTGAACCGGCTGTAAACTTGATTTCATTGTGTATGTTATGCAATTTGTTTGACAAAAATTTGTGGTCATTGAAGGACATACATTTATAACATTAATTTATTTTTGATCATTTTTAAAAGAATGGTGACGTTCAAAACAATTTCCAAAATGCATAGCTGGTTGATTTTGACATGATTTACAATAAAATGTCGTTCGCCGCCTTTCTCCTGGTGCTTTTCTGTCAGAACAGACAATATAATCTGTTTTTCTTTCCCTCGCATTTAGAATATGCCACTGATTAGTCAGTATATTTGTTCATTAGTCAGTGTTTTTGTGCTGCCATAATGGTTTGTTTTTTGTATTATATTGTCTAATAATTTATTTGTAAAATATAAAGTAAAATAATCTATTGGATGTCTTATATTGCTTGGTATTTATAGTCGGGGTATTTGTTGATGTATGTCAAACTCGATTATTGGAGGAGAATCGGCACATTCGCTAATGTCTTTCCGCTCTTCATTTAATTTGTTTAACTTCTTCTTTCTTTTGTTGGTTGGATAATATCATCATCACATTCATCACTATCTTCGGTGCGAATAGTATTTTCGTAAAATTTGTCTGTTTGAATGTCTATTTGAAACTCATCTTCACTACTGCTTAATTCACAAAATTTACCAGTCGTTTTGTCATATCTAAAAGCGCTCGGTCGTTTTAAATATTAAAAAAAAGACCATATAGCAAAGAAAAAGGCTAAAAATACTACTAAAATAACTTAAAATTATTTTCAAAATACAATACTGTTTATCACTGCTATATGTAATTTATTCAACTTTTTGATGCAAACTGAGTCATTGTTTATAAAATAGCCTGTGCCTCACAGAGTATGTTTGTCCACTGAGATGGACAACCCTCCCCAAAGAGTTAAATTAAATAAACTGATTTTTTATGTTTTTTTCTGTTTTAGTTTTAAAATTGCGCAATAACGACTAGTCTTCAATGAGATACATTTTATAGAGATTTCTTTGAAAGTAACAATTTTCAGTTTTTTCCTAGATAATCTTTAATGCATACTTTTATAGAATTGAACGTATGGTGTTTAATATGTTTTACTATATTTAAAGTAATTAAGAAGCATTATTTATTATGATATTTTAATGTATTTTATTCATGTTTTCTATTGCCTTTAACATATCTAAAGTTGATAATAAAATTATATCAATTGATGCTCACATTAAATTATTGCTATTACTGTTAAATAATAATATAATTATACTCGAATACTGAAAGTTATTTTTTTTATCATTTTTAGTGACACCAGAGCAAAGAAAGAAATTAGCCGAAGATAATATGCCATATTTCTTAGTTCGTTTACATGATACTGAATTGTTGGAGAATACCTACCTCAGATTCATGGTGAAAGCTAAAGGCACTCCTAAACCAAATGTTAAATTGTGAGTATTTTATATGCAGAAGAAAGTATTTTATAGTGTACATAAGTATGGATTCTTTAAAATCAACTATTTGAGTACTAATATTTCTGAAAAGTCATATATTCATAGTCTGTATATCTGATTATAAATTATAAAAATATTCATGTAATATAAAAATAAGATTATTTTATGTATATTATTTTATTAACAAATACATGGTTATTGAATAAATGTTACGTATGAATAAAAAACCACTCATGATTATACTGTCTTTAAACAATCATTAGTTGTTATGTGACTACAACTTAGCGCCTCATAATATAACTCTTAAATAAAATCTTAAAGTATATAACTTTAATCATGATATATAATGAAATAATGTTTATGATATGATTCAAATGATAATATTGCTACTAATACTTACGAAAAATATTTGTATTATATTGTAATTTTATATCGATTGAATAACTTATTTATGATTTGGCGTACGACGATTATGTATTAGTATTTATTTAATGGTCAATGAAAGAATTTATTCTATTAAAACGAACAACGACAATCTTTCTGTTGATAAATAATTGTGTTGCCGTTAATTTTCTTATTTTTTTCTCTTTCTTATTTTTTGATCAGCTTCAAAGATGGAGTAGAAATTTCGGAAAAGAATGAACGCATGCAAATCATTCGAGATCATTCTGATACTGGTTTCTATGAATTGGTAATTCCGACTGTATCCAAAGTTGATGAAGGCCGGTACTCTTGCGTTGCAGAGAATCAGTACGGTCAGGCCGACTGTGAAGCAGTCGTTACAGTGACAGGTGAAAAACATTTTTATTTATTTATTTATTATATATATTCCTAAATGAATAATATTAAAATAGGGCAAATATTTGAGAAGGTACTTTAAATTCAGAATTAGCATAATACAGTATTGTGCTTGCATTCTAATCGTTTTGGATAATGGAAATAAATTTTGCTATTGTCAGTAAAATAAATTATCAAAAAATAAAAACCTCCTAAAAATATAACGATATATATAGAGCACATCAATAGAAAAATATAAAATCTTCATTGATAATAATTTAAACAAATCTAGAATTGATATTCAAGTGCACTTTTTCTGGAAGAAATTACTATTGATACATACATTGATGATGTTTAGTGAATTATAATTAGATTATAACTAGTCTTAAAGTTTTCTGATATACGGGCATATATAGTGGCGAAAGATTCAATAATAAAATCATTACTTGCCAAATCTAAATTGCTTAACATATTTATGTTGATTTGTTACATTTCTATGTTTCATATAATATTTCTCAAAATAATGATTAACAATTTTTTTTATATATTCAGAACACAAAGACTTGTTTGCTGATTTGACCGGTGAGTTACCATCAGACGGAGAAAAACCAAACTTCGTATGGAAGCGCGATGGTAAACCATTTGATCCTGAGGAAAGATTCAAAGTGCTGTTAGGTAAAGTATATTATACAATAATATAATTATTAATTGTTGTAATAATATAATCATTGTAATTTATTTACGCGATTTATCTTTTTGCTAGTAATTTAAACCGTAATATCGATTTTTATTTTGAAGCACTTTTAAATTTTAATGAATATTTTATTAATTTTATTGATTTGCAGGTGACGATGAAGATTCTCTAGCTCTTGTATTCCAGCATGTCAAACCAGAAGATGCTGGTCTTTATACTTGTGTTGCTCAGACAAGTACTGGAAATATATCCTGCAGCGCTGAACTCACTGTCCAAGGTAATAAAATAATAATACCTTAATATATAATGTTCAGAGTTATATAAAATAAATTTTACTTGTATATGATCAAAATAAGCTTTAAATTGTCAACTGTTTTGGATGTTTATCTAAATTTACGATTTCATCATTGAGAGGACATTAATTGCTCTATAGTAAATAAAACAACTATTATATAGTAAGGTGACCCGGTCCATCCCGGTTTGGCCGGGGCAGTTTTGGAATTCCATCTTGTGTCCCGGATTTTGCTAAAAGTAATATTTGTCCCGGGTGTAGTTTTTCGGATTGCTCCAGGTTTTACAAAATTACATGATAATACAATTACAACTAACTGAAAATGATATTATGTTACAAGACGCCGAGTATGCTTATATGAATCAAAACGTTATAAATGATAAAATTGCCGAATACAAAATTTCAAGGGCGGCTTAAAATAGCATATTACATTAACAAATTGAAACTTTTATTTTCAATTTCACAACAATGAACAAAAATTATGAAAACGAACAGGTGCTAAATTTTTTGAAGTTAATTACGAAAAAAATATATATAAGCTCTAAAGTGAAAAAAAAACAAATATCAAAAATCATAATATATAATATTATACGAAAAAATGAATATTACATATATTCGAATAATAAAGTTCTTACTAAAAGTCCGTAATTCTGATAAAAAAAAACTTATTCATTTGAAAAATAAAACAGTTTTTCATTGTATACTTAAATAGTAACTGTTAATTATAGAATCGCTACCGCCACCGATTAAAATAACTAAAAATTGCCATCCCGGTTTTGACTTATTATATAATATAATTTAACTAACTGTATGACTGAGCAAGTATGATCAGATGGTGATTCTGTTTTATAAATCATTTTAAAATATATATGATTATAATAGATTTTGAATAACTAATTTACAAAAATTAAATGTTACCATCAAAACTGATATTTTGTCAGCATTATTAAAATACTACATTATTACTGTAAGCTTTTTTTTAATAAAAGTATAATTCAGTGTGTCACATATATTTATCTCATTAATAAATTATATTTCTCAACATGCTAATATGTGTTCAAAAGATAAAAAAATCTTCATATTAAATTATTAATAAGGTGAGTATACGTCCCGGATGGGCCGGAACAGTCCCGATTTTCCGCCTTGCGTCCCGGCTTTTTCTAAAAGTAATATTTGTCCCGGTTTTAGGTGTTTTGTCCCGGATTGTCCCATATTTTAAAAATGTTCCCAATATTTTTTAAATATATTTCAACTAGAAAATTTGAACCGAAAAAAATGTGTACCGGATTTCATGCAAAAAATATGGTCACCTTATATTAAGCAATGCAATACAGTCTTTTATGAATAATGTTGAAACTAGTTTCCTTTTTTATCAGGATCAGTGAATCAACTAATGCGTGAACCAGAAAAACCACGACTTGAAATTGAAACCAAGGAAGCAGAAGCCAATCTTGGTGGTTCGGCTATGTTAGAATTACAATGTAAAGGTTTTCCAAAACCAGAAGTTTTATGGCGTCACGAAGGCAAAATTGTCGAACCAGGCGGAAGATACAAGTTAGTTATTCTTTTATCATTATCATATAAATTACATTCTATACACTAGAGTCATTCAGTAATTAGAATTTAATGAAATTAGAGCATTTTTAAAAGTAAATATTTTGACTTCCTTTTATCATAAAAAAATGGAATTTTAAATGAATCACATTTTTTGAGCAGATTTTTGTATGAAGATGCTGAGAGCATGTCATTGTTGATTAAGGGAGTAACAGCTGAAGATGCTGGAGCTTATACTGTCACAGCCACCAACGAACTCGGCGAAGACTCTGCAGAAATGCATCTTACTGTTAAAAGTCAGTTACTAATTAACATTATTAGTTTTGGATTAGTACGAAAAAATATCAGTTTTAATAATATTTTTATTATCATAATCTTAGTTAGAATCAGAATTATTTTATGATTAATCTTCTTTTTGTAGTGCCACCTAAGTTGAAAAAGAAAATAGAAGATCAGACAGCAATGGCCGAAGAAACCATTCGTATTAAGTTGGAGTTGGAAGGTACACCAGAACCTGTGGTAAAATTCTATAAGGATGGACAGGTATTATTGATCAATATTAACGGTTTTTTAAATTATAATGAATGACTCAATTTATTTGTTATTCTAACAGGCCATATCAGAATCCGATCGGATTAAAATTGTCAAGGAAGGCCAGGAGCATATTTTGGTTATTGAAAAATCTAAGCTATCAGATTCTGGTTCTTATTCGGTTGTTGCCTCAAATGAAATTTCTCAGATTAGCGAGTTCTTCAATGTCAAAGTTAACTCAAAACCTAAATTTTTGGAAAAGCTCGGAAAGGATGTGGATTGTGATCAAGGAGATTCAATCACTCTTAAGGTGGGTAATTAAAATATGTTTATAAATAATTACTTGTAATATTTATATATATATATATATATATATATATATTAAATATTATGCAATCTACATTGTTATTACAATATTCAGATAAAAATTGAGGGTGATCCAGCACCAACCGTCAAGTGGACAAAGAATGGCACTGCAATTTCGTCGAGCGATGATTCTGTAACTATGTCATCATCCAGTGATGGTCAAACTTATACATTGACTATTAAGAAAGTAAAGACTACTGATGCCGGTTCTTATGGCGTTGTCATTGAAAACAAATACGGTTCTGAAAGCGATTCTGTGCGCGTCAATGTCCGCATGAAGCCTGATTTTGATCAAAAACTCAAGGATATCCAGGTACAAAACATCATTCATAAAATAGTTCAATAAATGACTCATATTAGAGTTGAGTATCATATCAAATCGAATGTTATTTTTCCTACACCTAGGCAAACGAAGGAGATTTAAATCTTGTGTTAGAAGTATCAGTCCGTGCCTATCCTGCACCCAAAGTCACATGGTACCTTGATGATTTAGAAATTACTGAAAAGAGAACTGAATTTGAAAGGATTGAAGAAATTAAAGATGGAAGTTATAAGCTTAAAGTTAAAGAAGTTACTAGTGAAATCAAAGGAAAGTAAGTATAATTTGTTCTTCATCACTAGGGTGTGAACTGAAATATTTAAAGCATTGTTTCATTATAAATTCATATAATTTCAGATACAAATGCCGTGTAGAAAATCAGTACGGTCATGAAGAATGTGAAGCTAATTTAACTGTTAATTGTAAGTGTAAATTATTCACAATATTTTATACGTACGTACTTTATGATAAATTGTTTTATTTTATTTTGTTAGATAAGCCAAAGTTTGTGAAAAAATTGCCAGAGAAAACAGCTGTGGATGAAGGTACTACTTTACAGCTGGAAGTTGAAATTTCTGCTTTCCCTGAACCAACGGTAATTTAATCGATTAAATTATCAATATTATAATAAACTAATTAAATTATTAAATTATTAAAATGTTTTTCAACTTGAACATTGAAGTTCAAGGATGGTTCTTACGGCTAGAAAAAATCGAATAATTGCCGGGAAAACCTTAAAAACAGCCCTTTTCTTTTTCACATACAAACGTTAGTATTTTCATATTTCTGCCATCGGATACGGAATATGCACTCAAGTCAATGTTTGGGTCTGAATTTTTTTACAGTGCTCCAATTCGTATGAAATTTTGAAATTAGATGTATTTTACTCTCAAGTTCAAAAGTGAAAATAATTTAGACTCCTTTGCCATTTCCCGGGGGAATGACATCCTTCACGTGGTGTAATTTCATTTTTTTTAAAATAACGTCGGATATCGATAAAAGAACTAATTATATAAAAAATGTTTTACAATGTTTTTCAAAAAAGCAAATACTCATCATTTTATTTGAAGCAGTTGTATATTTAAGATCCATATGGGTGGATGTATATACATTTCGGTATAGACTGTAGTGTAAAAAAACATAAAAAAATTTAACTAATTGGTAAATATCAATATAGATTATTAAAAAAAATGAACTTTTGAATTATAAACATAAGTACAGGACAACGTCTGTCGGGTCATCTAGTGTACAATAAAACTACTGAAAACGCTTATATTTTTAATAATACGCACAAATTCTACACATCGTTTACAGCTTTGTTGGATGTTATGAATAAAAATTTTTGTTGAAGCACATACCATTGTTGATATTAAAACATACAGATAACAATGATCTTTATCTAGGTGAAATGGTCGCGAAACGGCAGCGACATTTCGACGGACGCTCGTATCAAAATTACTCGGTCAAAACATAGAGAGGAGGTGTACAATTTGACACTTGATTTAATCAAAGGTGAAGATTGTGGTGACTTCCAGGTGACAGCGGAGAACAAGATGGGCAAGGTGGTCAGTTCGACGAAAGTTACCGTATCGAGTGAGTTCATATTTATCGCTTATCATATAATTCATACAAAATCCTCATTGTTACTTATTCATACAAGAAATCGCAAGATTGAATGCAAAGGTCGTATTAAGAATATTAATTTCTTTTTAAATATTAGGAAAATATTATATGTACTTAAATGAAAGAAAAATGGCGTATATATAAAATTATATCGAAAAACTTGATTATTATCTAAAAATTTGATTACTAATTATCTACTTTCTCACAAAAATTACATTTATATTTAATTATTTATAATGTAATATATATAATGAATTATCAATGATACAATGTTACATAATATGTAACACTACGCTAATGATATATTAATTATATAAGAACAAAATTTATTAGAGGAATACTTACGGTAATTTATGAAATTCAACACTTTTAAAATATTTGTTTGAAATTTAATTTTTGTATTTAATATTTTATATGATTATAAAATCTTCAATTTATAAAAAGAAAAATGGAGGATCATGCTATGCTAATTCATATGTCGATGGTACCATAATTATTATACTAAAGACTGAATATATATATATATATATATATATATATATATATATATTATATATATATATATATATATATATACATAAGGAATTTATAATCTTGTTAATTATTTGTGGAAATGGTGAGTAATAAGTAACGTTTTATAAAGCCCCTTTATTGTTATTGTCAAAAAGTTTTTTTCGTGTATTTTCGGTCATTATCCACTCCTGATGTTGTACCCTAAAAATTATATTAAATGCTTGATAACGTATTATTATACTAATTCAAACAAATACTTCAATGATAATTTATTATTCCCATTTTGAAGACTGCATTTATAATGAAAATTGAAAATTTTCCAATTCATACCTTATTTTACATAACATAATTATATATTTCATTACTATTTATTTTTCATATTTGATCAAGTTTCAATAAGTGAGCATTTTTATTAAATATCAACCATAAATACCACGTTAATTTTTATTCCGAATTTGTTATTTGAAAATTGATATTAAAATGAAAACACAATACTCGATTATAAAAAAATATAACTTTATTTCTCTTTTTTTAAATGAATTAATCCAACCTTTTTCCACTCTCCAAAACTACGGTTTTTAAAGTGTGCTTTAAATTCCAGAAGAATTATTTCCTAAATTTTAATATACCAGAAAAAAAAAAATTTTCAACCAATAATGTGTACTGTTTTGTTTTTCCATTTATCCCCAACCACGCTTGTGCTTTTTGATGTAAAAAAAACTGATATCAAATCAGCCACCGAGATTCAAGAAGAACATACTGTTGAAGAAGAAAAAGAATTGGTCAAAGAACCTATTGAAGAAGTTATGGAAGAGCCCATTAAACTTAAAATATCCGACGATTTGGGCGTGAAGCAAAACGCTACTGAAGAAGGTGATTTTCACAATAACAAGCCATGGATTATTTGTAATTAATCTTCAATGAATAAATTATAATAGTAATTACAGAATTAATTTTTTTTTTCAAATATTTCATAAAATTTTCTTTTCTGTTCTTTAGTGTTCTTTAGATAATTCAGAAAAAATATGAGATAATCCATGTGCTTAAACATTAGCTTTAAACATATACAATTGCAATTTTAAAATGGCACTTTTATAAATTGTGCAAAACATTTTGGAAAATTCACCTGAAAAGATTAAGGTACAATTTGATATTACTATTTGAATAGTTTGTTGTAATTAAATATTAATTAATATAAATTAATCATTTGCGATAGCATTTCATTAAATTCAGTTTCATTTTAATTTTAGACTTGTATAATTGTATATGTTTAATAGTGAAATATCTAGTTACATTCATATTTTAACAACAAACTTTTTTGGATAGAAGTTTAATTTTACAAATTAAAATTGTAAATAAACCAACACAATACACTGTACTCTAATACTTTTGCTTATTTAAAATGGTATATAATCACATCTTCTAAATTTGTACATATTGTAGTTTAGAATATGAAACATTTCAAATACTTCTAATAGTATTAATCTGATATTTCAAATTATATATTAACATGCATACAATAATACAAATATATTATTAAAAATTCCTAATTAGAATAAAGTTTAAGTCTCAAGGTGAGTATTAGCTTAAAAATCAAATAGAATCACCATTCTATTTGTATATATGTTGTTGTGACTTTCCTCTCTATGTTTAAATAACATTGCAATATTTAGAATAACTTTTTTTATTGCATGCTATGTGTATGTTATGAATTGATATAGTGTTTTTATCTATGTTATGTAATATCTATACATAATCTTCTCTTCATAAAACACTAAATTTTAGGTAGCAATCTATTGTATTATTTACATTTACATTTTATTAATTTATTATATTTTTTGGTATGTTTTTCGCAAAAGGAAATTGCATAATCAGTTTAGTAGATATGTGAAATCAGAAAAAGATAATTTTTAAACTAAAATAATTAAAAAACAATTATTATTTATTAATATAATAGTCGTTTTTAAATAAACTTTTGAAGGCGCGAAACTTAGATTACTGCGTCAAGACTTTGACAATGACCTTCAACATCTGACCGGATTGTGATTATTGCTTTCTTAACGTTATACAGTCGCGGAAACGTTAATAAACCCAGCCAAATTTTAAATAAGGCCATTGTGCCATTTTGTTCATATATACCATTTTGTTCGTATTTCCACTGTGTTAAAAAATATATAAATCTGTTCATAATATCTTATTGGAAAATCGTGAAGATTTATTTATTGTATTTTAATATATGTAGTAAAACTATTTGACGATGTTTGTATTGTTCAAAATTAAACTTGCAGTTTTTGAATATAAATAAAACTCGAATGTATTTCAAAATAAATATAACAATAAGTATCTTATATATTGAAATTTAATATCAATAAAGTACAAATAATACGTACTGAAAATTAAGTCTCTAAACATACAGACAGATAACTACGGTTTAGCTTTTCGAGGGCAATGTGAATATTCAATTGTTAAAATGCAAAGTGGGGTTAGGTTTCAGCAACTATCCACACTATTCGATATTTCTGTAAAGAAAATATGTAAAGTATTATACATTGTTAGAAAGGTCTCAAAACTCTTAGTTCTTTTACCATATATCGCAACTTTGTATTCCGCTCGGTGTGGCCTGCAGGCAAGTTGCAGTTGAAACAACAAAGGGAAAATTGGAAAATCTCGAGAAAATTATATGTTATATGAATACACTTAACAATTTATATATCATTTTATTCGAAATTTTATTCTCCATCTTTCGCATCTGCACTAAGTTTTCGAATGTGGAATTGAATTTAGTATTATCAGACTGTAACTCTAGGGAATATTCATAAAGTTTCGTACAAAACTATAAAAAGCCATAGTGTAATCGAGCGCAAAAATTATTGCATTTTTTTATATCATGCTATGATATGATTTTAATTATTCACTTATTATTATATTCTAAACAATGTGATTGTTGTATTTCAATCTTTTTAATTTTGAACATCTTGATTCATATCTGACATTCTTATTGTGCAAAATCCTATATATCTTCTATCGAAATTATTCTTCACTTTGTATATATAGCACGGCTGGTTTGCCTGAAGCAATTACCGCACGGCAATTTTTAACACGCGCCAGTTTTTTCACTATTCTTATATTTTCCGTAATTTTTTATAGCCGCCCCTAAAATCACATCTACGATGTCCGACGGTTCCGTATACGAATCGCTCGGAATGAACTACTCTGTGACTGTGGACGCTGAACCAGTCGCCGAAGTCGTTTGGAAAAAGGATGGAACTGACATCAAAGCTGATGGAAAACGTGTGAAAATTTCATACGATGAAAAAACAGGCGCTTGCAAAATGGAAATTTTAAATGTCAAGCAAGAAGATGCCGGTGTATATAAATGCGTTGCTAAAAATAAACTCGGGCAAGATGAGAAACAAGCGAAACTGGATGTTATACGTAAGTTTAAATATTAATATTTAATAGAAATAATAAGACAAAATTTATTATTGATTTAAATTTATCGTTTTTTTTTCAGCTGAGAGTGAACTAAGGAAACCTAAATTCACCAAACTTTTGAAGGATACCAAAGCACCTAAAGGATCTCAAGCAACCATGAACGCTGTTTTAACTGCAGATCCTGTTCCTGAAGTCCAGTGGTTCAAAGGCGACCATCAGGTTAGTTTTTTTATGAAAATGAAATTTCAAAATTTTCAATATATATTAAACTTAAGTTTCGGCATAAGAAATTCTTTATTTAAGTATACTTCAAATTTATTTCTATATATCTAATTGATTAAAAATTATATCCCAGCATTATTTAGTCTTGTTTGCAATATTACAATATTTTCTAAACATACGAATACTAATATTATAAAACACTAAATATTTTTATTTCAATGTTTAATAATAAAATAAGAATTTCTTGACTTGATTAGATTAAAGTGTAATTCAAACTTATTACTATATATCTAATGAATTTAGAATAATATTTTCTAAACATACTAATACTAATGTTATAAAAATAAAATATTTATACTTCGATGTTTAATAATACAATAGAATTTTTTGATTAGATTAAAGTGTAATTCACATTTATTGCAATATATCTAATGAATTGAAAATTATATCCCAACATTATTTTATCACGTTTGCCATATCATAATATTTTCCAAACATTCTAATACTTATGTGATAAAATATAAATTATTTAAATTTTAATGTTTAAATAGAGAATTATCTGATACATGCTGCATTTTAACATAACATAACACAGTTTTAACATTATTTTTTTAATTATAATATAAATTTTGTGTCTGATATGAGGGATCGTACAAAATATCTATACAATAGTATATATCTATTTTATACATGTCATTATATATGTATATATATATATACATATATATATATATATATATATATATATATATATATATATATGTATATATATAATATGATCATTACAACGTTTTATATCATTTATTCTAAAATTCAATTATACGTATATTTGTTTTTACATTCATACTTTGATCTAATTTATTTCTCTAGATTTTCTTTATAATATTTTTTTAACTTAATTTTAAATTTAAACATGAAAACTTTTGTTCGGTTTTCATTACAATTATTTATTTTGATCTAGATTTATTATAATATTTTGTCGGACTATGATAATTCATTACTAAATAAGTCTTTACATATATTTAGAAATGATAAAAAATATACCTAAACATCCGAATGCAATGAAAAGGTAATTGAACATTTCAATTTTGTTGTGTTACTAATTGATTTAGTTTATAAAAAATATTTTTTATGTACATAATAGCTTAGTAACTTTGAAGTTAAATAGTGAACTACCAATTTCGTTCCTCATCGGCCGGCCCCGTATTCGTATACAATTATTTTTTCTAATATATAATAAAAATAACTAAAAATGTGTTAAACAAAATACTTATATTTTAAAAACATTTCTAAATTAATTAATAATGATAAAAAATACATAAATAAATAAATAAATAAATAAATTGCATAATAAATGCAATAAATAATAATTAAATAATGAATAATTTTATTAGATAAAAAAATTATATAAAAATTTGTAACATATTGTTATAATGTAATGACGGCTTATAAAATAAATATCATATTTATAAATGAAATAAATAAATAAAATATACAAAAATACCGCATATCTATAATTTCATATATCTATTTTTCAAATTCAGGTTACTTCTTCCGATGAATGTAAACTGACAGAGGAAGTAAAAGACATCAAAGATGGCTTGAAAGAATGTAGCTATACACTTACTATACCCGAAGGTAAGCAAAATTGAAAATGATATTTAGTATGTTTTGTATAAATTATATAAGTTTTATACTTTTATCATTATAAAAATACGAGTATGTTTTTTTTGCTACTTTACCTGGTCTTTATTACCTCATAGGCGGGGTACAATGAGATGGCTAGAGGGCAAACAGGTCCAATGTCTTATTTTTAATTTTCAAGGGATTTTATGAAATAATCGCTACCAGTGCAAAATATAATTTAAATGTGTTCAGTTTTTAGAGATAACACTGTATATAACCTTGATCTGGTATTTTCTCCAAAATATTTGTCAACAGAGTTGAAATAACATTTTATTTAATTTATTTGTTGTTGTACAACAGCGTTTTTCAACTTAATTTGCTTTTTTATTTACTACTTCTTATTGTTTACACCTTTGCGGGGGTAATGATTCAGTCGCTCCTTTTTACCTCAACTACGCGTAAGCTTTTATAAAGGTTACATAGAAAACTATTGAGTCTAATTATTATACGTTTAAATAACGTATATTTAAAAATTATATCAAGATCTTATAAACTAAACAATAGTGCTTAGAATCAAACAAACTAGCAACTAAAGAAAATAAATAGTCGTAAAAGTCGTAAGAATCAAGGTGATGGCTGGTTATACATTTTTTCTTTCTACTTTCAAATAAGGTTGTTAAAAAATCTTAACTTTACTTGTTTTCGAGATATCGGAGATGGACCTTTTTATCCGCCGGCATTTAAGCACCGCTCTATCCTAACCTAACTAATTAACAAATTGAAAAAAAAAATATTTATTTTTATTTTTTTCTTTTATTATTTTTTTATATTCTAGATATAACATTATTATCATCATTTAAGTGTATCATTTAGAAATTAAATGATAAAAAATTTTTACGAATTAGCAAAAATACTACTTAAAATTTAAGTAATTTATCAGTAGGTACTTTGCTCATATTTTCTCTATTATTCAGGCAAGCATTCAGACTCTGCAGTCTACAAAATAAAGGCTAAGAATAAATTTGGCTATGATGAAGCTTCCGCTCGCCTCGATATCCAATTGAAACCTGAATTAGGTGTTCTGAAAGACCAAAGTTGTCTTCCTGGAGAGGCCACCGAGTTTGCTATTAATATTCAAGCAAATCCTAAACCTAAAGTGAGTTGAACTTTGATGCTATACTTAATATGGGAAAGAACTGTTTTAAATACGATTTAATAAAAAATGTTATCAGGTGACATGGACTAAGGGTGGCAATGATTTATCCAAGGATAAGACATGTGAAGTTGAAGAAGATTTGAGTACAGAAATGTATCGTTTAAAAATTGCAAGAGTGGAATTACCTCACGATGGCAGCTACCGTGTCACGGCTGTTAATGAACATGGTGAAGCCAGTAAAGAAGTAGCACTATCTGTTTATAGTAAGTTATTAAAAACTCTTCGAAATTATCTTACTTTTAAATCTTAATCAATTAATGTGAAAATTCTTTGCTGGTAAATTTTTTGGTGTTATTATATAGAAAAAAATTAATTCTTCAACGTGTTATTTTACAGCCGATCGTCCCAAGTTTGCAAAACAACTGGAAGACCAGACAATCAAAGATCGTGACTACGCATGCATGAATGTGAGGTGCAGCGGTGTACCAGAGCCGCAAATTAAATGGTATAAAGACGGAGTCGAACTCACCTCCGGCGAGAAGGTCAAGATAACCACAACCACTGAAGCCCAAGTATCGAGCAGGCTTGAAATTGAACATTTCTCAGTCAATGATGTAGGAAAGGTAAAATATAAATGTGAAATACTTTAGCAATTTTATATTATGGCTAAATTTTGATGTTTTATATACTATATTATGTTTCAATATTTCAGTATACAGCCAAAGGTAGCAATGTTCTCGATAGCACGGAAACATCCTGTGCATTGAAAATGGCTCAGATTCCTCCATCATTCACTAAAAAACCTGATAAGTGTGTTGATGTCGACGAAGGAAGCCCGCTGGAGCTCGTTGTTAAAGCTGATGGTAGCCCAATACCAACAGGAAAATGGTAATATGTTTCTCTAAGTAACTTATAATTAGTAAATATTTAGTGAAATTATGGAAAGTCACAGAAATATTTTTGTTTATGATTCATCGCTTTGAATTATTTATATTATTGAAATCTTTATAATTTACTATTTAAAATTTTAAATGTTTTTGTAAAACATTTTGTGAATGGTAAAATATAGGGCGGAGAATTCCTTTTGCATTAAGTATTTCAAAATTTTATATTATACATACTTATGTATACAATATTAATTAAAAATTATAATGTAATATATTCAATTATGTGATCATTACCGATAACCTTTTTTGGATTCTGCACGATTTTTAATTGAAAATTGTTAGTAATTTAAATTAAAAATAAATTAATAAAATCGGGTAAAAGCTTTTTATATATTTGGTTGATATGATAATTTTTGAAAAGTAAAATTTAAATATGCATTTGAAGTATACGTTTCTTGAATTCATATATTCAAGAAATCATATATTCATATCTTGAATTATATATTCATATTTTGAAGAATATTCATTCAAGTTAATGAACTATTCGCGGTTTTATATTACTTCTATCCATTTGCTTCAAAAATCTAATTCAATAATTTAAAAGCGCGATGAGTTTAGCATTTATACAGAAAGATTATACAATCATACCGATTTTATTAATTCACGTATGCATTTAATAAAATAAAATGAAATGGATAAAATATTATAAGTGTCATTTACTTTTACTTTACATTTAAACTACATTTTGATAATCAATTATTTTGCGCGTTTAAAATGATTGATTTTTTTTAGGTTTAAAGATGGTCAGCCTTTGGAACCCTCTGATCGTGTTAAATTGGTATTTACACCTGATGGTATGATGAAACTATTGATAGATAGCGCAAAAGCTACTGACAGTGGTGCTTATAAAGTTGAACTTGAAAATCCTAATGGAAAAACACAAGCCCAGTTCGCTGTCACAGTTAAACGTATGTCAATAACTTATTTAATAAATTTTAGTAGTATCTTAAACAATTAAGCATTAATAATTATATATGTATATATATATATATATATATATATTATGTGTATGTGTTAGTTGAGTTTTCAAAGATCGAACATTGCGTCAATAGTTAGTATTTCTTACGATTAGTATTTTTATCTATGCAACTTAATATTTTAGCCAAATCGCAAAAACCATTACTGTTGAAGCCTTTGAAAGACTTAAAGGTAACAGAAGGTGAACCATTAGAGCTCGAAGCTGAAGTGTCTGGTTTTCCATCACCCGAAATTGTCTGGTTCAAGGATGGTGTACCATTGCGACCATCACAGGTAGATAATAATCATAACTGCAGTAAAATTACAATTTCTAATGCAAATTAAATATAATTATAACTCTAAGAATCTTTTTGGGTATAGCCGATCATTTATAGTCTATCCCAAATAAAATAGTAAAAATTAGTTGTTTTCTTTATTTTAGTCATGTTGTTCTGTTCTGATTGTTTGTTTTATGCATATAATAGAATGAATAGATTTTATCAACTAGAGATTATTGTTTATATAAGATGATTTTATGATTATTAATTGTTTTAAAGTACCTTTTTATGAAAATGACTTTTAAATGAAAATTTAAAAATAAATAATAATTCAGAGGCCAACCGATAAACTTTTTGTGGAAAACCGTCTCGGCGACTGATTCACTTTGACCATTGCACATGTACATGTTCGATTTAAAATATCAATAGATAACGTAAACAGACTTTACGCACAGACCGCAACTATCACTTAACAACTGGCTATTATTTTAGAAAACTCTCGAAAGAACTTTACAGATTGAAAACAAAATGTAAATTTGTACTAAGATTCTAGATTCTATGTTATATGTTCACTATTGATACTGCTGTTCAATTTGTGTTTATTTTACTTCTGAAGAAAATTGCATTAAAGCTCTGTATAAATTGTTAGTAATTAAACTGCATTTTAAGTGAATGTTTGTCCATATTTATTTATATAAATATGCATACATTTATTATAATTAAGTGTGTCATTTTATTAATACAAGTACACTCGCAGTTATGAATTTAAATTAAAATGAATTTAATCAATTATTATTTTCTGTGAAGTCTGTAAAGTTATTCTTACCGTCAGGTTCGGCTAAAGTCGAAGTTTTACCCAGGCCTCGTAGACCAGGTTTTACGCGAGAGCTCATGCCTATGTCTGCCGTCGAAGGTTATCCGGTTAAAATGGAAGTTAAAACTACCGGCCATCCTGAACCAAAAGTCAAATGGTAAATAAGTCAAGTTTATACTGTTATAGTAATTGTATAACCTTAAATGTTTTTGCAATTCTCATGGTTTGATTTTGATTCATGCTAGGATGCATAATGGTCAGGAAGTCGTACCAGATGGTAAAAATATTAAAATGGTGTCGACACCAGATGGTGATGGTGTGTTACATGCATTGGTTATCGAGTGTGCAAAACCAGGAGATGCTGGGCCATACGAAGTTGTTCTGACCAACGATAAGGGAGAGTGCAGAAGCAAAGGTATTGATTGATATTTAAATATTTTATTATTGGTCTTTTCAGAACTTTTTATGTAATATATCATTATATTAAACCAACAATGTGATTATGTTCGATTTGAGGATTTTTTATTTTGAAATTTGTTTGTGAAATAATAGCAATAATAGCAATAATGTGAAATAGAGCAAAATATTATTAAGAAAATTTATCTATTTAACGCAAATGATGTTGTCAATTTCTAAGTGTAATATAATATGATAGTTTATAATAAATAATAATATAATAATGTGATCTATAAGTGTCTAACTGTAAATTTAATGTATAATTTGCAATCATGATTCCTATTGAAAATGTTTTTATAATTACATTCTTGTGTAGGTGACTTGGATGTATTAGGAAAATCTAATACTGCTGCTCCTGAAGAAACACCCAGCTTTGTGCATGCATTGCGTGATGTAACTGTTGATGAAGGAGAACCACTATGTTTGAGCGCTCCTTTCAAAGGTATGTTTTTATTTTATTTCGAATATAATTACATATCTATTTATTTAAATTTATTTAAAAAATGTGTAATTGCACATTTGTTATGAAAACAGGTAATCCAATTCCGGAAATAGAATGGTCTAAAGATGGATTGCCATTGACATCAACACCTCCAATCTCTTTTGGATGCGATGGCCAGAGACTCAGTCTAGAAATTAAACCATGCGGATTGGAGCATGCTGGAACCTACGCGTGCAAGATCAAAAATCCACTCGGTAGATTTTTTTTTATAATCAATTTGCTCTTAATTTTTAGATAAATTAGATAATTAGATAATTTTATAATATAATATTTATTTATTGAAATCATTATGTTATATCGCGTAATGTTTGTTATACAGGCGAAGAAACTTGTCAGGCCAAAGCAACTGTTCGTAAAGTTTTCACACCCCCTGTATTCACGCAGCCCCTGAGCGATGCACAGTATTTGCCGAACACAGAAGCAAAAATGCCAGCTCGCGTTAGTGGAAATCCGAAACCTGATATTGCATGGTTCAAAGAAGGCAAAAAGCTTTCCCCTGGCGATAAATATCGCGAAAAGAAAGACAATGAGGGTAAGAAAATTTATTATTAATAATAGTGTGCATTTTCAAAAAAATACTCATTTAATATTTAATTGCAATGTATGTAACTTTCAACAGCTGTGGCTCTGTACATCCAGGATTGTAAGCCTGAAGACAGTGGCGAATATGAATGCGTTGCAGAAAATAAATTGGGTAGAGCAAGCTCTAAAGCAAAATTGGAAATTGTTGATCATATGTAAGTAATATTAATTATAGTTACACCAAACCTATATAATATTTTAAAACGATGATTGCTATTTTACAAAGTTAAATATATTTAGATCACCTGCATATATGTTCACCCTTAAGTTACATTGTTTTTGTTATGTTTCTTTTTTGAAAATTTGCGATATAATTATTAAGTTAATTTCTTAAAACATGAAATTGTCTAAATTTTAATTTTTTGTTTACTCTCGCAAATATTTTGAATCTAAAAGCAAATTTCTTTATCAGTTTTCTATCATAGTATCTGTCTAACTTCGTACCGGATCGATTTTTATAACTTACCTTAAGCATTAAATTTATAATATATTATTTTATAGTTCACGTGCACCAAGGGGAGAACCAGCTGCGTTCATCAAGCGTTTGGGTGACTGTGAAGTTTACAAAGCAATGCCCGCCAAGTTCACCGCCTGCGTTGTGGGTTATCCTGAACCAGACATCGAGTGGTTCCGCAATGGGGTCAAGTAAGTGTTCAGAAAGTAATACTAATATGTAATAGAAACATTGATATTAAATTTTGATAATTCTTCTGATTTTCTATACCCAATTAATAAATGTGATTCGAATATGCAATAACGAATATGTTGTCCGTATTTTACAAGTTTGGGCCACAAAAACAAATTTATATAATAAATTCAAAGTCGCATTAACTTTCCAAGCAGCGTTAATAGAGGACGCCCAAAGTTGAACCGGGGACTATCGGTTTTGAACCGGAAACCTCCCGATCTGCAGTCGAATGCTCTACCACTGAGCTATGTCCCCACGAACTCCGCCCATCAGCAAATAGAAAATACCGGCATCATACCACATTTTCTCTGCAAAAAGTTAAAGATTTTGTAATAATCCTCAAAAAAAAAAGCAAACGGTAGCGCTATGTCACATTATATCAGCAATTTTCTTCAATAAATTCAAAGTCGCATTTACTTTCCAAGCATCGTTAATAGGGGGCACCCGGGTTTGAACCGGATACCTCTGAATCTTCAGTAGAATGCTCTACCACTGAGCTATGTCTCCACATGTAATAACTTGTAAATAGGACGTATTTCTTTATCAGGGTTAATAGGGGACACCCGGGTTTGAACCGGGGACCTCTGAATCTGCAGTCGAATGCTCTACCACTGAGCTATGTCTCCACATGTAATAAATTGTAACTAGGACGTACTTTTTTTTAGAGTTCATAGGGGACAGCCGGGTTTCAACCGGGGACCTCTCGATCTGCAGTCGAATGCTCTACCACTGAGCTATGACCCCACGATCTGTGTTCTTCAGCAAATAGCAAATAGCAAATACCGACACCATACCACATTTTCCCAGCAAAAACTTAAAAAAATTGTAATAATCTTAAAGCGATAAGCAAACGGTAGCGCTATATCACATTATCTCAGCAAACAAAATTCTTTAATAAAATATTGAATTCAATTTTTACCGTATGTTATTATGTAACATAAGGTAAGGTTGTTCAAGTCGTGCCCCATAAGGCAATAATATTTAGTACAATTAAATTAAAAAAATATCTTTGACGTTTATTGAATCTGTATTTAGTTGGCTCTTGATTATTGATCATCGAAATTTTTTTTTTTTTTACTTATATAGATATTTTTTTTGTTTTTCAGAAATGTGTTTGAATTTGAGAAAAAACTTTAGAAAATTGTATTCAACCATTATTTCTTCGTATTTAACAAAAAAATCCATAAAACGCTCTTTAATAAACTGATACCTACCAGTACGGAATTTTTCGCAAATTTGACTTAAGCTACAAGGTCTTTAAAGTTTAAAATTAAAACTTCTGACATTAACAAATTCCACCATTCAAATATACAAAAAACGATTGCCAAGTGAGTAATATACGAGTAAATAAACCCTAGTAAGAAAAAAATCAGAATCAAACTGACAGTTTTGGCTATTACTGCGGTAAAAGATAGATGCCAGATAGAAAAATAAAATTTTGTAATGATTTACTAAATATTCTTCAGAATCTTTCCGTCTGAACGTATCCGCATGGAGCGCGACAAGAATGGTTTGCTCCGGTTGACCATCGGTCGTGTTGCTGCTGACGATGCCGGAACTTATAAATGCCGAGCTTATAATGAGCATGGAGAAGACGTATGTCAGGCAGAACTTATCTATGACTGTATGTATACAACAATATTTGAAAATAGTATCTATAATAAACTTTATGTGTAAAATTTTAATAATGGAAACACATGTCCTTATTTAATCACTATCGCTTTTTAAAATATTTACTTTTGCACAAATTGAAAATGTCAATTCGCATATAACTAGACTTTCTGATTTTTTATTTAATTACTTACATTGTATAATTATAATGATTGTATCTTAAATATTTGGTAGAATTTTTAAATATAGTAAATTTATACATGTTCGTAATAGAATATTTTTATTGTATTTCTATAAAACCACTTCATTATCTATTTTCAGCTTTGGAAGATAAGCAAAGGAAACCCATGTCTGATCAATATAGCGATTTTGATAAACTTAAAAAATCGGGAATACCATTGCCTTTAGCGGACAAACCCATTATATCACGCATGACGGATAGGAGACTCACGCTCTCTTGGAAACCCAGCATCTCTGTTTATCCAAGAAAACCAGTCACATATCAAGTAATAATATTTTTAATAATATTTTAATAAAACTTCATTTTTATTTGAAAAAAAAAATAATTTAATCGGAAATCTGAACACAATTGTTATAGGTGGAGATGTGCGAACTGCCGGATGGCGATTGGTTCAATGTTAGGAAAAACATCAGATCTTGCGCTTGTGAGGTATTTATATATAAAAATATATGAAATTTCATTTTTAAGGTATACCTATATTATAAACAACATAATGTATTTGTTTTAAGGTATCTAATTTAGAACCATTCCGTGACTATCGGTTCAGGATTCGTGTAGAGAATGAATATGGAGTGAGTGACCCTTCACCATATGCTCAGACTTATAGGTAAGTTATATGTTTATAATAAAAAATCTTATACCAACATCAGGAAGTGCACTATTTCTTTTTTTTTTTAATTGTAGTGCAGTGTATTTTTAAGATTTTAAAAAAATATTGAAATAAAATATATTTATTAATTATATAATTTGTTTTTTTCTTTCAGAACTAAACTCTTACCTGATCCACCAAAGTTCCACCCTTACTTAGAACCTGGTATAGATTTTCGGCCTGAAACTTCACCACACTTCCCCAAAGACTTTGACATCGAACGTCCTCCTCACGATGGATATTCTCAGGTATCATAAAATGTTTATTTATGCATAAACTCAATTATAATTATCAATAAAATGTTATCAATGCATTATCTGAAGATATAGTAGAGCACTTGCAAATACAATTATGGCGTCTAATATAATTTGTTTTTGATAACAAACTTGGACAAACATTGCTAATTATATTTATTTTTACTGATAATTTATTTTTTGGATGTATTTTTAAATGATGTTTCTACATGAAACATATTGCGTTGAATAATTCCAAATAACGTTTTTTGAAATAGGCCCCTCAATTCTTACGGCAACGTGATAGCACCCAATACGGTGTCAAAAACCACAACTGTGATTTGACGTGGTTTGTTTATGGATATCCAAAACCAACGATCTCATACACATTTAATGATGAACCAATTCAGCCTGGCGGGAGGTATAAGAGTTTATTGCTAGAAATTAAGCTTTCGTCGTAAGTTAATATAACTAACATAAGAGTTAATTGAAATATTAATGAATACTTATACTGTTAACATGATTCTCAAAATTTGGTAAATAGCACTCTTTCATTTCAAAGATAAGTTACATGTTTTATAATATATGAAATCAATGTTGATTTAATAATAGTTAAAAATTGTGGTGTAAATAGATTTGTTTCTTGTTCAGTGTTGTTTGATAACTTTGTTCAGTGTATTATTAAATATTTGTTGCACGTTGCATTGTATATATGCTGTATAGTTTTATGTAAAATATGTTTAATTTTTTATATGGTTTTTAAGTTAAAAGAATTACTTAAAAGTTAAATATTAAATATTTATGTATTATAAATTTAGATTTGATTGGAGTTATACACGTAATGGTCAAGCAACCCTATTTATTAACAAAATGCTGGATAGAGATGTTGGAATTTATGAAGCTATTGCTACAAATGAGCACGGAGAGGTAAATAGTTTCATCAAGTACTCTGTTAATAATATTAATATATAATATAAAAATTTTGAATAAGTATAAATAATAACTTTGTATGATACGTACGATACAGTACGACGTACGACTTACATGTCGTACATTCACAAAAATTATGAAGCAAGAGTCGTAATTTTAACAAAAAATATTTTTGAATTCGTTATAGGCTAGACAACGTATCAATGTCGAACTGGCTGTACATCCCGAGTTTATTCAACGTCCGGAAATCACGCATATAATGCTACATAAATCAGGAAGAATAAAGTGCCGCATTTCTGGTCATCCTGCGCCTACTATTAAATGGTTCAAGGATTGGCAACCACTTGGAACTAGTCACAGAATTCAGGCGAGTGATTCTTAAATAATCAAAAAAATATTTACCATAATAGCTATAAATATTTAGGTCAACTTACTTACATATTGGTGATATATATTAGTAGGTAATACTATTTCCATTGTAATTTTATTTTTTCAGGTCCAGCACGTTGAGCCCGATGTGTACATACTTTCTATAAAAGATTGTATTCTGAAGGACCAAGGTCTTTACTCTATAACCGCTTCGAACCCAGCGGGTTCTATATCTTCTTCTGCTATGGTTTACATTGAAGAAAACTCTGATGAATACGCCTGGAATACGTATGGTACCATACCACGAATTACTCCTCGCACCAAAGCTTTGCATGATCTGTATGACATCGGTGTTGAACTTGGTAGAGGAACACAGGGTGTTGTTTATCATGCCAGCGAACGCAGAACTGGTAATTTGAACTAACTATATTAAAACTATCATACAGTGCTACTGATTCAATCACAATTATTTCGGATTAATATAGTTTAAATAAAGTAGATGTATATTAATGGATAGAGTGGGGCAGGGCACAAAGGTCCAATTTTACTTTCAGTAATTATACTGTGTATATCGAACCATGTTCAGTAAAATTTTCACTTAATCGCTAATCATAGAAATGTGTTTTTTTACTACTTGTCATTTGTCCCTTTTTACCCTGTCTATGGGGCAAACTGATTTAATATTTTATTTATAATTTTAAAAGGGTTTAACGAAATAATAGGTTCATTTGTCGACTATATTGGGAAATACAAATTTTATGAGCACATTTTTTACAAAGATCATACTGTATACCCTCAGGTGATATTTATCAGCACAATTAGAGTAACTATTATCGTAGTTTATTTTTTATTTACTATTTAGGTTTAGTTTGCACTTTTGACTCCGCCCGCATGTAAACTTTCGTAGGGTATAGGTTATGTAAAAAAACTGTTAAATCTGACTTAAAATAACAATAATTCTTATAAAAGAATTGAATAACATTCACTTAAAAACTATATTCATGTATCACAAGCTAAATACAAGAGCTCAAAACCATAAACACTACCAACATAAAAAAATACTTTGGTTGTGAATATTAAATGAATATTATTGATACATGGTTGTTTATCTCCTGATGACGACGTCGTAAGAATTAAGGTGATAGCTGGTTACATATATTTCGCTTTTTAGAATACCTTCATTAAAAAATTTTATACCTTAATTGTTTTTGAGATAATGGTGGACCTTTTTATCCGCGGATCTTTAATCCCCCTTTTACTCTATATAATACATGAATTATACATGTATTTTAGGCAATTTCCTAACTAACTGTATTTTAAAGAACAGATGGTTTAAAAAAATGATACGCTTTTTTAATAGTTATATATTTTATTATTGATGTGTTTCTAGGTACGAATTATGCAGCCAAAGTCATGCACGGTAAACACGAGCTACGCCAGTATATGCATAATGAGCTGGACATCATGAATGGATTGAATCACAGAAACTTAATCAGACTTTATGATGCATATCAAACTGATAGGTACGATATATCTCACTATTCTCGTAAAACAATGTTCAAATGTCTACAATTAAAGACATTTTTTAAATGTCTGAAAGTTTAAACTACATCTATAAGAAATTATCATTTAACTCTGTTAATTAATCTGGCTATTTAGTTTCAATAGCATTTTATTAAATAATTAATAAATTATGAAATATTTTCTAATCTAATGTTGATTGTCGCAGGTCTATGGCACTGATAACTGAACTAGCTGGTGGTGGTGAACTTGTTAGAGATAATTTATTAAGAAAAGAACGATACGGCGAAAGTGAAATTGCAGGATATATTAGACAATTGCTTCTGGGGCTGCGTCACATGCACGATTCAAATATTGCTCATCTTAGTCTTACAGTAACTATTTAGAATTACAAAATAAAATTTATTATAAATATATATAACAAATATTGGATTTTTTAACTTCCCGTAGGGCAAGTTATAGTAATCGCAAAAAAATCGAAAATGAAAATTTTTATATATCTTTACGTTTCAGAGGTTTCTGAACATTTTGGCATACCTTAGAAAAAATGGATGTATGTGTGTGTGTGTGTGTGTGTGTATGTATGTATGTATGTGTGTGTATGTATGTGCGGATACAAATTTTCGTCGACGATTTCGGGAACACGGATCAACCGATTTGAATAATTCAAAAAACATTCGATCCGTATTGATAAGGAGACGTGCTGATTAGTTTTTGGCAAAGGCTGGTCAAGCCGTTCCAAAGATACGGGGCAAAAAGTTCCGAAAACGGTAACTCAGTTTTTAAGAGAACGGAGCGTCCGATTTTAATAATTCAGAAAACATTTTATTTGTATTGACAAGATGAAGAATCGATATAACTTTCATGAAGGTAGGTCCAGCGGTTTCTGAGATATAGAGGAAAAAGTAAAAAAATGAGCCATTTGGCGGTCAAAAATGATCATTAGACATATGCACATCAAATTATCAGACATTTTATAGAGATTTTAACAATAAGTATACATTTTGTTAACATTCCTATCGGTTCCGTACCAATGCTTATGCGTTAGACAGCGACGCGGCGCTTACGCGCTTTATATTTTGTCCCTATGTAGTTAAAGCAGTACGATTGCTTTGAAAAAAAAGTTCAGATCTTCCACAATATGTCAAAATAAAGAAAAAAAAATTTTTTTCAAAAAAAAAAAATTTATTAAAAAAAAATTTTTTTTTAATTTTTTTTTTTTTTCAAAAAAAACTAATTTTTTGTCCAATTTATAGTTTCTCAAAAATCTTATTTTTTCAAAGTAATTTTTTTTCAAAAATGTTAATTGTTTTAAAAAAAAATAATAATTTTTGGTACGGGAAGTTCCAGCAATTTGCCTTAAGGCACGATGCCCTAATTGCCTTAAGACAGAATTCCACTTACAGCTAGTTTCTTGTTCTTATTTGTAGATAGGTGACTTGTTAGTCGCGCATGCAGGCGGTCGCGATTTGAAGATTTGTGACTTTGGTCTTGCTCGTCGTGTAAATCGCAGCAACCTGTTCCCACTTGACTTTGGTATGCCCGAGTATGTCAGTCCTGAAACCGCCTTAGGTATGATTGTTTTGTATTTTTCAACATTTTCCTAATTATTATTCTATCATATCATTTGATTTCATATAGAGAATATATATCTTAAGATATTATACCAAACTTAATTTTTAATTTTAGGACAAGGTGTGGGCTTGGCTTCAGATATGTGGTCTGTAGGCATAATCACCTGGTTACTATTAGGCGGAAAATCGCCATTCTTGGGAATGCATGACGTTGAAACCTTAGATAGAGTAAAAGATGGTAAATAAAAAAAATATGTTCAATATTACATAAATATTTAAGATGTTATTCAATATACTCGAGTTTATTTAATATGTTATCAACACGGTGTTATATAATAAATATTTTAGGTAAATGGTCATTCGCTAACGATGAAGAATGGTGGTCGCATATCAGCAGTGAAGGAAAAGATTTCATAAGCAAACTTTTAGTATATGATCAGAATCAAAGAATGGATGTCATAACTGCGTTAGATCACCCATGGTTAACTAGACGTCTTATGATCGATCAAGACGAATTTATGATAACAACGGATCGTTTAAGAAATTCGTATAATTCGTATATATCGATTCCTAATTATCCAAACTGCATATTGAATTTTAAAATAGTAACTAAAATAATATTTCAGATATCGGTCGTGGCAATCTAATGCACAATGTCGTACTTGGTACCGCAGGCGCCCATTAAGCGGCGCTTATACCGATCCATCAAAAATGGTGTACCCACCAGGCCATGTTTACACTCCAGAAGATACCCCAGAACGCAGTAAGAATATACAAATTTTTTAAACATGTTTTTGATAACTTTCTATTACTTTAAACTTAATCATATGTAATGAATACTTTAGTTGATATTGGAAATTATTATTTTTAGTAGATATTGGGAAGAAAGATCGCAAACCAGGCAAATGGGATAATGAAATTCCAACTAGGGAACACCCAGATTACGAAATTGGCTTATTTAAATCTGAAAGCCAGTAAGTACTATTTTTAGAATCTAATATCATATTTAGTGTTTTCTAGTATTATATACATATATGGCTATAATTGTCCGCAGTTATCAAAATGGTCCTGACACCTACCTTTTACAATTGAGAGATGTAGACTTTCCTGTTAGACTTAGGGAATATATGAAAGTAGCTGCCACTAGATCTCCTGGTTACAGTCACACACTTACCGATCTTAGTAACTATGATTGGAGGGTGAGTCGATGCTTTGATTTTCATTAAATAAAACATCTAACAATTATTAATATACACTAAACGCAATATTAATAGTTATTATCGTAAAACGTATTTTATACTAAATATGTATGTATAAGTAACAATACAGCACTTCCACAACATCTTAATTTGTAATCATATTGATTTGCATTTTTGTAAGGATATTTCAACGTTATACACAAATAATGCGTTTATTTAATTTATGTTTTTAGACACCTGTTATTCATGAAAGACGTCGATTCCACGATATAATGGATGAAGAAATTGATGATGAGAGAAAAGAGAGAATTAACCGATATGGGTCCGCTGATGTGTACTCTTTAAGACGCCTGAGAAATGAATTAGGAACGAGGTATCTGACTTAATGTAATATATGTAGTAGATTCCAACATTTATTTTGTTCATTATTAGTATATAAATCGGAATGTAACTTATTTTCAACATTTGAATTTGTTTTCTCTGTAGAATAAGCAAATTGAATAAGAATTATATGCTGAATATTGATTTTTTTTCTCTAACATCTTTAATAAAATGAATAATGTAGGCACACATCTGAAATTACATAGCAGAAATGCTACTTATGAAAAATGCTACTGATTCAAATCATAATTCTAATTAGTACTAAACAATTTCGTTTAATAGATACTAATATATGGCAATGTTTTTAATCAGGTTGGATAGCTATGCAGAAGCAGAAGCGATGATAGAATCGCAGAAAGTAGGCAAAGCCCCATTCTTCCGTGAGAAACCTCGTAATATTGCAATTGTAGCTGGTCGTGATGCCGAACTTAGCTGCTTAGCCACGGGAGATCCCAAACCAACTCTCCAATGGTTCAAGAATGAATCAGTGTTAATGGAAAACAAACGCATAACTGTCACAGAAGATGAACAAGGTAAAGACCACCGCGACCCCATAGGTTTATGTTAACAGAACATAAATGAACTTGATGCTCATGTGTATATTTTTTGATACCGACTCTTGTATTCAAATCATCATTACCTTATATGCTTAGTCGCGTGTTATTTATTTTATTTTGATGTGACAAAAAATGCTACGAATAAATAAACCAATGGTTTTTAATATTTTTTGATAATGTGAAAAATTTCACATTAAGTTTTCAAGACACTTACGCTGTTACTACTAATGCTCAAAATATACTCAAATTATATGCATGCCATTTATTCGTTCATTTTTCTATAGGTCGCAGCACACTGCGATTCACACCTGCTGCTGAATTTGATGCCGGCTCATACAAGGTCGTCGCTCGCAATTCTGTAGGCCAGACCATACATAGAATCCGTGTGGCTCTGGGAACGCAACCTGATGCACCTAACACTCCCAAATGCATAGAGAAATCTGACACCGAAGTACTCTTGGAATGGCGTGAACCCAGACACGATGGAAATAGCGAGGTTAGTAATAAATTTATATATTAGATGATAATTTAAAATTTATTTAAATCCTTTAAATTATCTTCGAGAAAGAGTTCAAAGTTTCGTACAAGGATCGTTAACCTCTGACGCCATATTATTTTCGAAATTTTTTTAGCGCAGATTTAGTAACCTAGAGGACTAAATATTGTTGTAGATTTTGAATACCTACTAAAGCAAAATACGCGTAATCTCATCGCAAAAGTTATTTGATATTTATCCAACAATTTATATAAAATACTAATACAAATTTTAAGAACATGATTGAGAAATTGCGTGAACCACGATATATTTGAAATCATCCTAGTTGGATTCATTGATAAATGTGTTTAAAATGCATATTTATTATGTAGAATTATTTTTCCGATTATGTAAAAATAGCATATATAGTTTGTCATCAACCTGCATTTTCTACGTATGCCTAAACAATAAGGTAAGTTTTTCGTTTTGCGCATGCAAGAGTGAAGCAGTTTTCATATGTATAAAAACTACTCTAATTGTTTTTATTATAATGATGTTTTGATCGCTGATGTTTTAATTTAATAATAACTAAAGTTTTATTAACCACAATCAGCATTAAAAACATTGAAATGATATTATGAATAGCTTTTTATGATACTATTAGCTTCATTTCCAACATATAATCACTTATTGTTACTCGCCCAGTTTCTTCGTCATAATGTCAAATCGTCAGTAATAAAATTTAGTCATTTAGAAAATGTAGAATCTATAATATATTCATACAAATATAAAAAAAAGTTATATAACAGATATAAATTATATGCAATTCGTGTTATTGTGTTCCATAGCATTTATTTATAACACCTTGTTTTTTTTATTGACAATGCTTGTTTTATTTGTTGCCTTATTGTTTGCATTTGACATATTATTTTTTTAAACACTGATAAGGTCTTTGAAATAAGCATGGCTGAAACGTGTTAATTGTTTTATGTTTGCATCGTGAAAAAATATTTTGAAGCAATTGCTCCAATATTACAATGCACAATTTATATGAAGCGAGTGAAATTCACAAATATTGAAATTTCTCAAAATACATACAATACAATACTATTTATTCATCATTGAAAAGGACTTGAAAAAAAATGAATTAAGTTTTATAAATGCGCTTATAATGTAAATTAACTTTAAGTGACTATACGTTTCGCATTGGCCGGGACCGTCCCGCTTTTCCACCTTGCGTCGCAAATTTTTATTGAGACTAGCTGTAAGTGGAATTCTGTCTTAAGGCAATTAGGGCATCGTGCCTTAAGGCAAATTGCTGGAACTTCCCGTACCAATAATTATTATTTTTTCAAAAACGATTAACATTTTTGAAAAAATTTTACTTCGAAAAATATGATTTTTGAAAAACTATAAATTTGACAAAAAATTACTTTTTGAAAACAAAAAAATTTTTTGCAAAAAAATGTTTTCTTTATTTTGACATATTTTGGAAATTCTGAACTTTTTTTCAAAGCAATCGCACTGCTTAAACTGCATAGAGACGAAATGTTAAAGCTCGCAAGTGCCGCGCCGCCGTCTAACGCATAAGCATTGGTACGGAACCCATAGAAATGTAAAAAAAAATTATACTCATTGTTAAAATCTCTATAAAATATCTGATAATTTGATGTGCATATGTCTAATGATCATTTTTAACCGCCGAATGGCATTTTTTTTTACTTTTTTTATTAGATCTCCGAAACCGCTAGACCTGCCTCCATGAAAATTTGTTCAATTCTACATCTTGTCAATACAAGTAAAATGTTTTTTGAATTATTCAAATCGGACGCTCCGTTCTCTTAAAAACGGAGGTACCGCTTTTGGCACTTTTTGCCCCGTATCTTTGCAACGGCTAGACCTGCTTTCGCCAAAAACTAATCAGCACGTCTCCTTATCAATACGAATCGAATGTTTTTTGAATTATTCAAATCGGTTGATCCGTGTTCCCGAAATCGTCGACGAAAATTTGTATCCGCACATACATACACACACGCACATACATACATACATACATACATACACACACACACACACACATACATCCATTTTTTCTAAGGTATGCCAAAATGTTCAGAAACCTCTGAAACGTAAAGATATATAAAAATTTTCATTTTCGATTTTTTTGCGATTACTATAACTTGCCCTACGGGAAGTTAAAAATATATTTGTGCCGGATTCAGATTTTTTGTTCCGGATCATCCCAAGTTTTTGTAAACCGTAAAAGGTTAAAAGTGGAAGAAACCTTCTAAAAAAGTTCTATTCTTGAGAAAAATATAATATATTATATAGAGGAGACAGGACAAAGTTGTGCCACTTTTTTGATCAGAAATAATTTTGTTAATTGACAAGTTAGCTGGAAGGTATAAACACCAAAATAAAGGTTTAAAATGACTTATAGTCAGAAATATGTAACACAACTGAAAACAGTCCTAACGTAACACAAATAAACTCATGAACATTTTATAACAATATAAAACAAAACATAATTTTTAAAACAAAGTTAACAAAAATTTTTTGTGAAATCATTTTACTATTCAGTTATTTAACAACAACCCACTGCAAGTGTTATCTTCTAGAATTTTAATTACAACTAGTCGGGGGCGCATGGCATCGTGCCTTAAGGCAAATTGCTGGAACTTCCCGTACCAAATTTTTTTTAAAGATTAACATTTTTGAAAAAAAATACTCTGAAAAGTTAGATTTTTGAGAAACTATAAATTTTTGACAAAAATTTACTTTTTTTTAAAAAAAAGACTTTTTGAAGAAAAGTGTATTTTGAAATATTTTGGAAATTCTGAACTTTTTTTCAAAGCAATCGTACTGCTTTAACTGCATTAGACGAAATATCGAAGCGCGTAAGCGCCGCGTCACCGTCTAACGGATAAGCATTGGTACGGAACCCATAGGAATGTAAACAAAATTTATACTTATTGTTAAAATCTCTATAAAATATCTGATAATTTGATGTGCATATGTCTAATGATCATTTTTGACCGCCAGGTGGCATTTTTTTTTTACTTTTTTTACTAGATCTCCGAAACCGCTAGACCTACCTCCATGAAAATTTGATCAGTTTTTCATCTTGTTAATACAAGTAAAATGTTTTTTAAATTATTCAAATCGGACGCTTCGTTCTCTAAAAACTGAGTTACCGTTTTTCGCACTTTTTGCCCCATATCTTCGGAACGGCTAGACCTGCCTTTGCCAAAAACTAATCAGCACGTCTCTTTATCAATACGAATCGAATGTTTTTTGAATTATTCAAATCGCTTCATCCGTGTTCTCGAAATCGTCGACGAAGATTTGTATCCGAACACACACACAAAAAAATAGTCCTGAAATAATAAATTTTGACTCAGTAATTTTGGTTCAAAATAATTTGAATAAAAAATATTTTTATTATGTTCTTGAATAGTATTTGTGTGCGTTTTAATATACAAAACAAATATTATTTAAGGATATAATAAAAATATTTTTTTAACCAAAATTAATGAGTACAAAATTTATTATATGTTTTAGAACAATATATATATATATTTTTAGAAGGTCCTTTCGGGACGGTTACAATTGTAGCGGGTAGTTAAGTTAAATAACTTTAATAAGATTTATTTAAATAAATAACTGTTTGTTTAAAAAAAATCTTATCCTGGTTATTTAACTTAACTACCCGCTACAAGTATGACCTTTCCAGATTTGAAATAAAACTAGTGGTGTATGACATCGTGCCTTAAAGCAAATTGCTGGAACTTCCCGTAGCGTAACAGAATGTTTGAGGATAAATAAATGTTTTCAAATATATTATTATAAATTTTGTAATATCGTCTATTATTCATAACAAATATATAAACTAAATTACAAAGTTAAAATTATTCACTTAAAGTGAATAAGTGAGCTTCAGAACTTTAACAAGAATTAAAATTGAAATCTGAATGATTTTCGATATACAAAAAAAAATAAAAAATTGAAAAAAAAATGAAATGAAACATTTTTTTCCAAAAGCAATTGTTTCGACAACACAAACAGAATTTTTTTTGATTCATTCAAATCGGACGCTTATTTTTCTCAAAAACTGCCATTTTTTGTACATTTAGCTCGGTATCTTCAAAATGGCTAGACCTGGCTTTGCCAAAAGCTAATCACCACTTCTCACAATCATTACAAATTGAATGTTTTTAGATCATTCAAATCGGATGCACCGTTTTCTCAAAAACTCGATTTCTGTTTTCTGCACTCTTTGCTCTTTATCTACGTAACGGCTGGACCTGTCTTTGCCAAAAACTAATCAGCACATCTTCCTATCAATAGGAATCGAATGTTTTTAAAACCAGTCAAATCGTTTGATCCGTGCGCCCGAAAACGTGAGCGAAAAAATGCGGACACACAAAACACACACACATCCATTTTTTCTGAGGTATGCCAAAATGTTCAGAAACCTTCAAAACGTGTAGAAATGCAAAAATTTTCATTTTCGATTTTCGGCCCATTACTATAACTACCCCACGGGAAGTTAAAAATATGTGTCACCTTAATTAACACACAAACTTCTTGTAAAATAATAATCCAAACGAAGAACAGCTATTATTACGCCGTTTATAGCTCATTATATTATTAACTTTCCGTAGAGTAAGTTATAGTAATCACAAAAAATCGTAAATGAAAATGTTTGCATATCTTTACGTTTCAGAGGTTTTGAACATTTTTTTTGTGTATGTATGTGCGGATACAATTTTTCGTGGGCGATTTCGAGAACACGGGATCACCAATTTCAATGATAAACATTCGATTCCTATTGATAAGGAGACGTGCTGGTTAGTTTTTGGCAAAGGCAGGTTTAGCCGTTTCGAAGATACGGGGCAAAAGGTGCCAAAAATGGTATTTTAGTTTTTAAGAGAATGGAGCGCCTGACTTGAAAGATTCAAAAAACATTTTACTTGTATGAACTTAAATTAACTTATTAAACTTATTAACTTATTAAATGAACAACTGGTGTTTATGGAACAACAAATTTTTGAGAAGGCAGGTTCAGCGTTTCTTGAGATGCAATGAAAAAGCTGAAAAATAATGCTATTTGGCGGTCAAAAATGATCATTAGACATATGCACGTCATATTATCAGATATTTTATAGAGATTATAATAATAAGTACAAATTAATGAGTACTTTTATATGGATTCTGTATCAATGTCTACACGTTAGACTACGCACTTCGACATTTCACCTCTTAAATAGCTGTGCAGCGCGATTGCTTTTAAAAAAAGTTGATAATTTTTTTAAAAAAATCCAAGTATTAAAAAACAAATTTTTCAAAGAAGTTGATTTTCTTCAAAATTCTCAATTTTTTTAAATTAGTTTTCGGTGCGGGAAATTCCGACAATTTGCCTTAAGGCACGATGCCATGCACCATTAGTCTGCATTTCAAATAAATAGTTTATAAAGCTGAATAATGTTAGGAATTGTGGGAATCCGTATATGTTCTGAAACAATGAATTGAATATATTTCATTAACAAATAGATATAGCATTGCCGGTTGGTCTTCTCAACTGCGATGATAAGATAATTACTTACAATTAAGTAGATGTATAAATTGCTTGTCGTCGCTCGTCGCCGATGGTGTTCTTACATTTACATTACGCACGTGGTGCCATGGTACAAACAACAGAGTGCATGGCAACATGGCAACATGGCAACCGTTGAATTTTTCCGAGCGTAAATATTCCCTAGCCGCCTTCAGTCGGCTGCGACTTATTTTTACTTTCGTCTTGGAAAATCCAAGTGTTGCCAGGGCTAAAAATAACAGCCGGTCGTCCGCCGTTTGAGTTTGCGTTGCGTATTTGACGACATGGTAACACGGACGAAACTATTTTGACAGTAATCGTACTTGTTGTAATCGTGTATTTTTTGTTAATTCAACGCGATTGCAAATTGTTAAAGATATTACGAGATAATGTGTGACATTATATCCGGGTGCTGTGCTTATGGGACTCTAAACAACTACGCACCGAGGGTAATAGGCATTAATAAATAAACCCCACGAACAAAGTATTTTTTGAATGTGGCATCTCTACTTCTATTTGTTTTATTGATAATGAGATCTGTTATTATCTTTTTACTATTTCTGCAAATTTTGTGTGAAACCATATACTGTATGACTATTAAGCAGAATGATATATTGCAATTCTGCAGTAGAAAATATTTTTTTACATGATAACAAAATGGATGTTGATCTTCCAAACTGCGGGATCAGCTATCGTTTCTATCAGCAACAAAACATAAAATAAGGATTCAAGTTTGATTTAGAAAAAATTTTGACCTTTCCTATAAAGTGGACATTAAAGTGCAAGTGAAATAATTTAAACTGTATGAAATACACAACTATGATTTATAAACAGATATAAAAATACCTTCAAGATGATTATTCTTGGAATGTCTACACCGCAACATAAAGAAAAAACATTACATGATATAACAATATGTTGAAATGAATGCATTGAGTTTCAAGAAAGCCTCCCCACTAATTAAGGGAATGTTGCGAAGGATAATGACATATCATTAAATGCATTGAGAACAGATTTATTGAAGATTCATTGTTGTTTTGAGTACCGCTAACTGTTTTGGACAATTTAATTTTAAAATGGATATTGATACGCCAAGTAATAGCAATCTCAAAAGAAGTAACAGCGCTCCTATTATAAATGATTTAAGTCCAAATGCTGTCATGAACAATACCCAATTGATTACATTACACACCAGGTACATTATTCTTATTGTATTTATTTTCTTTTTAAATCAATCATAGACTCATCATTTGGATCATTTATTTGTAAAATAGTTTTAATCAATATTTATAAATTTCCATTTTTTAATATATGTTAGGGTAAAAAAAAACAACGGATTTCAATTTGTGTCAAATTAATTATTGTAATAAATGATCAATATAATAATTGTTTATTAAATTATATTATACTTACCTTTTGTCAGTCAAGTATATTTAAAAAAAAAACATATGTTCTTTTTTTAAAAGAGGAAAACCATAGCTTCTTGTCATTATAATTTTAAGGTAAATATAAAATGTAATAAATGGTCCAAATGGCAGATAAATTAGTTCTGTTAAAAAAGTAATTTAAAATATATTGTTATAGTTAAACATATTTGAATAAAGTTTTGGATTGTACTTTTAGGGATATCCAGACATTTAGCTTTTCAAGCAGAACTCGTCGATTTAGTACTAGTTCAAGTTTTAGTCCCCATGCTAACTCTACGGTAATATTTCATTCACTGATTTAAATATTAATTGAATAATTATTCATATTTATGAAAATATAGAGGGCAAATGTTCCAAATATAAAATATAGCAGAAAATAGTCGTATATTTCATCCTCTTTTTTTTTGTAATACTTTATTATACTAAATTCAACTGATTCGAATCATTAGAGTCTTGTAATAGCAAAATAATATTTATTATCTGTGTCGGTCACAGTAATATTATACTCAATTTGCTATAAATATTATCATTGTTTTTGAACAGTAATATTTTTGAGCTTAAGAACAGGATGTGAGATTTTTGCCCACCCTTATTTATTTTCCTTATTCTAAAAAGAAAATTGCAAAAAAGACGCATGTTCTCTGATTATGGGCTGCATCAGCCCATAGTGGACATAATGCAGATGATTTATCTTTGGTCACATAAAATGTCAAAACATAAATAAATAAAGAATTAAAATTTAATGTACAATTTTAATGTGATGAATATGTTTCAATCAAGAAATAAAATATGTTTCCAATTGAAAATAAGCCCATTTTGGGCACTGCGGTGTGAAATGGAAATGGGAAATACTTCTTCTCTGAATCGAGTTCGAGTTTAACTCAACTGACAGACCTGCAGTACTACCCATTATTATTATTATTATTATTATTATTATTATTATTATTATTATTATTATTATTATTTATATATATATATATATATATATATATATATATATATATATATGAGTAAGTTCTTCAAGGGCATACATCAAATAAAAGGCAAAGATTTAGAAGTTAATCTTTAATTTTTCCAAACGTTTCGACATAGTATTTTATGTCATCATCAGTGGATATAAATATGTAGACTACAGCCTCGGGCTCTGTCACATAAACTACGTTCTCTGTGCAAAATATATTATATATTTCACAAATATTTTGCTATACTCTGTTCAACAAAATAATATAAAAAAAACAAGTTAATGTATATATGATAGTGCAAAATTATGTTCCTTGCGCTAGCTACTGATGTAAGACCATATTTATATCCACTGATGATGACATAAAATACTATGTCGAAACGTTTGGAAAAATTAAAGATTAACTTCTAAATCTTTGCCTTTTATTTGATGTATGCCCTTGAAGAACTTACTCATATTTCTCAACATCAAAATTAACTACTTTAACATATATATATATATATATATATATATATATATATATATATATATATATATAACATAAAATTGTATATAATTTTATAACATAAAATTGATTTGACAAAAATAATCTGTCACATAAGAATTGTATTGTTCTTCAAATAAACTTTAGATAAACGTAATACACGCATATAATTATGTAGTCTGTTGAGGTATACCTAACATACCAAAATATAGACCCTTAGTTACTTCTTGCTTAAAATACCATTATCTCACAAACTGCTTTGAAAATCAGATATTTTTATTCTACATAAATGTATAACATCCAATATAATTTTGTATTTATAATTAAGACTTATAGCTTTTTTTAAAATAAAGCATCAATAACGAGGAGTATTTGCCCTGCTATTTTCATTTAATGAATAATTATAGATTGTGCAACAGTTGTAAAATGTGTTCATTTTTTTCATATGGATTTGTTATTATGCAGAGCCAAGTACAAAGATTAACACATCGTGTAGATCAACTTAAACAGGAAGACCTTTGTAATCGGGAAGTAACACATGAACGTGAAATTCATTCTGCTATGCAAATTTCACAATCATATGAGGATCTAAGCTTAGATACAGAGTTGTTGTCCTGTAGAGATAAATCTGGTAGGTCAATGATTAATACCGTGAATCAGTCTCCCAGCCCAACTAGTGCTTTTAAACATCATTTATGTAATGCAGGAAAAACATCGCCTTTAAATATAAATACAAATTCACATAGTTTTCTCAGTACTTCAGGACTAAGTCCAAGATCAACTGGTAATTTTCTAGTTAACCACAGCAGCGGAAAAGCCTTTTCTCCACTGAATATGCAGCCTGGTTCTTTAATGTTTACTTCATGTTCAAATTCTAATCCAAGTGATAGTACTAAATTTCCAACAAGTTCAAAGGAATCAACGTCGCCATTATTTCCAACATTTGGATCATCATCAAGTGGACCTTTCAAAAATCATCTTTTGAGTTCAAATTCAAAAATGCTTCCGTTAAATGTTCAGACAAATCATATTGGAGGAACGACGCCCATGCTGTGTTCCAGTCCCAGCCCCACACGAGGTTCAAATCTCCCACGACAGTGCTTTAGTCCCAACTTCAATTGGAAATGCTCAAGTCCCAGCCCAACAAGAAAATCTTTTGCCACTCGTAGAAGTCTTAGCCCCATTGCAATGAGGCCCAGCTCTTTTACCTTGAAACGAAAATTTGATTTGGATATTGGCAACGACGAAGGTCCCAATATGAAGAAGACAGCAACGCAAGTGTTTTCGCAAAGTGGCATATTCGGATGCACGCGAGGAACTGCTCCAACCTCAGGACTTGTTTTATCGCACAACAGTGATAGCAACGATAAGAAAGATGTTACAATGTCTTACAGCATTGATAGTGAAAGTGATAAAAAAGAGTACGTTAACGGTGAAGCAACCGGTGCGGGAACCATTTCTATGGTCTTGGATGGAGAACAGAATGCACTCAAACAGGATGATATGTTCAATAAAGATGACAATCCGGTTACTTTCAATAAATCAAGCATTCAGCAAAATCTTACAATGCTATTCAGTGATAATCAAAATGTTGAGAAGCCAAATGTGACTGAAAATTTACAGACAAGCCAGTTTACTTTCAGGCCTGTTTCTAACGATATATGTGATAATGAAGAAAATATGAATACTAACAATGCAGTGAATGAAAACTAAATACTTTCACGCTGATATAAGACAGATCATGCTTACGATTATTTTTAATTTTTAATTATGGGTGAGCATATGTATGTACATACTTACATAATATATGAGTTTAAGAATTCAATATTAAATAAAAATGGACAACGAACAATGTGTTCGAGCATAAAAAATTCTTTAAACATTTGCATCTTCTCGATTTTCTGCATTCTTAGCAAGTTTGCTTTTAAGATGATTCAATGTCAAGTCAGAGAAAATATAAAGATGCTATCTGAATATTGTTGAATTTCCAATTTATATATAAGAAATATTCTAAATCTTTCTGGCACAAGTTTGCCATTTTCGCTATCTTGATTTATTGATTGAAGTCACGTATTTGTTTAATTATTTTTTTTTTTTAAATTTTTTTTTTCTTCAATATTTTTTGCTTTACGGATATGGAATCAGAAGGTGAGATATTTTGTCTTTCTAAGTACACTGAACATGGAGGTATGTTCAATCCGCTCATTTGATGGAGTATCTGCAAGGTCCTCATTCATTTCTTTTATGTAATCACTTGTTTCCAGAAGATTTAAATACAAGTCATCTGCATCTAATATTACCAATGGAGCAGGTTCAAACCGAAATAACACTAGTCTCAGCTATTTCTGCGCCGATTAGATAGACTTCGGATGTTTCGGAATTACGAATGACTTCACTATCGTCTGAACATATGTCAATATTGGAGATAATGTGATAGTGCACCTGGTTCTAGATTAAATAGGACTTGTCCTACCTTTTATTGTGATTCATCAATTTACTATGTATAGTTTTAATCAAGTCTCTGCTGCCGGTGAAGATTTTGATGATGAACATTAACATTGATTGGTAGGTTGCCAAATTTGACCATATTATTTTCCTGGTCATTTCAATTTCTCCTCTGTATTCATAATTATTTTCTATTAATTTAGCTATTAGTTTGGCTGTTCACCTTCATTAACTATTTTATTCAATGATGACTTTTCTACCGGTGTTATATTATTAGCATTCTTTCTTAGAGTTGTATTGGCATTTTTATCATCTTCACATTTTTGTGTGCTTGTAGCTAATCGTTGAACGTTTCTTGAGTATCAGGGTACAAGTGTGCACTATTTTTACTCATATTTGTATATGTATATATATATATATATATATATATATATATATATATATATATATATATATATATATATATGTACATATATATCTACATGTTATATACATGCTTAGCTATATGTATAGGGAGCCAGAGAAAAAAGATTAGTAATTTGAAATCAGCAATAAACCCTTAATGGTAAATTTATAATATCTAAATAAATGTGTTGATTTTTATCTGTGCTTCAATACAACAAATCTATTTGATTTTAAAATACCGAGGTTTTTTCTCTGACTAGAACTTATTGGAGGACAAATGGAATGACTTGGATGACTTGAATTGGAGGACGAATAGAACAGAAAATTTTGACTTTTAATAATACAAATAATATATTTAATAATACAAATAAAATAAGGAATTGTAAAATATTGCATCAACATTGCTATAATCGCATAAGATAATGTTGATTAGTTAATCGCTTAGTATGTTCTATTATTAGGCTAAAGAGATATTTTTTTGCACATAATATCCTTTGCTATGTGTGTAAAATATATTAATTTTATCATTCTTTTTATTTGTTAATACTAATATTACTACATATTTTATAATACATATTCTACAATCATCGAGTTGTATACTATTTATTTGAAATCATTTCAACTTACCAAGAGCATTTCGAAGAATTTAGGTTAATGGAACAATGTGATAATAATTTTAAGAAACCTAGATATCGATATTTTATGCAAAATAATTGATATGAATAATTGGACATTAATTTTATTAACTTATTAATAATCTATATATATATATATATATATATATATATATATAAAATATTTAAATTTATAATTTATTTTTCTGTATATGACAAATATTTTAAGCCAACAGTTACACAATAATTTAGAATTAAATTTTTTTTATATGCGTTTATGGCAACTTTTTTTTATTAGAAATATGTTATTTTATTTAGTTTGAGAAGTTTTTTTTTTTAATTTTGGATAGGACAGAAAGAATTGTTGGTGTTTATTCTGATATAAAGTAATTATTGTATATTGTAGTAATTTCTATTGAAATCATTATTGTATATCATATGTAAATATAATTTTTATTAACTAATTTATGTACAAAAGGCGTTCAAATTTGTATTATCAAAAGCTAATAACTGGTTTATTACACATACTATATGCTACACATGCTAGTCTTTATAACTAATTGTAAATAATTTCTATTTATTGCTAATAAATATTTAAACATGGAAATAATTATTTATTCTGGGGTTTATTATGACACTATACATGAATTTATATACATATCTACGTTCTTCAAATCTCGTGCTTTCGTCTCGTTTTAATACTTTATATTTTGTATTAATAGTGATTACTTGAGAACAAAAATGAAAACTTTCGGGAATTGCATCTGAAATTGGTTTCACAATCAGTTTAACGTAACTGATGGCCCAGACCTCACCCGGAACAGTTGTTTATTACAGTCAGTTTAATTTACAAGTAAATAAGTATTATTTGTATATATATATATATATATATATATATATATATTTATTTATTTATTTATATATATAATTGATTTTCAATTCTTCATATCAAGAATGGACACTAGCAAAGAGAAAACACGCTATATTTTACACTTTTTGTTCGATAAAAGCGAAAATGCAAGCCAGGCGGCTGAAAATGTGAATAGTGTTTATGGTCCTGATAAGGGTCATCGAATTATTCTGGTAAATTTGATGTCAAAAACGCACGCACACTGGACAGCCAATTGTTGAAAATGTCGACAACACGATGGAGACTAATCGTCTAAATCGACTTCGATTGCCAAAAACTGAATACTGTACAGAAAACCGTTTGAGTGCACACGAGTGCCAACCTACTGAACCGAAATTTCATTTGAGAAATTTCATTGAACCATCTGAAGGAAACAATCGCCCAAAAGCAGCCAGCTTTGGCCAATAGAAGAGGAATTGTGTTCCACCAGGACAACGTCTGGAAACACACACCGATAATGACTCGACAGAAGCTCCGGGAACTTGATTGGGAGGTTTTTATGCATCTATCTTATTGTTCGGACTTGGCACCAAGCGATTGCCATCTGTTTCTCTCCATCACAAACAGTCTTGGTTAAAAACTTACTTATAGAGCTTGTAAAAATCGACTGTGTCAATTTTTCAATGGGACGAGGATGTCTATGAGAGGGATATAATATTATTTCTTTCAGAATGTAAGCAAGCTATTGAACAAAGCGGAGCATTAATTGATTTAAATCGGATCATTCTAATTATAGTAATTAAAGCCTTAATTTCACGCAAAAATAATGAATTCCTTTTCACTTTACTTGATATATAATATTAATCATGGGTAAAAAAAATCCAGCTGTAAAATTTTATTTTTATTATTATTTTCATTAAAACCAATTCAATTCACATTTTTCATCTTATTTATTTCTGAAAAATTTTGAGTGCAAGATTTCTTCATCGTGACTGTGGAAATTTATTGTTCGAATCGTTTGAGAAGAAAAATAGAAAATCTTCATGCCTCAAGGACCTTTACTTATTTCTATATGTCGAATAAAAGTAAAAATATGAGAATCTTTATTATCAAATTTACATTATTACACGTACACACAACATATTCGATTAACACATGTATCACTAAACTTGACAGTAATTATAGATTATTATTATGTTACATTACATTTGATATATTTGAGACAAGGTCTGTATTAAAAAACGTGTGTTGTTCCGAAAGACTAATGCTTACTAGAGATTCTGGCGTTCTCGAGTACCTCTTATTGTAAGTACTAACTGCTTATTGTAATTCATACTAATAACTTGTGACATTAGCCTATGATACTAATTTTTGAAGGACCCGAAACAATAAGGTATAGAGGAATAATGGAGGTATGAAGGAATAATGTGTTTATTTTGAGTTGAGAAATGGCAGTGTTATATGAATATTAGCAGATGTTTTAAATTTTTACTCAGATATTACACTATGGTTTGGAGATGAAGAAGGCAGATTCAATTGATTGGAATAGTGTAGCTGAGCACATTACTCGTGAGCGTTTCGTAGTCACGGGTTTGGCAGCCGGCGAGAGTTACCAATTTCGCGTGCATGCTGCCAACGTTCTTGGCTGGGGAGAATGGAGTGATTCTAGTCTTCCAATCCAAACCCTGAATGACGGAGCTCAGAAACTAGGTATATTTTATTTATCTTCACAATTAAAATGCGTTATAATTTGACAAAATTAATCTTGAATTTGAAACAGTAATTTATTTCATTTTTTTTGTTTTAATTTTATTCTTGAACATAATGTCGTAACTTAATGAATTTATAATGTATTATAATTAATACTTTATAAAGTTGCGAAAGTACGAATATATATTAGTATAATGCACATTTTTATATTTTGTCATTTTTAAGGTGCAAGTGCAGTTGTTCGACAAATCCAAGAAGTGGATGAACGTGCTTCTGGAGAATGTTTAGATCATCAAAGGCCATCCTATGACAAAGAAACTGACCTCGTTGACTGGATAGAATCTGATCCTAAAGACAAGTAAATCTTTAATATGAATATTATTTATATGTTGCGCATCAATAATAATTATGTGTAGCATGCAGTAATGAGAGATATTAAGATACTTATTCGAGAAATTATAGTTTCAATCATCATGAAGGAATTTATAGAATATCTTTGTAATGCCGTTTATTTACATTAGACGTAAATAACTGCATTCACATTAAATTATTTTTCTATTTAAAAATATAAAATTGCAACATTGCTTTTTACTTTTTTAGTTGAAATTGTTTTTGAAGTTAAAAAATAATGTTACAGTTCTATATTTGATCGAGTCAATCGCGAGTGTGCAGATAAAAAACAGAATAAAGTATGTGTTTAGTAGAAGTAAAGCCATATAAGTATGAAAACAAATTTATTTTAATTTTATAAATAAAAAAAACTTTGAAACTATAAATAAAAAATTTGATCATTTTGATATTAATTAACATAACTAATAAATATTAAATATAGTTTAAATAACTAGTAGTATAATATTTAATCTCAAAAATATAAAATTGAACTATTATTACGCTATTAAAGTATACATTGATTCAATCGTATAAAAATCTATAACATAATTTTAAACATATTTTTTAGTTCTATGTAAGTAAATATTCTGTATATTTAATATCTATATTTATTTTTATTGAATTTATAATCATATTCATAAAAAATATATTTTTATTAAGTCATTATATTTGTCTAAATTTTTAGGTACAAGCTTATAACAACCTTACATAATGGTAGATTTTCTACGGTTGTGAAATGTGCAAACACCAGTACAGATGAATTGGTTGTGGCAAAAGTTTTTCATAAGGAATCAAATGATTCTTCCGTCCAAGCTGAATTTGATACTTTTAGGACACTAAGGTAATGATTACTGATGTAATTTATGTATGTAAAGAAATGGGCCCAAGTACAATTTCTAATGCTGCCTATTGACAACGAATATTTGCTTCTCTACGTCTATAAAGCTTAATATTAGTTTTCTTTCATCTAACGCCAGGCCAAATTTAAGACTTATGCTCAATTTTCTTCAATAGACATGAGCGTCTTGCTGAGATGGTGGAAGCTTATCGTTGTTCATCTGGATTGCATGTACTGATTCAAGAGAAACTTGGGCAATCGCATGATATCTTGACACATCTTTCTGAATGTACCAGCTATACAGAGCAGACCGTCTCCGTGGTAGCCGCTCAGATTTTGGATGGCTTGCAGTACCTTCATTGGCGCGGTTATTGTCATCTAGATATACAGCCGGACAATATAGTTGTAACATCTCCCAGATCAGCACAGGTATATGAGACATAGTCTTTAATAAATGATCAAAATAAATGTCTTTATTCTTCATTATTTGAATATGATTTCTTGTAAAATAAAAGATACCTGATACTTTAACTTTTTTAAATTAATTCTAAAATTTCAAGTTATTGAATCTATTGTATTTAAAATATTGTTAAACAATCTTTAAAAGTGTGTGTGATATTTTCTCTGTTGCAGATTTTAGATTTATTATTTGAAGTCCTGTAGAATGCTAATAATTTTATAACTCATTATTATGAGATGTCACTTAATGTGATATTTAATTTGTAAATAAATTAGTATAACCATTATTTTTTAATTTGCAGATTAAATTAGTTGATTTTGGTTCAGCGCGCCATGTGAGCAAATTAGGAACGAGGGTACCTTTTACAGGAAATTTAGAATTTACAGGTAATTTTGACTTTACAAGAAAACTTGGTGATTTATGGGAAATATTTTTACACTAGTAGTTTAATTTAACACTTTGAGGACGAGCGCCGCATATATGCGTTTTATACAAATCATCTAACTTTTAAACAATTTTTTGAAATAATTTTATTTTCATTTTAAACTAAATTCTATATTTTTCTTTAGTTTATTCAAATTCTAATTTTGTTTTTAATTTAAAAAATATTTTTTTTCTTATATATAAAAGTAACAAAAATAAAACATTTATTTACAATAAATATAAAAAATATATACATACTTTTTTAGTATTCACTAATGCATTAATTTGCTGGAATTTAATTCTTGATCATTAACCATATTTATATTTTATCTTATAATGAATTATCCTTATATATAAAAAGTGTAATATATGAATACTAAATATGATATTGTCTTTTATAGCACCAGAAATATTAAATGAAGAAAATGCATATCCTCAAACTGACATCTGGTCTTTGGGAGTAATTGTTTATGTACTTCTATCTGGTGTATCACCCTTTGTATGGAGCACTGAAAATCCTGCCCCTATACAATGCAATGGAACTGTTCATGAGGCGAATGAAATTATAGTTACTAAGACTGAAGCAGATACAGATTTGGAAACTAGATTAAACATTAGTTATGCTCGATATAGGTGAGTAGATTTTAGATATTTTGTAATCCTTGTTAATGATATTTAAACACACAAATGGCTAATGGTGAGAATAATTTTAGATTTGAAAATCTGTATAAGGAATTGACTCAGGATGCAACAAGATTCTTGATGCTGGTTTTCAAACGATCACCCAGGTAAATTTTAATTAAAATTTAGCACTTGTTTAATTCTTCTTAACTTCATTCTCAATAAATAGCAAGATCAAAAAATATTGCAATTGATTATTACAGTTGATAATACTTTTAATTAATTTAATACTTGATTTTATTAGGATATATAGAGGATGTTAAAAATATTTTGTTTGCCATAGACCTTTACAAAAAATAATTTACATTACAGATCAATTTTTTCTTGCCAAAAATAATACAACTAATATAATACATATTCTAACTCAAGTTATACCAATAGATACAACCATTCATTATATTTATATGCTTTAAATTTTGATTCAAACATTTCTGATGGTTATATTTTTGAGTATACCATTTGCAAGTTAGCTTATTATATCATTTTAATAATATTTAGGCTTAGATAATATTTTTAGTCAATTGTGTGCTGTAGCACTTATGTAATTTATAAAGTTCGAACCTATCTAAAATTTATTTTCTATTGAATAAGTTTTTCCTTTTTATTTGATTCAACACTTAAAATATTATATTCTAGCAAATTGTAGGGGTGATAGTTTAGATATCTTAATTAATATCACATTTTGACTTTAAACAGCAAACGTCCGACAGCCGAAGAGTGTCTTGAGCATCGGTGGTTGACATCCAGTGAATTTTCTCTTAAACAAAGGTTGAAAAATTCATATCCTGGAAGTAGGCTCAAGGTAAACTATGATAAATCTACTGTTATTTTCTGAAAATTACTTGTTTAAATTAATAACTAAATAACTATGTCGTTTTTGTTACTGTCCTTTTTCATGTTATATTACTTTTTTTTATTCGTTCTGATTATTTAGTAGTAAGTTATATTAAATAAAATGTTATCTTACAGGCATTTTCAAATGAATATCATGCACGTAGAGCAAAGCTATCTTCCAAATGTGATGTATCATCTGTATTTTAGAAGTCTTTGCAAAATATCAATCAACAATCAAGTCATTGGAATCGAATGAAATTATGCTGCTTACAAATACATTTAATATATGTAATTTGCTGGGCTTATGTATTACACAAAACATTGTAAATATCTTTATTGTTTAAAATTTATTTATTTTTCTGTCATTATTTATTGTATGACAAATTTGCTCATTTGTCTTGTCTCATAATCATTTGTGAAAATTATCAGATGAATAACTTTCTTAGATTATAATAATATATTGACTGTAAAAACAAAGAATTTTGGGATAGATGACTTTTATAGAAATAAATATTTAAATTACCATTTAAAATTATATACATCTTTAGTTTTACTTCATAAAAATTTAAGCGTAAAATACATGTTTGTGTTTATATTCAGATAAATTTTTTGACATGTTTTTATGAGAATGGATTAATCAATTCGAATTATTCAAAGTATATTCAATTTGTATAGTCATTATAGTTTTCTATTGGTTTGTGGGAAACGCCAGCGTTTCGGAGCCACGAAGAAAATAAGAACAAAATACCGATGCATTAGTCAAAATCTTGTACAAATTTAAAACCTCGCTTTTATTTAAACTTTTAAAGAGCTTTCGTATCTGTCGTGCAAATACTTTGCGGTTTTGCCGGAAATCTGAGTGACTGTTCCGGTAGAACTGATCGATTTCTGACGACGAATTTGTATGAAATTTACTTTTATATTGAAATTTTTCAAACGGGGGTGAGACTGTTCTCCTAATAGAACTCATTGGTTTCATACGTAATTTTTGTATGATTTCAGTTTTGGATTTAGATTTTTTGATCAGAGGGATTAGAAATAGTCACAACTCCTAGTAGAAATTATCATTTATAGAGGAATAAATTAAAATGAAAATGGTTAGCCAAAAAAGCTTATTCATTCGGTTATTCAAAAACAAAACATTAAATCTCCTACTCTATCCTATTTCAATTCTGACATAGTATATTCTGTTTCTTGCAATGACTGTTCTTTCCAATACATTGGAAAAACCTCACAATATGTACACAAAAGAATGAGAAATAAATTTCAAAAGTACCCTGGTACAACACTCGTCAAAAATACCCACTCATTTAACTTCGCTCCAAAAATTTTATATCATGAAAATTGCATCTTTAAGAGATTATTTGCGGAAAGTTGTCTTAAATTTATGTACGCTTCCAATAGTGTTAACATTAGAATGATTCTTATTTAAATTTGTTACACTTTCTGACAAATAATTAATATTTGTCCATTTATGTTCAATAATTTAAGTATTTACATCCTGATAAAAAAACAATACACACAGATTTCAAGTGTCAAGTGTTTTCTTCTTAAAAAATCCTTTCCCTTAATAATCAGTTTGTTACCAATAGTTTGTCTCATAACATCGAGAGAATAATACTATTTGTCTCACATAACAAACTCAAAAAAGACATAATTTAAACAAATTTTGAATTACAAAATTTGTTTCTTCGTTTGAAAAGAAATTTATAAAATCACTTTTTTTTTGATAAAAACTTTTTAGTGAAGAAGTGTTAGTGGAAAATCAATCATACAGGTAATTAATTCTGTTTTTTTCAGTAACCTTTTCTTAAAACTTTCTAAATTTTTTAATATTTTTAATATTTTGTTATATAATCCACTCACTTATTTTTATCATTTTCATTTTGATTATATTGTTATATTTCTGTACATTATTTTTTCCACAATTTTATTAATTTTATATATATAAAATCCATCATCATCAAGAAATGTTTTTTCAAAAAACTTTTGTTTTTTATTACGTTTTGGATTCTTTGTTCGAATCTATATATATATATATATATATATATATATATATATATATATATATATATATATATATATATACATATATATTTAAATTGTTAGTTTGGAATGGAAGATTTTGTAGATTTTTTGGCTTGAAAGAAAAAATAGTATAAAAATACTTATTATCCTATTATCGTCATCATGTCCTTCCAAGAGCTCTATACATTTTAAAACCTTACATAATACTTCAAGATAAATCTGGACTTCCTCAAAAATAATTTGAATACTATATATATACATATACATATATAGAATATATACATGTATATATATATATATATATGTATGTATATATGTATATATATGTTGTATTGTTCATATTCAACATTTAATATTCTTTCCACTCGTATCACAAAATTCTATATATGTATATATATAGAAGACAAATTCTATATATATATATATATATATATATATATATATATATATATTTATATATATATAGAATTTGACTTCTATATATATATACATATATAGAATTTTGTGATATGAGTGGAAAGAATATTAAATGTTGAATATGAACAATACAACGATTCTTATATAAACATCATTAATAATTTATAATTTTTTTCATTTATCTTATTCTCTTCAATAAATTAATCCGTTCTCACATTTGATGATTTTATTATGCAATCGCGCACTCCTTTTTGTTTACATTATAATAATATTCATCCTTGTCCCTTCATATTAGACACTTAAGATTGGTTTTCAAATATTTCTGTATATATTCAAATGTTTAGTACTGTATCAAGCATTATAAGAGATAAGTAGTTGGTGTTTTTTGTATTTTCAAAAATTAAATGTAATTTAAATAAAATATTAAATAATGTGTAGTATATAAGTAACTGTTTCGAAATTACACTGAAGCTGAGGCATACCATGGTGTCGAAACTTCTGTAATCACCAAATAAAGTGTGTGTTAAAAATCCAAGTGTTGTATTGTTCATATTTAATATAAACATTAAATTTGTAATTAGATAATATTTTGACAAAAAACTAATTTAAAAAATCACAAATGGATAGTGTGTAATATATGTGTTGCTCGTAGACTGGTTGAAGATATGATGGAGAAAAGACTTTTTAAAAAATATTTTTACCAAGATTCTACACATGTGTGGAACGAATTGTGAATCCTTTGCGCGACGTTTTTATTGTTTTGTGAGAAATTTGGAAATGCTATCTAAATAAAAAGAGATTTGTGTCGCCAAGCGTGTTAAGTACATTCCGTTTATTTAATGTCTTATAATTCTTCTTTTCAATAAATGTAGAATCTTGGTAAAAATATTTTAATAAAAAGTCCTTTCTCCATTATATCTTCAACCAGTCTACGAACAACACACTATCCATATGTGATTTTTTAAATTAGTATTTTGTGAAAATATTGTGTAATTACAAGTTTAATGTTTATAATACATAGTGTAGTGCATTAACATATCCTGATACCATGGAGTATTAAAATCTTCCAGTTTAAGACTAAGATTAACTAATTGTAAGTACTATTTACGTTTATTTTTTCGTTTCACTCCAATTCAATTGTTTTAGTTTTTAATTTTATTTTTAGTTTCCACTGAATGAAGGCTAGGATTATAGCCGAAACGTACGGATTTAAAATAAATTTTTGAAAGAAATTCATGTATTTTATTGATGTTATGCCCGATTACTTGACTTTATTGTTAAATATACAAACCTTGAAATAAATATTATTTCGAAAAATCTAATCGCCTTAATAAATATTTGCTTATTAATAATAATTCTATATATAATTCCCACATGCGGCAGGGTCCAAAATCCGTCTGACAAAGGGCAAAAGCAAAACATTTATACAAACAATATGCAATGACTTGACAGATGACAGCGAACGCTGTCGACTGGCGTCGTCTCGAGTTTCGCACTTTGCATTTGCTCTGTCTGAGCCGGAGCCGGAGCGCTTGCCGTTTGATCGGTTCCAATCGCCGTACTGTCGTACTCGTACTGTACTTGTCATGTCATAAGGGAACAGGAGGAGGTGTGTGGTGTTAAATAAAGTGCAATATTTTCTAGATTAACTAAAATTTGAAACAAAGAACGTGACAAGAAAAATATGTGAATTTTGTATGTTACATAATAATTTTTTTATTTCCTCGAGTATTTGTTAATTTGCGTGGGCTGAATTTTCGGGGCGAAACTTGTGATATGAACAAAATTGAGATGGGTACGTATATGAAAGATTTGCTAACCGGTTTATTATTTATATGCTCGCTTTTTATTTTATCGACACGAATAGTTTCATTATAGATTCATCTCCGGCACACGTATCATTTTATTTAAATTACCTATACTTTATTTTATAAAATGAACCTACGTAATTATTACAAAATATTATTTACAATATTAATCATCACTTATTTCAATGATGTTTAATAATTATCAGCATAATAAATTGCCTTTGTTTTCTTTTAACACTTTCAATAGTAATAATTCATACTATTTATTATTCTATTTATATTGCTATTTTGCTAATAAATGTTAATACATATGATTGATGAATTCATGTTATGAGATTTTACCACTATTGCTGCATATAGTACATAGCATTGTTTGTGAAAGTTCTTGATGAAAAAATAGGTTGTTCTGTGTAGTGACTTAGAAAACATTCCATATGTGAGCATGGTTTCTTAACATTTCAAACATTCTAATGTGATTCATTTATTTTATGTTTAACATTATTCAAATTTTTTTTGAAATGTGCACTTGATTGCATTTGTTTTGAATAACTTGTTTTTCTAAAAAAAAATCCATCAATTTGTAGTTATAAATCTTTTTGAGTGCACAATTTGTGATAATATTTTTAGTTTGGTAAATTGTTCAAATGTGTTATTTAGTGTAGAATATTAGGAAAATGGTAAAACCAATAGAGGAAATTAGCACAGCTGATGTAAATGTCGTACCTGCACTGAACAATGTCTGTTCAGTTGAACCTCAAAGTTTAGAATATATTGAAGATCCATATTTTAATTTGCCTGATGAGGAAATAACACCAAGTTTGGATAAATATGAAGATAATTTAGATGATGATGAAATAACTGTACACTGTTGGAAAGATATAGATGGAATTGAATTAGAAACTGAATTATATTTACAATCTCTCAGGCTCGACCAAATTTTAGTTGATCATAATTCAGATTTAGATGATTCTAAATTATGTATAGAAACCGAATTCGTAGCTAGAAAAGTTAGTGTAATGCCACTGAGATTGTTTATGAAAAAAATCGCTGACGTTAAAGTTACATTTCAAGATTTGTCGAAACCTTACTTTTTCAAAATGTCTACAAATAACAGTTATAAACAGTTTTTAGATATTTCTGGAGGTAATAAATACATTTATATAAAATAGACATTTAGTCATATGCACATGAGTGTGTATGTGTGTATTTATACATACAATATATGAGCAGTGATGAAAATGTTAATATTAAATAAAATTTAAGATGGACAAATAGTGATTAATAATAATTAAATTATCAAATATTATATTAAAAGTACATTTTTATTTTTGTTTTATAAGCATATGTTTGAATTGCATTTTTTACATTGTACATTTCAGCATTATCTTAGTCTATGATTAATTATGAAATATTTATTTTTTGTACTAATATTTTATTTATATGTTTTTAGCTGAAGCTGCATCACCTAGTACAGAAATGCCACACTCAGGTGGAGAACCAGGGACACCAATGGGTTCAGTTGTTGGTGCTTCAGGTGAACTTGCGGGACTGAGCCCAGAAGAAGCCGAATTGAAAAGAGCTGAGTGGAGCCAAGAGCTTGCAAGAGTGGAAGAAGAAATTGGTATGAGAATTGGAAATAGATATGGGAATACTACTACGTTTAAATATTTCTAGTTAAAATAGTTAAAATACTTTATGTTTATGATGTAAATATGGTGAAAGAATGTTTACTCAATTGCAAATTCTTCGCTATGTTTTTTTTAAATAATTATAATTATAATAATTATAATTATTCTAATTCACTACTATTATCAATTTCATCTATTTTGCTATTTTCAAATACATTACATTACAGGTACTCTAAGAACTGTTTTGGCAAGCAAAGTTCGAAGAAGTGGAGAACTGAAAGCTAAGTTAGGTATCACTGTTTGGAAAGAACTAACTGGGGATGTCAATCAAAGTCTACGTACTGTTAAAGAGAGTCAAGTGTAAGTTACAATAAATATTATTGTATTTATTTTTTTTTCATTTTTACATCCATCATTTCAAACATTATTTGATAATGCATATGATGATTGCAAACTGAGCCATAATAGCAGGTTTCAGCCCAATGAGATTATAATAGTCGCATTTAAAAAGTTAAACATATGAATATTTAGAAAAATATGTAAATAAATTTGTATCTAGTGTTGATATAGTAGAGTGCATGATGATAGTTAAATAGGTGTTGGTAGTTCATTTATTTTCAATATGAAGTATTTTTGACACTGTATATATATATATATATATACAGTTTTTCAAAATATTGTGGCAACTTTTGAGATATATCTCCATTCTCTTTCCTTAGTCGTATATATTATAAAGCAATATTTAGCAAACGTATCTTAGCTTATAATATTATTTATCAGTATTTTGTTAGGTTGTATGATGAAACATTTAGAGTGAATAACATTTAAACTTGTTATAATTAGCCAGGCTACATTAAATCGTAATATGTTGTAATATAAAGAAAGTAATTATATAATCTTTAGCAAATGAGTAGATACAAGTAGTTTAAACTATCAGTTCTTCAATAAAACTTTGAATTATTTTCAAGACTGTTTACAAACAGCAACATATACAGATTAATTTTTTTTACTGTTTATGTAAATAATGGTGAAAATTCACAATCTTACAGAATCTTCATAAATAATTTTATTTTACAATTTGATTTTCTAGTGTTGTGAACATTGATTACAAATATTTGACTTGTTAACTAATTAAAAAAAAAACAGTTTTCATTCCAATAATGGTGCAAAAAAATGAATGGTATGCAGTTATTTATTTACTTTTGTTAATATGCTAATATGCTGGTCATTTAAAAATGCACATTTTTAATTATTTTATGAGTATCACTTAACAATTTTTTTTAGTATTAAATATTTTGCTTATATTTATTTTTATTCTGGATGATCTTGTATGTTGGATATTGGTACAACAGCTATGGTAATATTGAAAATTGTATTGGACAAATAAGTAAAGCTGTGACTAGTGCACCTATGTAAGTAAATTTTTGCATGTTGTTGCTAAAACTTTCTTTCAATAGGTCTTGCGTTATATATATATATATATATAGGGTGGTCCTTAAAAAGGTCATTTTCGAATTTCCTTGCTCCCAGGGACTCAACTGGTTCCAAATAGATAAAAAACAATTCCCTGAAAGTTTTAGCTCTTAATATTAACGTTTAGATAGAGCGCAATTCAATCAAAGTTTTGTATGGAAATAGCATGGAAAAATTTTCAAAAATTTAAAAAATGTTTTTTAGATGTAATTTAGCGAACAAATGAATGAATAAAACTCATTCATTTGTCGCTAAGTTATACCTAAAACATTTTTTTTAAATTTTCAAAATTTTTTCCATGCTCTTTCCATACAAACTTTGATTAAATTGCGCTCTATCTAAATGTTAATATTAAGAGCTAAAACTTTCAGAGAATTGTTTTTTAACTATTTGGAACCATTTGAGCCCCTGGGAGCAAGGAAATTCGAAAATGACCTTTTTAAGGACCACCCTAATATATATATATATATATATATAAATTAAATATAAATGAGAATGATCATGAATTATCATTTTAAAGTATATCATTTTAACCAATTTTATTAAATTCAAATTAGTTTTTGAATGATTAAAAAATATTTTTTTTAATAATTTAAATCTAATTTATTATTAGATATTTATTTAAAACAAAATGCGTATATATTCTGAATCTTAAAAGATTGTGCATTAATATTTACATGTTATATAAATATTAATGATGAACTATTTAGAATTTACCATTTGAGTACAATGATTGTGATTTATGATCATAAATAAGTAACATACAATTCTTGTTATTTATTTAAATCCAATGAGTATAACATTATTATAATATTACTTATTATTGGATTATTTTATTTCAGTTACCAGAAAACAGAATTGGTACTGAAATCTACTGCCGAAAAAACTACTTCTTTGTTAGGTGGAATAACTGGTGGTTTGACATCCAAAATTGGTCAGATGAGAAATTCTGAATCTTTCAAATCACTAGAAGAAAAAATGGGTTCAGCCTATGAAAACGTTAAGGTAAGGATATATAATATTTATTGCAATAAGTCACAGTTATTATATGCTATTAAAATTAAAGTTTCAGAGTAAACTTGATCAAACAAAATTGATGTTTTGTCGTTTTCAAGTTACAATGATTTTTGTTAATATACTCATTACTTAGCTTTCTTTAAATTATTATTCTATTTCCACTTTTCAGACTAAAGTTTCATCATCTCGTTCTAATTCTATTCAGAATTTTGATGAAGCATTGCGTGAAGCTAACAAGACTCCTGCTACAACTCCTACTATTCCTGAAAATTCAATTATCAAACAGTAGCATTTGCTACAAAGCTACTCTTGATGTTTTATTAAATTTTTAAAAATATAGTAACAAGGAAAAGTCCGGCCAACGCGATGATGTTATATACTACACATACTTGTTTCACATAGCTTTATTGTAAATCATTTTCAATACAATTCATAATTATTAAATGTGCCTGTTATAACTATAGCTTATTGAAGAGATATTTTATAAATTAGTATTTTCATTAAATATAAAAATCATTTTTGTAGTGTATGTACACATTAAAGTATTCTATCAATAAACTTAAATTATGATGAGGAATTATGCTGTGTACTTTTAATATATATTTGTTATTCGAAATATATACATGTCATAGTAATTATTTGCCAGATTTGTTGACCTTATTACTTGCCTTAAATAAACTATGGGTTGTTTAATTAAAATTAACTTTAATTTGGTCAATTTGTGCCTTTTTCTTTTTTTGAAAATTTGAAATAATCGTCCTCTTTTTGAAAGATGTAAGTTATGAAGATAAACTTTGTAACACCTGTAACATTACGTTTATATGCAGTAAAGTTAAACTAAATAGCAATACCTTAAAATTTAAACTTTTTCATGGTATAATACCAGGGACTTATAAATATGCCAGGAAGGCATTAAATTTGAAAAAAGCTAAGAGTAGTAGATACCATGTGTCATGAAAATAATAAATCTGTAGGGTAGAGTATCAGTAAAAAAATGTAGTGTTCAAAAATCATATCATAGTGAGTACAAAAATTGGGTATGTACAATAAATATTAGTAAAATCGTGAAAACAACACTTTATTTCTATTAATTTCATAAGACAATTACAAAATGTTCAAAGTACTGCATTCTAAATAATATCATTCAATGCAATAGATTTGGTAACATTATATTATAATAAAATTTTATTTAATCCATATTTAGAAATGCAATGGGTAGTGACATAGAGGACAACATCGTTTAGTGGTCATTTCTTGGGGAAACGAACATCTCTGGCATCTTGCGCAACGCCACACATTTGACGTATCAGGAATGGATCGGCCAGTTGATATGCAGCCTGGAAATCGCAGTGCGCAGTTTGGGCATGAGGTACACCTTGAAAATAATTAATTTATTAATAATTACTTCAAGAATTGCTGGACTATTCATACATATATATGTGTGTTTGTGTATTATATTTCAAGATAAAAAAATTCAAATAATAGTGAACAAAATTAAACTAACATATGAATGAACTTCAATTGAAACTGTATTTAAAAATAATATTGGCTTTGTCTATCTGCATATTCCTGTTAACCTTACCAGTCTGGTACAAGGGTATCACAATTAATACATTCCATTCTCGTAGTTCTAGAATCTCTAGGTGGATTTATAGAAAAAATGTCAACGGCTAAATCTTCATATATTTGTTTCCTTGACTCTGGAACCTGTAAAATTCATTGCATTATAGCTATAATGTATTCTACCTTCTATCTGTAGCGTTAACATAAATAAAATATGTAGTAAATATGAACTTTATTGACGCCTATTTATAAATATGAATTCTTATGAAGTATGATCGAACAACGAGGATTCTGTGCAACCATTTCTGTTCTTTGAAATAAATACATGTTTCATGCGATTTACCTTTGTTAAAGATTCCAGCTTAATGAAGGCCTTCGAGCACGTAGCGAATGCTCGGTTCGAAGCGCTAGCTAATGCTAGTATACCGTACAAAGCCTCGACATTCAGAACATCTTCGTAATCCCTTAGTCTATAACTTGTTTTCATGGCGTTATCAATGTATCCGTTATGTAGTTGTCTTTGTGCGAGCATCATGAAGTGATAACCTTCTGCTCCATGCCACACAGCTTCCATTAGGGCACCATCCACTGAATTATTCATGTCTAACATTGCTAATCCGCGAGTACCTTGAATAGAAGAGCATAAAAGCTTATCGCAATTCAATCTAATACATATATCATTCTTCCGCAAATTAAAAATGTTGGAATCCACAACTTTTAAAAATATTAACTTGACATGAAAATAGAGCTAATATGTATCAATTTGGACATGTGTCAATGCCATAATGCTTTAAGTTGGAACTCACAGTTATTACTAAAAATATGTTTGATATATTACTATAATTGTTTCTTTTTTTTTCAATCTGGAAAGATTTCCTAAATTGTTTCTAAACTTTAGATAAATAGGCTAAGCCCAATATTTAATTTGATGTGAACATATACACTAAATTCACATTAATTCAATAACGTGATTCATAACAATTTCCGGTTTATAAAACTTGCCATGTAAAAAAAATAATTTTAACAAATCACCTGCAACATTGGCATCCGGAATATTCATTGTTAAATGATCTTCAATTAGCATAGCCGCCAGTATGAAAAGTTTCTTAACTTTCATTAAATTAGTATATTTTCCAGCTTCCGACTTGGCTATCTAAAAAAAAAAAAAATTAAATTGAATTATAAAAATTGGTATAAAAAACGTTAAAGAATTATGTATCAAAATTTATCATTAATCATAATCTAGTATAAAAATTTCTTGGAAAACTACATGCAATATAAATGTAAAAATATGTCTAAAAAGGACTTATTAGAATATATTTATAAATTTAGTTTTTTAATTTTGTTTGTATTTATATACATACGTGCCTTATACATAATTCTAGCGGCATCTAAATATCTATTAGCCTTTCTATACAATTCGACAGCCTCGTGACTTTTATCATTCTTTAGTAAATGATCTGAATATTTGTCCATTAAGCTTCCAATATCAGGCATTTTAAAACGTTCGGCTAGTGATATTGCTTGGTCCCATTGATTTAATCCAACACAAGTCTCTACTGCTAGATTTATATCTCCAAACTAAAAATTGGCAAAAAATTCAAACTACATTTAAAATTAACACTTATAAAAATGAATTTAACTTCAAATTAAAAATTCATTAATACCTTAACATAAGCGTCAACAGACTGATTGCACAGGCCTACAGAAGTGAATATTTCAGCTATAGTACTTAAATGCGGCGATCTTTCCGGCAATTTTTCTATTAAGTTTTCTAGTGTATCATAATCTTCTAACAAGTTACAACATTTTATTAGCTGCTCATAATTTCGAGCTTTCTCATAATATTCCTTTGCACTATCCCTAAATGAAAAAATGAAACAAGTAAAGAATAAATTCTATATTTACTAATGATAATGAAATTATTTGATGATAATATACCAAATTTGTCGTTCTAAGAAGAAGTCGCCTATGCTATTAAATGTCTTTTCCAATTCTAAATCAGAACTTCCAACGCCCATTCTTATTAATTGCAAAACTCGGAACCAGTCGCCTAAAGTTTTGCGCAGCGTTATGGCTAAGTCTCTGTCAAATAGAGATAAATTATTCAAATATTTATGATATGCATTTATTAATAAAAAGTGATTAATTTTCGCGTTAATGTTATGAAAATCAGGAGTTCAATACTGGCATTGTTGCACAAATTAAAAATTTCTATGCAGATTATCAAATTCACCTTCGGTCACAGTCTAAATACAACTTCTCAGCTTCGTCATAGTTTTTGAAATGGGAAGCTATTTCTGCATCTCGCAATTTTGCGTTTTGTATATTAGAAAGTCGTTTACAAAGCTGAATTCCTGCAAAATCAGTGCATCGAACATAGGCAGCTTCAGCCTGCTCAAACTCTGATAACTGAAGTGCAGTTTCGGCTATAAGCCTCCTAAAATATGTGGAATCATACAATTGTATATTCAGTAATTCACGCGTTTTTATAAGTTTCAATAAGAAATAAGTGTCTGACTCAGATATTTGTTCATTTTTGAATGAAAAGAAAATTCTTCAAAGTAACATTAAAAAAACATATTTCTTACCATAATCTCGGATGAGGGTTATCATTTACAAACTGTACAGCTTCTTTCAAACCGACTTTAGATAACAAATCCCGTGTGTCACGTAAACTCTTAACTTCAAGATCCATGATTTGATCTTTATTTGGCGCAACTGCACCAGATATTACGTCATCCAAAAGTACAGTACGTATTTCCAAATCCTTCACAAACAAAGTAATATTAATTACAAAATTTAGTTCAACTACAAAAGATACCTTTCCGATAATTTAGAAACCAACCTCAAAACTACATATATAACCAGAGCAAAGAATTGGTTCTTCTGGATCATTTCCTTTTATTACGTACATCCTCGTTTTTTCCATTATCGCTAAAAAGTTAGGATTATCTGAAGCCCAGCACATTGCCCAAACATCTTTACGCTCTAAATTGGCTTGAGAATTCGTATTATTCAAGAATTCTTGGCCCATAGCAATATTATCTGATAATGATTTATTTACCACTACATCATCAGGTTCTAATACTAAGAGCGTGAGTACTCCAGTAATATCAATTATAGCGGCACGGCTGTAATAATGAGAATAAACTAGTTGGTATTGGTATTTTGATGATTTTTTAAAATTAAACTATTTGTCGTAAGGCCGTAATATTTTCAGTAAATTCCATAAGACCATGATATATATCGCCAAAAAAAAGTTCCATAAAAATCGGCTTAATTTTTTTTACTTAATTACAAGATAACGGCTCGGTAGATTTGCACCTAAAACTAATCAGTATCATTCTCTTTAATATCATTCGAGCAGTTTTTGATTTTTTAAAATCGATTCGGTAGTATGAGCTTAAATGTGGACGAAAAGTTTAAACACTCCAAATTACTAAGAAACGGCTTGGCAGATCGTCGCACAAAACTAACAAACAATAGTCCTCATTGAGATACATCAAATGGCTTATAAATAATAAATAAATGAAAAGTCTAATTTTGACAAATGCTGAAAAAACGATACTAATTTTTGCAAATATTTTAGTATGTTCTATAAGACTATGGTATCTACCGTCAAAAAAAATCATAAAAATCGTCGAAAAAAATTGTTTTAACATTTTATATTAAGAAAACGTCCCGGTCGATCTTTGCCAAAAACTAATCAGCACGATTCCCAACCAATATCTTTCGAACAGTTTTTGAATTTTCAAAATCGATTCACTTCTCCTTCAGAAAGTTAATAAGATTATTATGGATTATTATAGAAAGTGTCATTTTTATAGCTTGCCTAATAGTTGCTAAATATTATTTAAGAATTTAATAAATCAATTAAGCATAAATTTAAAAAAAATCAATTGCTATAATCTTCAAGTACTACAATTTCGACTAAGCATAAGTTGCATAAGCATAGGTTGTTTAAAGTCGAACTAGTCAAGGCAAACTGTTTTCTTTACAATATTCAAAAAAAAAAAACAGTTTTGTGGTTTGCTGTTCGTAATTGTGTTAATAATTTTGGTTAACTCATTGTCAGTTCTTTACCAGTAAATTATACCTATTAAATAATCCTAACATAACTGGGAAAGGCGGTTAAAACCTTGCTTGACTGCGATTTTAAACTCATAATAGTCGCATTTATCGTGAATTAACCCTTTCCACTCGCTAATTCCGGAATTTATATGTATTTTGCCGCCGGAGTGGGTTAATGTAAAAAAGCAAATGGTGAATATTATTTTAATCAATACCTCGAATTGCAATTGATCAATATCGAATGTGTTCTGACTTGCCGCTTATACCGATGAGTTAATGTTATGTTTGGCACCGAATATCTTTGCAACAATCCTGATTCTCTACCTATGATGAGAATATCTTCACTCATAGCGAGACAGCAGATGAAATCACTTGTCGAAGGTGGCTTTATTCCAGAAGCAAAATGCTGATCATTATCTTGCAAAAGATTAGCCATACCACTGGGAATGTCGTCAATATGATACACATGATCTGTGCGTTTATCTGTGCGAATTAAGCGCAAAAAGTCAAATGGATCTATAAATGTGGAAACAGGAGATTTTAAATATATATATTACTTGTGACACGCAAAGACCCTTTAGATGTTTTGTACTGCCACACAAGAAATTGCTCCATTGACGAGGCAACAACTAGATTTGAATTTATAGCTACGCATGTGACTTCTAAATCTGTACTTTTAGCTAAAATGTACAAATTCATTAAAATATAACAGCAAGTTTTTTTTCTTTTAATATTCATTTGATATTCAAATTGATAAAGCAAACAACTTTTGCTTTATTATGTATGCAATGATTATTTAATTTACCATCAATAAGTGTGGCTATAGAATTACAAACAAGCAAGCTATATTGCTCATTAGCAAAGGACATGTGATCAGCTGAATCTTCCTCTTCATCTGGTATAAAGGGATCGATTTTTACAGCCATGACACAGAGATCCTTGCAGCTCGAAATCGCAATTAAACTGTGAACATTTTTACTGTAACACTGAAATAAAAATAATTCATTTAAATAATTGTTGAAATCGTTATTACACATCTAGTAGTAATGAAGCAATTTCTGACAAAAAGTGGGGTAGTATTGTACGCTTACGATTCTGTGCAAATATTGCGTTGTCGGCAATAATTCTTATCGATAAGGCATTGAATTTAAAATACACTATATATGTCCTTTTGGTCATAGGAACAATTGCTGGTTTATGAATATTTCTGAATTGCATATAATATGATAAAGTGTTTTACTTGTTGACTGGCTGTGTCCCAAAATGTAACAGTAGTGTCCTCCTTATCCCGAGGAAATTCATTCACGAATACAATTGTTTTCATAAAATATGTCCAAGAATAGTTTGGTCTTATATTTGCAAAATAAATAAATGAATCAACTGCCAGAGCAATTCTTAATGAACCATTTTCCCAAGTGCATGCACTTATTTCTTTACCGGGAACTTTTAATGTTCGTAAATGCTGGAATTTCATAAAGGATTTTAACTATAATTGTATTCTTTCTTACATAACTGTTGAATTACAATATGTATTTTTAATACCTCTCCATATGAAGAATAAAATTGAACTACATTTACTTCTTTTTCTCCTTCTGTTAACATTCCAACTACTGCTAATATTGTGCCATTGTGATTCCAACGACAATCAATTGTCTCCATTTCCATATGAACTATCACAGGATCTATAAACCAAACAAACATTTTTAGTAATCGTGATGCTGTTGCCAAAATAATAACTAAGTGTTTATTAAATTTCTATCAATCTACTACAAATATATCACTAAAAATAATTTATTCAATTTATATGTATATACATATTATATATATATATATATATATATATATATATATATATATATATATAAGAGCGTGTATGTGTGTGTGTAACTGTACTTGCGTATATCCTCATTCATTTATTAATAATTACCATCATCATTCTCATCTTGCATCAATTGCATTCTTCCATTTTGATAACACACTACTAGTACTGGTTGCCCTTTCCTTTTAGAACCACTATACCATTGTAATCCTGTAACTTTTAATGTCCTTGTAGCAGTTATTTGTGTGCAATATACATTCAGTTTTCTCTGAATAATTTTAAAAGTAATTATAAAAATATTTTAAATAATGTCAATTCTGAATATTATTATTATAAAGTAATAACTAACAGCAAAAAGTCCTTGATTATCATATAAATGTAATTCTCCACTTCTACAACTGAATAATAATAATTTTCCATCTGGAGACCATTGAACGCCTGTTAACACTACTCCTTTAATTTCTTTTCCCCATATACGATTACCATCAACAGATCCTAATATGATACAACCTGCAGTTACATAAAGTGAAGATTTTGTTAATTATATATTCTATGCACAATAAGATATATATTTTTACCATCTTCATAAACTATACAAATTTTCTGGCCTTCAGTGTTCCATGCCATTCCAGTCACGGTTGATTTATTTCGATTATTAATCATTTCCTCATACCAGGAACCCTATAAATAAATTACTGCTTGAGATATTTTACTTTATATTTGGGATTAAAATAATTAATAAAATCATTCATAGCAGTAATGTACAAATATTATTAGTGACTAATTATGGTTTATGAATCTATCTATTCTCTAAAGAATAATAAAATCATAGATAAATAAGCATGAATAATGAATGAATGAATAAAAATTAATTTAGCTTAAAGGGTAAGAGAATAAAACAAAATAAATTCTACTAGTATTTAAAAGAAACCATTTTCGTCATCATTCATCAGTTTCCAGGCTGTCTAACTCCAAAACTCATGAACTTATAATAATATTACTAATAATAATAATAAATAGCAGTTTGCCCGAAGGCAACTCCATGGTATGAGAACACCACAAAATGCAGTATCCGTTTCTGGTTAGAATACTTGCTAAATATTTGAAATGATCACCGTCTTCCTATTCTCTATTTCCTACTGCTATCTTCAGAGGATCATCTCATTTTGATACTCTCATCACTTTCGATTTGTCGATGTTGATCTCCATGTCATATCTTCTGCCCACTTCAATGATTCTGCTCACTATGTTTTGTAGCTCGATATCACCACGGGATCATCGGCGTACTTTACGGTGGTGATTCGTCTTCCTCCAATTGAAAAATCTCTTGCGCTTCAAGTGCCTGCGGTCTCTCCAATCGATGCCTATAGCTTCTAAAATTCCCATAAGTGTATCCCAGTTTACTCTGTCAAAAGCTGTCTGCCAATCTATGAAGCAGAGGCAGATGTCGTTATCGTCGAGACATCTGTCCGACATTATCCTCAAAATTCTAATAGCGTCCCTGGTGTCTCTTCATTTTCTGAAACCAAACTGGCCTTCGCTCATGTGCTGCTCGATCTTATTTTCTAGTTGTCTCGTATGGATTTTGGCCGGAACGTTTCCTGTTCTTATTATCGTGATATCCAGGAAGCCCTTTGGCTATTCGCCCGTCTGGTATATTTAGTTCAGCAGTTCAGTCAGTTTCCTTAAACCGTTGTTGCCCAGCTCTTTCAGCAGGTCCGCTGGTATGTCGTCATCCCCTGTTGCTTTTACATTACCTTATATGCATTAATAAGTTATTTGAATAAAATGCATCTATTTTATAGAAACAATAAGCGTCTGTAAGACAACGTTCAATTGCAAGACACAGACAATAAAATATCATCATTCAATCATATCAAATATCAGACAATAAATTTCGTGCTACCTTCACTTAGAAAAATTATAATACTTATCAGTGATTGTGTTTCTATTTTAATATGAGTACATTTCAAATACCTTGTATAACATCCAAACTATGATGACTCCAAATTTATCGCTGGTAGTCAATTTTTGATGTATCTCATTCCAGACTGCTACTTGGATAGACCCTGAATGGCCTTCGAGAGCTTGGTTCATAGATAAATTTGTGGGGGCTGCCAGTCCTGCAGTTCTACCAGTATTCTCGCTGCTGCCAACTGAAATTAAAAAATAAATTTTGTTAAAAATTTATTTAGAATTTATTGTTATTATCGATGATCGAAAAATCAATTGCAAGCATATTGTCAATTAAGCATGTATTGCCCAAAATAAATTAGTAGGATTTCTCTGCTAAAATATGTGGTGCACTTAGTCTCATAACAAGAATGAATGTTTATGCATGTGATATTTTGAACAAATAAGTTATTACTTAATAAATAATATTCAACACTTATCATTGTATATATAATACAAAAAAAAAATTCTTATTTTATTTCACATAAATTATAAACCATCGATATTAAAACATTTAAAATACAGCTATTAATAAAAATATTCAACAAAAATATTATCAATGATTTTACATACATGAAAATATCAACTATTTCATTAACTAAATCAATTGAATATATCTGTAATATAACGTATCAAGACAAAACTGATTTATTAAAAATGTAAAAATCATTAAATAATTCTAATTTTAGTTCATTCAAAAATTCAGTATAACTTTTTTATTCAATATGATTCAAAAGTTCAGTAAATAATATAATGTAATTTTATAAATGTTATCTTATTCTGCAATTGAAAATAGTTTAGTTTACTTAATTACTTTTAGAATTCCATTCCATAGAGAAACATAAATATAATAAAACAAGAAAATTGTTTCAGTTATGGACCGCTTAACACTGAAAATAATAAGTCAATGCTTAGTGTTTATTTATCATGTATTTTAAAATTATAGAACAGGATCGTTATCAATTATACATCCTACATAGGTGTATTCATTAATTAGATGTGTATGTGGATGGGGAAATGTAGGAAGTGGATACATGGATGGCATGCTTTCGTGATCAAAACCTCCGCAGCAGACATCATGAACAGGGTATTGAGTGGACCATGACTCTAAAATTGTTATATTTATTAACTGCAAAATAAAACTGTACATTTAGTTTTTCTTTGTATAAAGGAATTACCTGGATCAAGTTTTAAAACTTTCAATAGTCCATCTTCGCCTCCTACAGCTATGTACCCGTGATCCCTTTTCCATGCTAAGCAATTTACTTTAGTGTTATTTGGAATGGCTATCTATACATTGGTAAGATAAATTTTATATTAATCAATATCAGAAATGTTATAAAATTTAATAATTAAGATGTTTGTAATTAATTTTTTCTTTAATTTGCACAATATATTATATGATTTCGTATTTTATACCTTCTTGCTGAGATAAATAAACATTTTAAGTTATACAATTTTTTTGTAATTTTATGTTTTTAACTTTTTATTACATTTCTAATTTAATATGATTGTTTTGTTTCGTGCGTTTCCATGGCAACGCAATATAACCTAAAATCATAACAAAATTTAAAAGTAACTTACGTGTTTTGTTTTCCAATTTATTTGTGTTCGTAAACACGAACTTTCAATTCAAAATTTCATTTTTTTTATTTTCATCCAGATCCATTATTTTTATCATTACGATGTTTATTTTTATATTGCACATCCGATAGATTGACAGATCTTTGACAGGTAAAATTGAAATAATGAGAAAATTTCAAACATGCAATAACTTGAGGTAAGTAAATTTCGTTATTTATTATCTGTATTTATTCATTCTACTTTAAATTTTCAAACTTATCAGATAAATAGAAGTCAATTGCTAATCATTCGAAATCTTTTAGATTGGTAGTTAATGTCGTCATTTATTATTAGTAAATAATATGGCTAGTCACCAAAATTTCGACGAAGAATATTTCCAAAACGAAAACCAGGAGGTATTCTTACAAGCAGCCAGAAATGGGGATATTAGTTTAGTAAATGAATTTCTGCATCGATTGGCCAAAAATACAATCAAATTTGACATAAATTGTAAAGGGAAAAATAAAAGCAACTATGGCTGGACTGCCTTGCATTTGGCAAGTTATTTTGGACATAAAGCAGTAGTCGAAGCTTTATTAAATTATGGGGCTGATGTTAATGTTGTCAATGAGTCAGGAGATACCCCACTTCATAAAGCTGCCTTTATTAGAAGAGAGGTATACATTTTAAATATATAATTTAATAATAAACTGAAAGAGTGTTATATAAATCTAGTTATTAACTAATTATACAAACCATTTCTTGTCATTTATTTTGGAAAATACCAATACAAATTAGAAATATAATTGTAAATATCACTGCACGAGCATTTCTATATGAAGATTATGTTCTTTAAATTCACAATCTTGATTATATTTTATTTGGATAGTCAAATTTATATTACCTTGATTAAGAATCTGTTTTGAGCATAATGATTTGATAGAGGCCAAAAACTTTAAGAAGATCAAATAATTTTTAATACCTATATTTATTTATTTGAAACAATGACTGTCAATTATGAGACAACTCGTAGATTGCAATATTTTCTAAAATGTCAACTACAAGTTACCTTGTCCATGTGTTTACTCATTAATTTTGGGTAGTTACTAGTTGTCTTGAAATATATTAGTGTTAATATCGATGTTTAGCTTCTGGCAAAAGATAAAAACGTTTAGGCTAGCGTGCATGAGCAGAAAGTTTAATAAAAATATAGCAAGAGACAATTTCATTCAATTTTATTAATAAAAATTTAAGAATTTATATAATATTTTATTGATTGTAAATTAAATTTTCAAGGAAAACTATGCACTAGAAACAGAGTTGTTCATAACACAATGGAATCAAATTGAATTCTCATTTGATATTTCAAAATTATCACAGCAGTCAACGTTTAAAATTTTTAGAATTGTTGTGAATAATTTGTACTAAAGCAAATAAAATTTTTCAAAGATTTTATTTTTTAAAAAGAATATGTAACAAAATAAATTGTGTGATATTATGTTAATATATTTTTAGTAAAATCTTTAATTATTTTCATGTCATTTACACACTCTTAATTTAATGAAAACAATTCATATTTACTTATGTGGAATTCAGCACAGTTTTAATTGAGCCGACACTAATCTTTCATGGCATATTTAATATACTATAGTCAATATTTATACTCTGTTTAATTATTATTTTTAGGACTTAGTATTATTACTGCTACAACATAATGCAAATGTAAATTTGATAAATGGCGAGGGAAAGATACCTAGAGAAATGACTGAGTGTACGAAAGCTGGAAATCAAAGCCAAGAGAGTTCTGGTGTGAGGATTGTTGAGCTATTGTTAGGAGCTGAAATGACCGAGTCCAGATTAAAAGAAGAAAAATTGATTGGCTCTGCTAGGAATGGGGATCTTATGACTTTGAATGATTTGGTATGTGTTAGAAAATTAAGGGAGCTAGAAATTTAAGGGTTTCATAAAAAGTCTGGTAATTTATTGTTTTTTATATTTTTGTAATGAAAACAAATAATATAATACTTTTGATAATCATTAAATAATACTTTATAAATATTCAGTATGCAAATAATTTGAATAGTCTTTTTATTATTATTTAGCAATATATACATTTCCATATCTCAGTCAGACAGGGGTGCCTGGTATAAGAGATTATGGATTGCTTTATTCATTTATACATAGTTTATATATATATATATATATATATATATATATATATATATATATATATATATATATATATTCATATTACTTCATTCTGAAATATTACATTTATATAAGAAATTAAGTATAAGCGTCATATTTAACCAATAAGGTCAATCTTGTTTATACCTGGTATAGTTTTTTAATTCAGTTTTAAGTTTATTTCAGTTTGTCAGTTTTTTTATTTCGGTAGGTAATTTGTTGAAAAAGCTACTTGCACTTCTAAGGGGGCTAGTATGCCTTTTATTTGTTTTAGAGTGTTTAATATAGTTTATAGTTTTTAATCTGTCTAGTGTGATATTCGTGTATATCCTGGTTTGTTTCTGTTTTGTTTTGATTTTATTATTTTTTATTTTAAATATTAGAAAGCATTTTTCAATTTGCTATTGTTTTGTGTAGTGGTAGGTTCATAAACTTAAAAAAAAAAACTATTTTAGTACTTGTGTATACTTGTTTATCTATGGGTAGGTTATTTGTTTTGTTTAAATGTTTAACTGTTGGAGTGAGATGAGGGTAATTGTATGTTGTTTTGATCACTTTGTTCATCATTGTTTGCTTCGTTCTTATGTTTTTATTAGTGGTGTGGCTCCAGACAGTACATTAATACCGGCATTATGTTAGATTTTAGAATTAGCTCTTTGTTTTTTATGCCGAGATGGCGTATCCTTCTTATGGCTCTGGAGAGGGCTATAATTTTTTGTCTTATTTTTTCGATATGATCATTGCAGTCTAGTTTTTCATTTATGACCATACCTAAATATTTGATATTTTCTACTTGTTCTATTTCAACATCATTGATAATTTTTTTTAATTTGTCCTCATTTTTCATATTGTTATATTGGAAACAAATGTATTTAGTTTTCTCTGTATTTATTGTTAGTTTGTTTTCCGTTACCCTTTATTTATATTCTGAGCTAATTTGTGTATTAGTTGAATGAAAATTTTTTTATGGCTAATAATAATATTTAGAAGAGGGTTTGAATTGCTAGTGCATTTTTTATTTTACAAGTTTTTCAAGGTATCATACCTTTGTTTTAGGAACCTTGCAATTTGATTAACTTGATAATGTACATATATATTAGGAAGAAGTACTAAAATTGATTTGTTTTAAGTTTGTGATGTTATTTTGTTTAACCGATATATTATAAAAGAACATTATGATAATAAATTTTTCATAACTTTAATTATAATTATTGACAATATTGATACGTTTGTAACTTTCCGAAGGAGGTGTTTGTTTACACGAAAAAATCCTATTTGCTAATATGTTTGTTTTCTAGACATTGACGAAACTTTGTATGACGAAAGATTTAATAGTCTGATAAAAAATTACCGAAGTTAGGATTTGCGCCCCGCGATTCTGATCAGAATTTATGCCTTTTGTGCATAGGTAGGTTCCGTGTTTCGTAGGTACCTACTGATTGCAGCTAATATCCACACTGCAAAAAATACATTTTAAGAACCTTAAATGGATGAAATGAAATGTATTATAGAAATTAATTTAATTAATACAATTACAGACATTATAAGTATATTTGAGAGACTTTATTTGAACATTGCATAGATTAATTTTTAGTGAAAGCGAAAATTTTATTTTTGATGTAAGCATTTAAACATTTTAACTAAATAACTGAAAATCAATGTTATTTGTTAAATTGATTTGTGTACATATCAGGAAGTTATTGAAACTTGCCTTATGGCAAAATACTACTTACAACCAGTTATGTTTTTATTTTTCTGATGCAAGGATCAGAAAATTAATGCCGAAGGATATATTTTCGGTAGATGATTTAGAATGGTAATCAACAATTTATTGTAATAAAGAATATTGTGAATTACCATTGATGACAAATAATAGCATTTTTCAAAAATTTGATTTACTTTTTACATCTCTATTATTCTCTAATCTTTAATCAATTATGTGATTGTTGATTTATTATTTGCAATTTTTAACAATTATTTTTTTATTATCATAGCTTTTCATTGTTTTGAATTTTATTAACATAAAATTAATTTAATGGGCTCATAATCATATTATGTGCTATCATAATTATATGAGCAAATCATTTTCTATGTTTGCAGCTTCATGATCATCTACCTCCAAATATAAATTGCACCGACTCCGTTGGAAATACCTGTCTGCACTGTGCCTCATATCGTGGTCATAAAGAAGTAGCTGTATTATTATTACAGAATGGCATTGATCCATCCATTAAAAACAAAGCAGGTCAATGATATTTCAGTTTGATATAATCATTGCTTTAGTTTTAATTTAATTTGCACGCTGTGATATTTAATATATTCTACTTAATCCAGGTTTTACAGCCTTGGACTTAGCTAGAGAACCTCAAATGCAAGCAATTTTATCTGTCAAACCGATTCGACAACTACAAAGAAATGCTAATCGATTTGAAGGGCAATTACTAAAACGATCCAGATTTTTAGGGTGGAAACCAGTGTGGGTATGTTTATTTATATCTGCAAATGTTGCTTATGGATTTAAAAGTTGCTTAGGCACATATAATTTTTGGATACTAGGGATCAAAATAAGATACTTTGCTGAAGAAACCATACCTCTAAAATGAATTCTGATGTCCTGTGCATTGACCAAAAGATAGGGATTGAATTTTGAAAAAATCCGTTTTAATCTATTTAGAGTGCTCCAATCGCGTCGAAATGTATAACAAACCCCAACTAACTTTGAAAGGCGGATCAACCCATGCCTATGGTTCACCCCCTGGGACCTCTCCTTAGAGAGGTCCCATACAAAAATCATTCAATTCATCAAACTAAAAAAGACTTCAAACAATAGTATGAGTTTTACATAGTTTTATTTACATATCTTATGATTAAATAAATTTTATAATAAAAATAAATTGCAGATTTTTGTTATGTTGAAATACCCAAAATGATGCAACTTTTGTATGGGTGACCTCTAAAGGGAGGGCCCAAGGGGTGAACCTTCGGCAAGGGTAGATCGGCCTTCCAAAGTTACTGGGGGTCGGTCATACATTTGGACATTATTGAGGCGCTCTAAATGTGCCAAAACAGGATTTTTCAACATTTGACCCAATCTTTGGGTCAAAACCGAGTCCATACCATGTCTGAAATGCAAATAAAATTTGAAAATTATATATGTTCGGTTGAGACTAACTGAAACATTTCAGATAATTAATGTATATTTTGACATAGGATGCACAATTTAATATCTTCTGAAGTATACTGGTAACGGTAAGGATACTATATTGACAAAAAATATTTTTACAAGAACATAAAGAACTAATAGAAAAAAATATTTTTAAAGCTTTTTTTTGAAGATTGAAAACTTTATATATGTGTGTATAGTTATATTGCTATACAATATATGAATATATGTATGAATGAATGATTTGATTTATTTTATAGATTGTGAAAGGAAATAAGTCAAATATCAGTGTGGTGTGCAAAGTAACTAACCGTTTAGCGTAATGAAGCTTTTAACACTTTGATTTCAAATTAATCAAGCAAACGAACGAAAACTGTCGTCATATTAAAATTTGTACACAGTTCTAGAAATCAATTGTTAATGAACTTTTTTGTATTTTATTTTTGAAGTGTTAAAATTGATATCTTGATAGTGATGAATTTTCTTTTCATCATTTTTTAAAAATATAACATTGCAGTATGATAAAAAGTGTAAAATAATAAAATGTTGTTTTTGCTATATGCAACAATGGTATGCTTTTCATTTTTTTATAATTGCTTAAGTAATTTTGATAGTGCGATGCTTTGGGATGACTTGTTATTTTTGCTGTTGGTTATGTAGATTTTGTAATATTAAATTCTCAATTTGAAAATTAAAAGATGCAAAAGATGAAAATATTATTATCCATCAATCTCAAATAGCTGACTATTTTTATAGGGATGGTTTAGTAAAATAAGTATAATTAAAATGCGATTTATCAAAATGTTTTTGAAATTACAATCAATGCTTATGTTATGAAGGAATTTTTACTTCAAAGCATTTATTTATCTGTGAAAATAATATTTAATGTAGCTGTGTGTTTAATCTCATACTTATAAGTAGTATACTAATATTAACTATTTTTTTGAAAAACACTTTTAAATATTAGGTGCGCAACTAAGTTCTCGCTGTTTTTCAATGAAAATGTAACTTTATTATATTAAAACTCTTACATCTGATTCATTCAAAGTATTGCCCATCGCTAGACACATCTTTTGCCCATATTTCTAGCAGAGCTCGAATACCTTGGCGCCATAAGTGTTCGTCTTTTGAGGCTATCCATGAATCAAGTCATTTTCTGACGTTTTCATATGAGTTGAGCTGCTGATCAGCCAGGCCATGTGCCATCAAGCGAAACAAGTAAACATTGGACAGTGCAATATCTGGGGAATATAGCGGGTGGGGTAGGACTTTTCATTTGAGCGTTCTCAATAAATTTTAACAGGCTTGGAAACGTGAGGCCGAGCGTTGTCATGCAGTAAAATCACTCTGCTCGTATTGTGGCCGTTTTTCGCGCAGTGCTCGGCTAAATTGCATCAATTCTATATAGTTCTCCAGTGATGGTTTCGCTCGGTTTCAGCAGCTCATAATAAATAACACCGACCTGGTCCCACCATATGCAGAACATAACCTTCGTAGTGAATATTCGGCCAAACCGATATTTTTTCTTCTTTGAATTGATTTAATGTATTTATTTTTTATCATCTGTCACGATCTGATAATGAACCATTTCTTTCTTCGCCGCTGGAGCAGTTGTTCACAGGCGAAAAAACGACGCTCGACGTCTCTTGGCTTCAACCCACAAGGCACCCAAGTTTCTTGTTTCTGAATCATCCCCAACGCATGCAATCGCTTGTAAATGGTTTGAAGGGTAACTCCTAATTCTGGAGCAAGATCTTCTTGAGTTTGGCATGAACCCTTTTCGAGCAAAGCCTTCAATTTAGCATTTTTGAAGGTTTTGGCCTTCCTTTACGAGGGCGGTCGTCAACATCAAAATCACCATCTTTGAAGCGACGAAATTCCTCACGGCATGTTATTTCGCTCATAACAGCATTTCCGTAGCTCTCGATGCACTTGAGATGCCGTTTTTGTCGAATGGAAGACGAAAATCAACACTCCTCGCAAATGACGATTGTTTGGCATGAAATTAGACATTTTCACTTAACCAGAAGTATATAATGCAAAAACAAAATCGCCTATGTGTCGCAGCAGTTTGTTTACCATATGTCTAAGCTTGGTTCAAGACGTTTTGGATTTGTCAAAATCGATCAACCCTCACTGCTAGAGCCATATACTGACAAACAGCGAGAACTTAGTTGCGCACCTAATACTAAATATAAAAAGTTAAATAAATTTAAATTGATATTCCAATTAGCAGTAAATGCCGAAGAGAAAGCGCGAAATTTATTATGTATTTATGATTTAATATTTTTTATATGGTTGTTACATCTTTGAATTTATTATTTTAGAATATCTGTAGAACCTTGCAGTGATTATATTTTATGATTTATTTATTTTAAGACTTATTAAAATTTATAAAAATCTTGCAATTATGTCATATTAATCTGAAACATGTTTAATATTTATTAACTTCCCGAATGAGAAGTTAATGTTTTCATCAAAAAATCCGATTTGCTAATTTTATGTTTTGTCGACCTTTCAGCCATTCTGAATCGAATGAGACCAAATTTGGAAAAAGTATGTGTGTGTGTGTGTGTGTGTGTGAACAGATTTTTTGCCGTAAATCGACGTTTTCTTAAGGGGGTATTCTACTGTAGAATTTTGAAAAAAATCGATTTTTTTTTCATATTTTCAAAGTTTAGTTATTCAGAAATATGTCATTAAAAGGATTTTTCAAAATTACTATTATTTCCTGAGTTATATCCGTTTTAGTGACGTGGCCTCGGTTCGGGTCCGACCGAGGCTCAAAACTTTGAACGCGTTTTTCTCGGAACTACTTTTTTCGAGCTGGCGGTAAGGATATCTCGAGTTCTAATGAACCGATTTACTTCAAATTTGGAGAGGATCTTCTCTATACATCGCTTTATCGCATGGACCTTTCCCAAAACTATAACTTTTCATTTAGTATTTTTAAAAAAATCGGAATTGTTAAAAAAAACATGAAAAAAAATTATTTTTTTTCAAACTGCCGCCATTCAAACAAAAAAAGTTTTTTTTAACTTATCCAAGGTTCATACGATAGCGGCATCTATAATAATTAAGAATCCATCTATTTTTTATGTTTCGGATCACCAGGAGGGTTGGAATCATGCACGCCAGGACACCCTCTTTTTTTTTGAGCCCCCACTTTGACTGCTCATAACTTTGTGAATTCCAATTTTTTTTCTTTAATAATTTTTTTATGTAATAATAAAATATCAATAAACAAATGATAAAAAAATCGATAGTAAAAATATTATTTGTTTCCTTTATACAGCGCTTCAAAAACCGGGCAAAATTCATGCTTCTACAGTAGAATACCCTCTTAAAAACGGCCGGACCGATTTCAAAAATTTAAAAGGTATTCGATGTATCTCGACGAGGACTATTGTTTGTCAGTTTTGTGCGACGATCGGCCAAGCCGTTTCTTTATAAATAGCAGAAAAGTGGAAAAAAAATTGTCCACGTTTTAGCCCGTAATTCTGAATCGATTTTGAAAATTCAAAAACCGTTCCAAATGATATTGGTTGGGAATAGTGCTGATTAGTTTTTGGTAAGGATCGGCCGGCCCGTTTTCTTGTAATAAAGTGTTAAAAAAAATTTCGACGATTTTCATTGCTATTTTTTTGATGGTAGATACCATAGTCTTATAGATCATACTAGAATATTGCGGCCCTATGACAACTCGTTTAACTTTAAAAATTCGTCAAAGTTCGCAAAAATTGGTATCGTTTTTTTGGCAGTTGTCAAAATTAGACCTTTCATCGACGATTGCTCAAAAACGCCTGAACCGATTTCAGAAATTTAAAAGCCATTTGATGTATCTCGATGAGGATTATCGTGTCTCAGTTTTGTGTGACAATCGGCCGAGCCTTTTCTTTGTAATTTGGAAAAAAGTGTTAAACTTTTTGTCCACATTTAAGCTCATACTACCGAATCAATTTTAAAAAATCAAAAACTGTTTGAAAGATATTAGTTGGGAATGATACTGATTAGTTTTAGGTGAAAATCTACCGGGCCGTTTTCTTGTAATAAACTGTTGAAAAAAACATTAAGCCGATTTTTATGGAACTTTTTTGGCGATATATATCATGGTCTTATAGAATTTACTGAAATATTACGGCATTACGACAAGTAGTTTAATTTAAAAAAATCATCAAAGTTTGAGAAAATGAGTAGTTTTTTGACGTTTGTTAAAATTAAAATTATACGATTTACTTGGTATAACGATAAAGTATACTTTATGATACTTGATGATAAAGTATACTTTATCGTTATATCAAGTAAATTGTATAATTTTAATTTTAACAATCGTCAAAAAAAATACTCATTTTTTCAAAATTTGATGATTATTTTAAATTAAACTACTTGTCGTAAGGCCGTAATATTTCAGTAACTTCTTAATGAACTTACTAAACCATTAAAGTCCTACGTAATAAATATTCGGAATATATAAAATCACTCGGAATACTTTTAATCAATCATAAATTAATTTATTTTTTATTAATTAAGCCGATTATTTACATATATCGGGAAAATCATGTAACTTGCCTGAAGACAAAATACCAATACCAACTAGTTTTATTCTCAAATTTAAACACACCAGTAACGGACAACTTTTAAAATTACATTCAATAGTTCAGTATTTTAGACTTATAGATGTGGTTGCACAAAGGCAGAGTACGAACAATCTAGTTATAAAATTGATTTAGAATGGTTAAATTATGAAAATCAATATACCTAATATTTTTATTTAATGTTAAATATATATTCAATATTTGTGTTATGTCAGAAACCCGAAACCAATAGATTCGAAATACAATTAATAATTCAATAAGCAAAAGAAGTCAGCAATAGATTCGAAATAAAATTAATAATTCAATAAACAAAAGTTTCTCTAACCTTACATAAGACCTTAACCTAACATAAGACATTTTATTTCAGGCTGTTTTAGAACGGGGGGTTTTGTCATATTTTCCAAGTCATCTAGATGCAAGTAGTGGAACTCGCAAAAATGATAGTAAATATTTAGATAGTGCCCACGTATTACCAACTCCCGATGATGCTTGTGGATTCATTATTCATTTTGGTGATGGGACCAATCACCGACTTAGTGTGGCTTCTATAAATGCTGCTGATATGGCAGTGATAAGACAAGTTTGTTTGTATTTATTTCGTGGTATATTTCAAATCAAATTATATATACAATATGTGTACATTCTCAGAAATGGATTACTGCAATATCGGAGCACGCTGCTTTTAGTGCACACTATCTTTGGGGTCCAGCTGGCATTGGTAATACAGGGATCACTGATGATGATACTTTTAATTATGATGAAGGACCAGAGGCACTCAAGCCTCTTGGATCTATGGAAGATGCATTAAAAGCTGCTAGCGCATCTCATAAGGTTTGCATTGCATGCTTGATATTACATCAATGCATATATTGCTTGCTCTCGCCTTAGCTTTGATTAGCATTGTTTATTTGTGGTAAATTTAGCAAAATAAAAAGAAATAATTTTAATATAAGCATTTTTACTGAATAGTCGTATTTTTAGTGTTATACTCAAAGAAGATGTTGAGCGTTATCCGTTTTAACTTGAGAACATAAACCAAAATATATTCTCAATAAAAACTAGCTTTTTCGGGGAATGCTATTTGAAATCCCAAGATTTTTCTTACGCTACCCCTTCGTAATTTTTATTGGAATTTGTCGTGACTTATTATATGATCTTATCGAACAGGAGTCACATTTAAATTTTACTCTTGCATTTTAATTTAATGTGTTTTTTCACGTCTATTAAGTATGTACATATTTGGATTTTTTTTTTCAGTTTATCTATTACTCATAATGTGCTTATCCATTTCATCACAAAATTTATAAAATAAAATATATTTTCTGCTAATTAATAACTTCATATATTTATCCCATTTTTTTCTTATTTTCAGATTTTGGAACAACAATTGCATGAGTGTGCAGCTATTGTTGACGCGTTACAGAAAAGCCTTGTGAATACAGATAGCTTACCTACTTCAGCGTTAATGGTAAATATTGGGCAATTTTCTAGCATACTTTATAGAAATTTTATAAAAATTTTAAGGCGCCAAAAATGGTTATTTGACGGCTAAAAATGAGTTTATCACCCATATTTTCGAAATTTAATTTATTTACAAAATATATTTTTGATAACAATGTTATTTTATATAAGTAATTAATTCTAGGAGTTTGTATATTGTGAAATATATACAACTCTAAATTTTCATCATCTTACCACAAATCACTATTTCATTTAGTCATTTTAGTACTGAGCAATTATCGTCAAATTTTGAGCTTATGTAAAAGCTTAAATTTATTCGCTAAACATTTTTAAAACAATTTAGATATTGACGACGGAAAGATTATGATCGATTAAACTAGATGCGTCAAATTATTGATTGATTATTGCATAATCACTTACTGATATTTTCCAATGTACACAAGCAGTATGAAGTTTATGGATGACTCACAAAAAAAGCAATTTTAGTAAAAAATGTAAATTTTTAATTTTGAAATCCGAAGACACAACAGTTTTTCAGAGGGAACTAGGTACAATTTATGGCAAAGTTGTAAATTTTCCCACATAGTTTTTAAAATTTCACTCGATTCACTAAGCATACCACATCATGGTTCAAGGATGAATGTTCTGTTTTTTCTTGCTAATTCAATAATTAATGAATTAATGAAAAGCGCGGTAATAATATAGCAAAACCTTGAATAAGATGTGGCAATTCAATTTAAATTAAATCATTTTCAGATTACAATGACTATCAATATGCCCCGAGAAGTTTTACATGTGTATACATTATCATACCGGCTTCAAATATAATTTGGATATATGTATATCCTATATATTGTTTTTGTTGCAGAGGTTTCACCATGTCTCTGAGACTGCAAACAATATGCTGTCGTCGTTGTCTCATTGCGTTACATTATTTCGCCAACAAGAAGAAGTGCGAATGCTTCAGCTGCGGCAAGAAAAAGAAAAGTGCCGAGTCCTTGAGGAGGCGCTTAATGTGCTGGCGAAGCAGCACCACGATCTCGAGCAATCGGTCGCCACACACCTGAGCAGGGTGGACAAGACACGTACGATGTCTCGATCACGACATTCCTTCTTCGATGCTTCGGACGACGAATTTTATGATGCATTTGAAGCCGGTAAGAACACATGTTACTATTGATACCAGAACTTTTTAATATACTACAGTAGAATCCGCTTAGTATGACATTCAAGGGACGGCGAAAAATGGTCATACTAAGCGGTCGTCATACTAAGCGTACTGAAAAAAAAAAAACAATTTTTGGCGAATATGTTATTAATTTCGGTAATTTATTACAAAAATTAAGGTAAAAAATGACACATATAAACAAATTGACAAATTTAATTAAAAATATGACATAACAATGCATTTTTTAATGTAAGACATCTGTAATTTTCGTTTGAATTTTAATTACTGGGTAAAAATAGTAAAAAATATAGAACTTTACTAATTCAGTAAATTATAGCAGATGTTATCGCTTCCAAATTTCGAACACCAAGAATGAGCCTACTTATTTTTTGCACGAGGTCGTCCATGCCGGAAGTTGCCAAAGTTTCCATAGCGCGAATCTCGTGCAACATAGAGACCTGAAGGTATGTAGCGACCTGACACACAAGGGTAGTTCACAGTGGTGCCATACCATAACAATGTGCAATGAAAAACATGAACTCTATGTTATCGGAGGTGTAAAATCAAGTCGGTCATTATACTTGGACCAAATTTTTTTTCAAAAATGGGTCATTATAAGCGAAATGTCAATGTAAGCGAGGTCAACATATCCGACTAAACAGCTGTTTTTTGAGAAATTTTATATGGAAACCAAACTGCCTTTAAAATTACGTCATAATAAGCGGTTGTCAATATATCCGGCGTCATACTAATCGGATTCTACTGTATATGTAAAAGATATAGTTTCTGTGATTAATTCTTGTTAGACGCTTGCCATATAATCAAATTCATCAGGTGTATTTTTTAAGGTTTTTAACAAGTTAATAATTTTTAATGTTTCATTATAACTAAATTTATAGAAAAGGAATGCGCTTAATTTTATAGACTTATTTCTTAAGTAAATTACTTATTAGTATGATATGTATGATTCATACTCGAATATTATTAGTTTTTTAATTTTTTCTCCAGAGTTTACGATATAAAATGATGAGAGTCTATAAATATATAAATGAAGGAGTTCAATTATTGATTTGAACAAATAAGATGAAGATCTTATTTGTCCCTGATTTTTATGAACATTTGTGATTGATTTTCTTTCTAAAAGTCTCTAATTTATTTGCTGAATTATTAGTATATGTGATTTTGATAACTATTTTAGCACTAATTTAGAAGAAAAGGTGAAGCTTGTGTGTAAAGAAGAATTAGCTATAAGCGCATTCCTTTTCAAAATTTTTATATTTCAGATGAATATATTCATTTGATTTACAGGTAGTTGATTTGTTATGAAAAGTCATATTGTTTGTATTTCTGTAATGTTTCATAGCATGTTGAAATATTATTTTAAATGCATGCCTTTTGTCAATAATAAACGTTTATGATAAGTTTTTTTGACAGAATTTTAAAACAATATTTGGTAAAATTACCATAGAAAAATTACATCAGAGCACTTAAAACAGTATCCATGCTTTGTGATATATTTCTGCACTACGTACATCGACGTAAAATATCGCCTCGCTCTTCACCACTTTAATTTATTATATTTATTTCTTAATTGTAAATACAATTCCTTTAAAATAGTTACTACTAATTTACAAAAGGTTCATTTACAAAGTAAGCTTACTAATGGAACCAATTGAATTATTATATAATCACTAACAAATCGCATTGAACCTTCTGCAGTGACATATTGCTTATCATATTTATTTAATCAAGAGTTATAATAAGATATTTTATATTTAGGATTGCACATTTCCAAAATAAATTCATCAACTCCTGAATCTGAAACTAACCCATCCTATCCTGATTGTGGTCCAGTGAAATCCCAAGATGTCCCACTCATATTTTCAGAAGAATCATTTAACTCTATTGAGATTTTATCTTCTAAATCAGCAGATTTTGCATCGAATTCTGAGAAAGATATATCTCATGGAGAAGAACACACTTTTGAGGGCGACGAATCAACAATCCTTGCTAATGTTAATTATTCAAATGAGAATTTCAAAAATTCAAATGTTAGTCAGTAAAATCTGTAAAAAATCGCTAATTATAAATTTATTCAAATGAAAATTTAATCATAAAATTCTGTAAAAAAATCGAAAAAGTTCATTCATTTCTTTATATAGCACAATATTTTATATTTTCTTTACTGGATAATATATTTTTGTTTGCGCACAAATGGTTGTTTAATAGAAGTAAAACATGGTATAATCATAGATAAGGAATGATATAATATTCACTTACTGCGATTTAATATTGCATAGTTTTTTTGTAAAGTAATTTCAAGCTATAATTGAATTATTGAATTCTTTATCTTAAAGTCTAATACTAGTGAAACATTTTATTTTTGTTACGTTTAGCTTCTTGGGGCTAAGCTTTATAAATTGTAAATCTATTTTTAAGTTTGCGATTCATTAACTTTGGATTGTTTTGGCATTTCTTTAGTTGAAAAAAGTTGAAAAAAATTCTTATTTTCTCATATTCATTTTACATTTTTTATGGATTTCGGAAATGATCGGAAAATCATTTGAATCGAACTGTGTAATAATATAATAGTAGAATTAAAAAATATCTGGGGCTACTCTCTCAATTTTTACAATAAAAAATATTTACACTTGGTAAGATTTCAGTGACTATGGTAACTGATATTATAAAACGAATTAACGTTGTATTTGTGATTGAGTTCATAGTTCATAGAGTTTACAATCCATTATAAGATCTACAGTTGAGTTCCAATTTTATTCGCTTATTTTGTTTTACCGTTCACGACAACTGATGCCCTTAAAACTTCATTTATTTAGTTAAACATATTAATTAGTTTTATGTATCTTATGAGTTAATTAATAAAATGCATAACTGCATAGTGAATAATGTACAGTATGATCATATTTTAAGGCAGGATCAAAATGAATGAAGTTTGTATACATGTTCCACATTTATGAATTTAAATTTATATGAAATTGCATCCACAACTTATCACCGATCGATTCACCGTATTATGAATTAAGGGGCACAACTAGTGTGAAATTTCGAAAAAATCGATTTTTGTTTTTTTTATATTTCGGTAGATTACACCTTTAAAAATAATACATAAAAATTTCAAATCCATATCTCAAATTGTTTTTGAGTTACAGCCATTTGAAAAGTATATATATATAGTATATAGTACAACGATCATTTTATCTTTAAACCCGTTTTTCTCGAAACAGCATTTTTCGAATTTGCTGCAGTGATTACTCAAAAACGAATGATCCGATCACTATCAAATTTTTTTCACATATTCTTTATATAGTTCTCCGTAAAATGAACTATCGATTTTTTGATCGGTTCAAAAATCGAATTTTGGCAGTTGGAGCGAATTGCTGCTCCAATGTTCAAAAAACTGCAACAATGTACAAGCAGAAAGCTGTTCGCTTCATACAGGGCAATAAAAAATATTTACCCAAAATACTAGGTATAATAGTCAGTACAACTTTAAGCGTCACCAAGAAAGCACATATAAAAAGTACCCGCTTGACCAGCGAAAGCAGTCATAATTCCTTTAAGTTTGTTATTATAATTAACCGCCCGACTCGCGAAACCAGTCAAAATTAAGCAAAGATAATATTATGAACTATTACTAATAAGTGAAATAAATTAGTGAATTACAAAGTGTGTTTCAATATAAACCCAAATTTACATTTATGGGAAATGTCCCAGCAGTCGAAAAACGACCAAAATTTTGGGTAAAATTCGACTTTTTTTTAAAAAAACGCCGCCATTTTGTCAATGTTTGCTTTATTTTTTTCATCGTAGTTCATTTTACAGACAATATTATCTAGTTTAACGAGAATTTTTTTTTTTTTGAATTCATCCACGTAGAAGGCTGGAATCACTGCAGCAGTTAAGGGCATTTTTTTTGTCGCGCCGTTGGAGATCGACGATAACCTAAAAAACATTTATTTTTTTTCTTCAAAAATTTTACTATGTATTCTTAACTATATTCCTAAAATTTTGAAATGATTGATAGAGTAGTTTTTTTAATATAAATTCCCAAAAATCACCTTTTTTTAGGCGGTTACACTAGTTGTGCCCCATAATAATAAAATGCTTGATTAGTAGAATATTAAGTGTTTTTTATTTGGAAATATTTTGTGTTTATATTCTATTTATAAATAAAATTAAGTTTACCTGAGCGATTTTCTAATGATAGATTCCGACAGTGATACGTTGGTGACGGCACATTCTCCTCACGCTGCTTCTGTCGCAGTGCAGGAAATTCCTTATGATGAAGTCGACCTAAAACAGGCACGATTTTTTCATATTATAATAAATTAATTATGCATGGGTTAATATATTTTTTATTTATTAACGTAATAAACAACATAACGGATGATTTGTACATTTTTGTAAGCATGACAACCATATCCACCATTTATTAGTATGGATTATTCGAATATTTGTTTTTTTATCAAGTTAAAAAAATGTAAGAAAATAGTTGGTGGATGAAAAATTATCCATTTATGTGATGAAACATTAAATGTGAATTTATTTGTTCTACCTAAAATTTTAAGCTGATTATTTGCTTCTAATTGAGACTTTTTTAATCAATGTGCTTTTATTAACTTCTCGTGGGGTAAGTTATTGTAATCGACCAAAAATGTTTCTGCATATTTTGCATAGCTCAGAAAAAATGGATGTGTGTGTGTGTTTTGTGTGTCCGCATTTTTTTGTTCACGTTTTCGGGCTATGCATAGGGAGGGGATAGGGAGATGTGCTGATTAGTTTTTGGCAAAGGCAGGTCCAGCAGTTACGGAGATAAAGAGCAAAGAGTGCAGAAAATAAAAATTGAATTTTTGAGAGAACGGAGCATCCGATATGAACGATCTAAAAAACATTCATTTAGTAATAATTGGGAGAAGTGGTTATAATTATTAGTGGTTATTTGGCAAAGTGCCAAAAACGGTAACTCAATTTTTAAGAGAACGGAGCGTCCGATTTGAATAATTCAACAAACATTTTACTTGTATTAACAAGATGAACAACTGATCAAATTTTTATGAAAGCAGGTCTAGCGGTTTGCGCCATCTGGCGGTCAAAAATTATCATTTGACATATGCACATCAAATTATCAGGTATTTTAGAGATAGAGTATAAATTTTGTTTACATTCCTATGGGTTCCGTACGAATGTTTATCCGTTAGACGGCGACGCGGCCCTTACGCGTTTCGATATTTTGTCTTTATGCAGTTAAAGCAGTACGAAAAAAAGTTCAGATTTTCCAAAATATTTCAAAATAAATTTTTCTGCAAAAATTCTTTTTTTCAAAAAAAGTAAATTTTTTTCAAAAATTTATAGTTTCTCAAATATCTATTTTTTTTTCAGAGTATTTTTTTTCAAAAATGTTAATCTTTTAAAAAAAAAACAAACCAAACGATGATACAAAATTTTGTTTCTTATTATTTTTTTTCTATTTTGTCTTCTTGTAATACTACACACTTCTTCCAGTGTTGCTCCTATCTCTGTAACCCATCCAAATAGTACTTGGCAAATTTCTATGCAAACATTGTTCACAATGTTATTATTCTCTTCTTGCGAAAATCATTGTCCAGGCCAGATCTGCTCAGTAGGCGGCTGGTCAAGAAGTTTAAACAAGATGTATGTATGCGTGTATATATGCATGTATGTATGTATGTCTAGCAGATACAATTTATCGTAGACGATTTCTAGAACATCGATCATTCGATTCCTATTGATTGGGAGACGTGCTGATTAGTTATTGGCCAAGGCAGGTCTAGCGGTTTTGAAGATACGGGACAAAAAGTATCAAAAATGGCAAATCGGTTTTTGAGAGAACAAGTTCGATTTGAATGATATAAACAACATTTTGCTTGTATTAACAAAATGAAGAACTGATAATTTTCTGGTAAGGCATGTACAGCGGTTTTGGAGATCCAATAAAAAAAGTCATTTGGCGGTTAAAAAGGATTATTAGATATAAGCTCATCAAATTATCTCATATTTTATAGAGTTTTTAATATTAAGGTAATGCGGCGCTTACGCGCCTCGATATTTCATCTATAAAATAGCAACGCAGAGTGATTGCTTTGAACAAAAAAGCGATTCAAAATTTTCAAAAAATTTCAAAATACAAATTCATAATTCACTCTTTGTATTACGATATGGTAAGCTCCAGTTATTTGCCGTAAGCCACGATGCCATGCACGATTAGTATAATTTCTTATTTATATTGATTACTATTTAGTAGGCTTGCAACGAATTGTACGTATATTAGGCAGAATGCCGAATACCGAATACATAATATGTAAGTAGTCATTGGTACAGTTATTGAGCAGAAAAACTATTTTTTTTGCATTTTTAGTTAGTATATTTCCTTTTTCTAGCAAATCATTCCCATTTCGCTGTTAATCGCATCGTCGAAGCGACCCATGAAAGTTGAGTGTCAGTTTTACCCTCTTCTCTATTTTGAGTGAATTGTCTGATTTAAACTTTGCTATTCAGTTATCATTCTTTTAGGAGGGACGATGAGATGAAATCTTAATTGTATATAAGTATAACATAAGAGTATAATAATTAATTGATTTGTCTTAAAAATAACAAACATATAGTAATAATAAATATATATATATATATATATATATATATATATATCCATTCCTTGACAAATATTCAGCAAGGTTTTATTAAAGTGTTCATTTATAATGTAAAAAGATTATTGTATAAACAAATATACAATATAATACTAATCTCTACTAAACATTTCCAAATAAAGACCAATCGTTCTCTTTATTGCATAAGACACAAATAATCCTTTTGGTGAGCGTTTTATTTTAAGTGTTCGGCATAGTATGTTTATATTCGGTATTCGATCGAATATCATCGTACCTTAAGGCAAATTGCTGGAACTTCCCGTACCGTAACAAAATGTTTGAGGAATATTAAATGTTTTCAAATAGATTATTATAAATTCTGTGATAACGTCCAATATTTATAAGAATTATATAAACTGAATTACAAAGTTAGAATTATTCTCTTAAAATATATAAGTGAGCTTTAGAACTTTAACCAGAATTATAATTGAAATCTGAATTTTTTTCGATATACAAAAAAAAATTTTTTTTCGAAAGCAATTGTTTCGTAAGCGCATTAAGAATGTTTTTTGAATTATCTAAATCGGATGCTTATTTCTTTCAAAAACTGCTATTTTTTGTATATTTAGTTCGGTATCTTCAAAATGGCTGGACTTGCCTTTGCCAAAAACTAATCACCACTTCTCCCAATCATTACAAATTGAATGTTTTTTAGATCATTCAAATCGGATGCTCCGTTTTCTCAAAAAGCTCGATTTCTATTTTCCGCTCTTTGCTCTTTATCTCCGTAACGGCTGGATCTGCCTTTGCCAAAAGCTTATCAGCACATCTTCCTATCAATAAGAATCGAATGTTTTTTGAACCATTCAAATCGGTTGATCCGTGCGCCCGAAAATGTGAACGAAAAAATGCGGACACAAAACACACACACACACATCCATTTGTTCTGAGATATACCAAAATGTTCAGAAACCTTCAAACCGTGCAGAAATGCAAAAATTTTCATTTTTCGATTTTCGGCCCATTACTATAACTACCCTACGGGAAGCAGTGCCGAATATGCTAAATATGCCGAATACCGAATATTCGGTGCAAAACTAGTATTTAGGCGTCCCAGGGTTTAAATTTCTGGTTTTGTTTCAATTTAATGTTAAAGTGGTAATATTTGACTAACAAAACTGTTATGTACTGTATCGCCAGGATGAACCAGACTACGACGACAACACACTGTCAGAAGATATGCCGACATTGGTAAGCGTGACTTCGTGCGATACCCTGTATTCACCCGACGGGGATCGCTACAGGTGCGCTCGCATCTTGCGCAAACACAGGTAAGAAATATTATTGTTTCTTGCTCATTGGCATATTTACTACGGGGAATTATTGTTTATTCCTTGCTACTTTTTATATATAATAGCAACGGCTGCAATTGGAACAAAATAACAAACATAATAACGATGATGTATTTTCAATTATACGATGCAAATTATGTTTACTCACGAATCTTTTTTATGATAGTTTTTTAAATTGAAGCATGCAGAGTATAACTAAACACAGAGTAAAATTAATATTTACCAAAGAAGAAATGGAGAAAATATTTTTTTGTTTATACCTTACGCATTAAAATTTGTAACAACGAAAAATGCATGTATATAATGAAAACTCGAACAAATTTTATCGAATAAATTCGAATATCGAAATTCTTGTGTGCGAGAATTTGTAAATTATTTATAGTCTTCATAACATGCATCGTTTGTAGTACATTCTTGCAATTAGAATGCCTTTTTTGTTTATTACAATAGAAATGCCAAAGTTGATGATGCGAAGGGAAAAAGAAGTTTTGTTAAATTCGCACATCAGCACATCACATATCTCATTTAATTAGGTTTCCCCGAACGAAACGCTAACTATTGGCGGCGAATTTGATGACAGAATTATTTGAAACTCCGCACATATATTAATATGGTTTATTACATACTATTTTAAGTTTTATTGAATAAAATGCCACAACATTTATGTATGAAATTATGTATGAATTCGTATTGTATACTCAAATGTTTAAATGAATGTATACATCAAAGAGGTGTGCATTTATTTTTGCATTTCTCTCGCGTTCACTGCATATTTTTTAAATATGTCTTTGGGTTATATTGTAGAAAATATTTTATTTCTTTAGTAATTATCAAGTTTTTACCGAATTATCAATATAAACCAGTGTTATTTTGGTTGCGAGTTCAGCTTACCTTTAGGTGGTTTTCAAAAAGTACGTATATACGGCTGCAGAATGATATATGATACTAAAAATATTTTCCCCTTTTTCATACAGCTGGCGGATGTAATTTATTTGCTACAATGGAACAGTAAATGTATTTATTATTACCAATTGTATATAATCCTTTAATCTTTCATATAAATATGGATTTTAGGAAACACACAGTATTTTGCAGAATTTCCATTAAATTTTCGATGAATTATTCAATATTTGCTTTCTGTTTGAGGTAATAGAATATTACATTATTTAATCATTGATAATGTGTTATACGCATGTATATATATATATATATATATATATATATATATATGTATATATGGACCTCTTATTTTGAAATTGATGTGAGTCCATTTTCACTCACTTGTTTCAAAAAAAAAAAAAATGAATGTTAGCTTACTTGTAAAAAATCCAAATTACATGAAGTGTGGTATTATTTCTCCTGTTTTATCGATATTTATCAATAGACTCCTTAAACCACTTTCAAAATTAGACAAATATAAACATCGTTTTACACGTTATTTTGAAAATTCAAATATACCTAAAATATACTCCGCTTTAATCAAATTTTGTTTGCAAATACGCATAACAAGATACAAATTTTAAAGTTAAATTTTCGGTGCTAATTATTTACTTATGCTCTGGTATGGGGAAATGTGGATAGGAACATTGGTTAGTAATTGCATCGCGCATTCATATGATTTTTGACAAGTTCGTATCGTGTATAAATATATATATATATATATATATATATATATATATATATCAGCGTGTGCATGCCTGAGTAACTGAACTGTATGCGAAGCTCATGCAGGAACAATATTCTCTAAAAGCTTTCGCAGAAGAAAGAATTTTGTTTGTCAAGTTCTTTATCTAACATGCATGGCGTTGCAAATTATTTGTGACGGCCACATACCTTGATCCACTTAAGAACAATTGATCCTTCAAAGTTGGATTGTAAGCTCGCATGACCTGTGTTGTATGCACAAAATAGCGCAGTTAGCGCCCATGAATCGATAGCTCATGACCGGTACGTGCGTCACCGCGTTATTAATTTTATTAGTTGCAGATCGAAAAACCAAAATTCATTTTGCGACACAGATCAAAATGTCATAAATGTCAACGGATATTGGCGGTAACCTAATTTGTTTGCTAACGGATATTCAATATCGAGTTTGGTACCTTCATCTATATATATAGACTATCTATACCTGCGGCTTCGTCCGCGTGGATTTTAAGTTAGACTTTTTTTTGATTTTTTATCTAATTTGCTATTTTGGTCGGTTTTCATTTTTCTGTTTATTTATAAAATTTCTTTATATACCGTATTCAGTCTGCGATTTGCTTGGGCCAGAACAACTACATTATAACATAAAAATGTACCAAAATATTTTGAATTAAGATAAGTTTTAAAAATATGAGAAAATATAGTTTTTTGAAATTTTGTATTAAGATAAGGAATGATAAATATATAACTAAACGAAGATAAGATAAAAACAAAAACTAAACAACCTAATTAACTTTTTTGCTAAATATTGCGGAAGAAATTGCGCGTACAGCTGGGTGAGATAACACAAGATAGGAGGATGATTATCGTCCATCAATCAGTTACCGACCAACAAATTCCCTTTAAAATCGGTTCAGCTGTTTCGGAGGTTAGTCGGAATTAAGAAAAATGTTAATTTGGTACATGCATTGTATTCATATGCATGTAATAAAAAACGGTCATTCCACATTACAAAGGGACAATTTTATTATATATATTTATAGTCGAATCAACAAATAATAAATGGTGGTCTGGCCGGAGGCAGGTCCATGGTTTGTGACCCACCACAAATCAGTGATTCCCTTTCTTTTTCTCGTATATCATTCTCATTATCACTATTTTCTCTTTTTTATACATTTTTATGTATTTTGCTTTGCAAACTTCAGCTTCCATGCTTTGGCTTTCAGTTCCCTGTAATTCCTCTTCTCGCGTAAGGCATCAACTATCTGTATTCTTCTCCTTCCCATTTCTTTTAGTCCTCCTATTTTACCGTCGACAACGTGATGCAGTAGGCACTGTTTTGCAGAATGGGTCCGATCCAGTTTTCTTTTCTTTTCAGGATTGCGTTCAGTAGAACCTTTTTGCCCACTCTTCTCAGGACATCTTGATTCTGATCTCTCTCGTGTAGTATCCGTCTCTGAATATATATATATATATATATATATATATATATATATATATATATTGTCGACCTTGATACGTATTTGACATATATATTTAAATAAACGTTTGAAATGTTGCTATAGTATCATCCTTGTGCATGGCTAGTGTAGCCTAACATTTTAAAAATATTACATATATATAATGCATATCATGAAATAAAAAGTCCTAAAATCATTTCAAAGTACTACTTTGAATTTTTTATGGCGTTCATCGTTATGTATTATGTAGTCAATAAGTCTATTTTCAAAGTTGATGCGATTTCTTCACATTGACATTAATGCTTTACTTGGCTTCGAACTTGTCGAGTTGTATATATTATTAATGTTTTAGAAAAAGTTGCAGAAGCATTGAATCAATCGTGATGAATTTTGTACATTTCTGTTTCTCGGCGTAAGAAGACATCGCGAAATGGCAAACAAATAATTAATTTTCTAATTTTTGCTATAAGACTTTTTAATAATTGGAAATGATGTTACTATAACAAAAAGTGAAATTAAATGACAATAGCTTTTTTGAAAGGCAAAAATTTTGATTTCAGATCTTATTGCCTAACGGAATATCTAAGAAACGCTGATTTAATACTCTTGAAGAGTTTTAGTTCTTTTCACGAATTCTGAAACCTAGTAGAAAGTATAAAAATTTACTTAAAATTTAATTGATTAAATAATAAAAGTGAAATAGCATAAAATAACATTAAAATGTTAAACAAATTTTTCGCTAGTGTTTTGAATTTGATCATATTCTTGTAGTTACTCAAATTACATTTAGATTAGCCTTATAGAGAAGTACGTGCTGCTGTGGTAGAGCTTTGGTTTGCATAATTCGAGTCCAAATGCGCGCAACCTGATATCAAGGAGTATTGTTATCCATTTTTACTTGAAATATAGATAAAAAAAATATGTAAATTAACATTGATCATTTCTCTCTTATGTTATGTTACTAAAGTTTAAATCTCTTCAGAGGCATTCATTGCTCTACCAATCCCCAGTCTTGGTCTCATATACTATTAAATAAGATATTCATTTACTGATTGGCATCCGTGAGTGTATTACGTATTGAAATTATTATTTGTGTAAAGTGAATATGTATGACATGCGATATTCATCAATCAATCAAAATACCGCAATTGAAATCGTGATAATGCATTGAGAGTCGTTACGTATATTCAATCGTACCTATACCTACCTAATAGAGCATGCATATATAAATGCATGCAATTTATTAGAATTAGAATTTTAATAAAGTTTGTATGGCCTTTGGTTGCAAGATTATTAGATTATTTAATAAAACATCTGCCAAAGAAAAATACTAGTTTAGTAGAAATTGCTTGTGTTCAAATGTTTAGAAAATATTATATCCAAAATAGTTAGGATTTTATAATAACCATAACAATAATTTTAAATTATAATTGTCCTATATAAATAAAAGAAATCGTGGACGACTAAATCTACTGTTAGTAAAATAACTGCACAAGTTTACGAGGTCAAGCAATAATTATATTTGTGATAAGTTTATGAAATATGTTTGTTAACAAACTATTTTCTAAAAATTTATATAAATATATTTTGCTATCATTTACTCTCCAAGCTCAATTATTATAGGAGAAGTTAATTAAGTGTAACCAGTTTATATTTATTAGGGTGTGTCGGTTTTTGAAAACCGGTTTTCATGAGAAAATTATGGAATTTCAAAATCGTTTTTTAGTAGAAAATATCGTTTTCAGTGTATAAGTAACACTTAAAACAAACTTGAAAATAACATATGTAGCCAAATGAGAGTAATGAAAATACTATTACAAATCGATAGTCGTTTCTCATTTCACTATTACAAAAATAAGGGTGTAAATACTAAAC